AGAGAGAGAGAGAGAGAGAGAGAGAGAGAGAGAGAGAGAGAGAGAGAGAGAGAGAGAGAGAGAGAGAGAGAGAGACACAGACAGAGAGAGAGAGACAGACAGAGAGAGAGAGAGAGACAGAGAGAGAGAGACAGACAGAGAGAGAGAGACAGACTGAGAGAGAGAGACAGACAGAGAGAGAGAGACAGACAGAGAGAGAGAGACAGACAGAGAGAGAGAGACCTTCTATGTATCGTGATTCGGCCGTCACCCCAATCCCAGCCTCAGTAAAAGTCAACAATATTAAATGACAAAACGCCCAAGGACGTCCTCAATGGTACCCGGAACCCCAACTGACCCAGCCAAGTGTAGTAGCCACTCGCGCTCAAGCAAACCAGTACACTTCCCCGAGGACGATGGCAGATGAAACGGTGATCTGCATCAGCAAAGGTACGGCATTGATGAGGGCGAACTTGAGCTGACTGACTTTGATGTCCTTGTCAGCCAGGAGACCCCGCCACAACAAACCCGCCAGACTCCCTGCGAACGTATAGCTGAACGCTCCAATGTTACTTCCCATCGCAACCGTGTAGATGGCAGCCAGGAGGACGCGACGGTCCGCAACCACCGCAGCCGACTGAGAGAAGGCCGGGTGTCGCATGATCTCCACCAGAATGATGGTCGCGCCGATGTTGGTGCCGGCAAGAGGACAGAGGAATGCTGCACTGACGAAACCCATAAAGAAGACAGCGTTCGCGGGAGTCGTACATGCATGTGCGAACCCTCGCGCAAAGACCTCGATCCAGCCTCGTTGCTGCAGACCACGCACCAGAATGAACTCGCACATCGCAAACGGAAGGAGTGGGATGGGCAGCCGGACGATCGTTCGCGTGGTCCCTGGGAACCGACGGGCCAACCGCTTCACCACCGAAACAAGAGTCGTGGGTTCCCGCTCCGCATGCTTTTCTTTCGGTCCTAGTGGCGGCGAGAAGCCGGCGTCCACGGATTCGGCGTTTAATGATCCATGAGGCACGTTCTTCTGACGGAGTTCTACCCCGCCACTGTCACTGTCCACCACTCGATTCTCTGCCGCCGGATCCGCCGTTTGTGCGTTCGAGGCACTTTTTTGAGCGTTCATGTCCCCCAAGTCTCGACCGAGGTTGAACAGAAAAGCGAGCACACCTGCCGGGGCTGTCACCATCCATACTTGAACTGCTTGGTTAGGGACGAAGCTCGTCCCAACCAGAACCGCAACCGTGATCAACATCAAGAGACTGAGGGCGATGGCGCCGGGGCGGTCACGCAGCTTTCGCCAGGGGTTGTCCGTCAGCGGAGTCAGGGTTTTGGGGATCTTCTTCCAGAACATGAGCATCAAGATGGGATAGGTGAGAATGGCGGGGACAATGGAGGGCAAGATGGTCCATTTGGTAAAGCCAGTCAGGAAATTCAATGAGAAACTCCCCGCAATGAGGATGTTGGTGGGATTCGAAGAGACCAAGACGGCGGACGCGGTGTTGGCAGCCATGAACTCGCTGAAGATCCATGGCTCGGGCGCCAGCTTGGTGTGGTGGGCGAAGTAGCCGAGAAACTGGGATCCAAGTCAGTGTCTGCAGAGCAGGCGACGAAAATCCAGAGTAGGAGGAACGACGGGCTCACCGGAGTTCCTGAGAGGATCAAGGGGTCGTTTCCCACAATACAGGCGGTGAGCAGGAAAAAGGAATAGAGGTAGGTGAATAGCCGTCGACCCGAGCTTCCCCCTCGTTTCGACACCCACAGGGCGACGGCTTCGAGGGCGCCGGTTCCATCAAGCGCAATCGAGATGTAGGCCTGTAGAGAGAGGACCAGTCAATTTGTGGCTGTGTTCGTGGAGATCCAATATCCACTCGGTCGCGGACTCACCAGAGCAATGAACAAGACAAGGACGTCGTATGGTCTGATCGTGTCGTCGCCCTTTATGCCGAGCCTAATCGTGCTGCCGTGGATCGTGGTGGTGGCCAGCAGTAATACGACGCCAATCACAGGGGCGGTCTTGAGCGAGAGCGAGAAGTACAGTCGCCGTTCAGACAATGCATCGCGGGCGCGGGTCGGACCAGGAATGACTCGCGCGTCTCTCAACAAGCGCAGGCAGAACCTCCCGACAGGCTGCGGCACGGGAAGACGGACCGGCCAGATGACGAAGGCGGAAACGACACAAAAAACCGCGAGGATGAAGCCACTGTGTCCGTTCAGATGGCCCTGTTGCTGCTGACCGCCGTCGGAGGCGGACATGCGGTCTGCGGCCTCCGAAGAGGTCGCTATGGCACGCTGCTCGCTTGGCTCAGAGTCATAAGGTACGAAGACTGTTTGTGCGAAGGCTCGTCGACGCTCCAACCGAAGTCTTCCACCGAAAACGGGACAGGAAAAAAGGGATGAGATGGGTTGCAGATGGGAGAGGGGGTGCTGGGTAATTGGAGGGGGCAGGGTTCCATGGTTGTACAATGCCTAAGCAGTCAGACTATCCGCACTAAGAGTTGGGTGACGAGGCTGCCCAACGGGCGGGCCGAGTCACAGCGCAGCCTCGTCGGCACTACGGGTAGACTCCTAAGGCTTAGGAGGCCTTAGGCCTAGTCCCACCCCCACAAAAAAATATTCCCGCCCTTCGCAGTCTTAGCATCGTCCTAGAAATGTACAGAGGAACGTTTGAAAGGGTCAGGCTCGACCTGGTACATTTGCCGTCCTAGGTCCTGCGATTCCTGAACACTGATTCCTGGCCTTTCCCCATTTCCCTCCACCAAAATGTCGCGGCCCGAGGACCTCCTCCCCCCTGACCTCTACTACAATGACACCGAATCCGCCAAATATACCACCTCCTCCCGCATCCAGAACATCCAGGCCTCCATGACCAACCGCGCCCTCGAACTTCTTGACCTCGACCGACCGTCCTTCATCCTCGACATAGGCTGCGGCTCCGGCCTGTCCGGCGAAATCCTCTCGGAAGACGGCCACATTTGGGTGGGCATGGACATCTCGCCCAGCATGCTGGACATTGCACTGCAACGGGAAGACGTCGAGGGAGATTTGTTTCTGGCGGACATGGGCCAAGGCATACCCTTCCGTCCGGGGACTTTTGATGCGGCGATCAGCATCAGTGCAATTCAGTGGCTGTGTAATGCCGAAACAAGCGACGTCAGTCCCGAGGGCAGGTTGCGGAGGTTTTTTGACGGACTGTACGCGTCGCTACGAAGAGGTGCACGAGCAGTGTGTCAATTCTACCCAAAGAACGACCAACAGCGCACGATGATCAGTCAAGCTGCTGTCCGAGCAGGCTTTGGTGCCGGTATCCTGGAGGACGATGGCGGGACCAAGAACGTCAAGACATATCTCGTGCTGAGCGTTGGCGGAGGCGATATCACCGGCACAGTGTCCAAGATGGAGGGAGTGGACATTGAAGATGGCCGGAAACTCAGAGAAGCAATGCATCGAGGCAAAAGAAAGGGCGAGGACATCAAGGGAAGCAAACAATGGATCTTGAAGAAGAAGGAGAAGATGAAAAACAAGGGCAAGATTGTCAAATCCGATTCGAAATACACTGGAAGACGCCGAGGCCCCAAGTTCTGAGTGTCTATACATCCTCGGGCTGTCTCTGGACGACGACATGACTTATGACCTGATGGCCATTCCAGGTTCGGGGCCCGGTTCCGATGATCGAGGCTCACTAATACGAACTAACACTGTACTGGTCTAATGACGCAAGCAGGGGACCGCCGCCAGAATGATAATACATAACTGCATCTGCTGCTGCACGAGCGGACGCCAACCGTCAGCCGTCGACGCGCCCCAGTTGATGCGGGGACTCAGATGAAAAGGGCACAGTGCCGTATGGGCATGAGCGGGCGGCGACCGGTGCAGACCGCCACGGAGGCCTTAATAGTTATGGCTGCAAGATGTGAATCTGCCTTGCCTTACTTTTCAGCACCAAGAACCGTGCAAATGCCCTCCAGCGGCTCAACGTGTCCAGGCCCTACGCGGACGGAAAATGGGAAAAGTGAGTAGGGTGACCAAGGAGATGGCTGAGCGTGCGAAAACAAGACCCGATGCAAGCCATTAAATCCATTTCAGCCACAACCTGCCTGAGATGGCCATAACACAATGCTTTTTTCCAATTATGCATATGCGCAGCGAACCCAATGCTGAACCCCGTCCAACTATGCAAGAGACCTCCGTGATGCCTCTTCTATATCATGCAGGCCAAAGCGGTTGGTAGAATAAGAATCAACCTAAGGCTCCAACTTATCATGCAAAGTTTGGGTATCCCTCTCTGCCAGGTAGCAACAGTGTCCAATGTTACCCGGGCACCAAGGGATTGCCACATTTCGGAGAAACTTGTCGCAGTATCCAATCTTTCTTTTCCTCGACCTTCCGTCTCGCCCAACTATCATGCTTGCCTACCAAACGGGCCATTCATCTGGTGTTTCGTCACCAAAATCCCCCCGGGGAATCGGATACCCTTGGGTGCATCACTGGCTTGAAGCCACCGTTGCCGGAGACCTCGTGGCCAACATCTTCGTCGGCCAGGCTTGCATCATTGCTCCGGGTGGGTTTCTTGAAGATTGTTTAAGCTCTCGGCCCGTTTAGCTAGGTTATCCTTCAAATTCTCGAGACTTGAATGTTCCGAGCTCGGGATTCCTTTGCCGCTTTCCTCAATGTGGCCATGCTCGATTGTGTCATCATGCTCATGGTCATGCGGACTGGAAAGGGGAAGTTGGTTTTCGGCTACCTCTGGACCATGGGCCTCGACTTGCGTCCCGGCTTCGTCGAATCTGACCCCGTCTCCCACACGAATCCCCTTTGACTCGACAAAATCATCGTTTCGGCTCCCGGCGCCGCCACCTTCTCCGAGGGGTTTCTTTGAAGGGGCGTCTTTCTTCCTCTCCCAACCCGTCTTGAAGACCTTACTTCCGCTGATGTCGAATTTCGGGAGTGGATGTGCCTCGGTATTGAACACGACACTGTCAAGCGGGAAGAAGTCCTCGTCGGAGAAGAGCAGGTAGAAGTACTTCAGTGTTTCCGCCAACCAGAAGCTCTCCATATTGTCGCGTTTCTTGCGCTCCCTGACAGGATTCTCCATGACCGTGTCCAAGGAAGTGTAGGCGTAGATCACGCCGGAGACCTCATCAACGACTTTGGTGTGTTCTCGGAATGCCTCAAACATTTCCCATCCCCATTGTCGGTATTTGGGGTCTTTGGTGATCCGGTACATATACAACAGTGACTCGACTGTCTCTGGTCGTTGGAGGTTATGCACGTCGTTAGAGTGGATGTCATAGTCGGATCTCCAGTCAGCGCCGAGATCGTCCAAACGCGGACTCGATTCAGGAGGTGACCATTCTGGGTCAAGATGACCCTTCCACTGTCGCGGCGGTGTGTCAGTGTGGAAGTATGCGATCTCGGGAGCAAGGCCCGTCGGGGTAACTTTGTACATGCCCCAGCAGGTCTTCATCAGTTCTTCCGCAAGTTTGAGATTTTCGTCATGTGTTTTGGTCCAACCGCTCCCCAGCCTGGCTTTTGCCTCCTCGACTGTCTGACCTCCGGTGACCGCCAGCGCTATTGTTCCCGGCATGAAGCACACCAGGTGGTCCATCTTGGCCGTCAGGGGCATGCCAAGTCCATTTGGCCTCTCAGCTAGGATGGTCAAGGATGCATGCTTGGAATACGTGATCAGATGCTTCTTGATTCCTTCGAGTGCTTCCTCCCACATATCCAGATAGACAGCCTCCACCCCGCCAGTCTGTAGATACTGTTTGATCAGATACTCGTAATAACTGTCGCCACGAGATCCGAGCCGGATGTTCTCGCCGCGGAATTCTCCAGTAGATGGATAGACGAAGATCGGGACGAGGCCGTCCTCCTGCATATGAGCATCAATGACCTTGAGAACATTTTCTGCTCGTTGCCAGTATACCGGTTCGCCGGTAATCTTCGAAAGATACTTCATCTCAAGTTGCAGGGTGGCCGCCTCGGCGGTGGAGGAAGCTCCTGCGTCAAGGTGCGAAATGATGCCTTGAGAAGTATTGAGGTTGACCGACGCATAGGGAATGCCTGATGGAGAGTCGTATGCACCAAGAAGACGATCTGCAAGATCCGTAGCTTTTTCAATGTACAAATCCTCCCCGGGTTGGTTTGTATCATCATCCCGTTGAGGCGCCAGCTGCGGGAAGGTGGTGGAAATGTAATACGCCGACAACAAACCCCCCAGCATTCGAATCGTGGTCTCAAACGTGCTGACGTCGTGATTGGCAGTGTACGACAGCGATGTGGACATCCATTCTCTCGCTTTGGCCACTTCGGAAGTGAGATTCATTATCATAGCCGTGTCGAGGGCGTCGACAATTATCCAGCCCATTCCGCCTTCCACCATGTTTTTCCCTTTCCTACTCAGAGGGTGGTACTCGTCCATTCCCCAGGCATATTTCTCGTAGCCGGCCCATGAAGTCTGGAATACCTCTTTCACAGCCTCTCTCTGTTCGGACCAATCCCCTTGATGGAAGAAGGAGTGTTGATGCGCAGCTGGATCATACACTGAGCGAGAACTCCACGGTAACCAACCCGTCCACCACATGAACAAGAATATCACCAGTCCAAACAAGGCCCAAACTCGCTTGGGTTGTAGCGGCCCCCTCCTCCGGCTGGAAGGGAAATGTGGCTTGTCCTTGTACATGGGGAGGTCGTTGTTCTCGGCAAAAATATCGTGGATCTTCGACGTGACTCCGGCCAATGGTCGGGCTGTCGTGTGGCCATTACTATGCTTCTGCCGCCAATATGTGTCTTCATATGCTCGCTCGGTACTTGTAAACGAAGGGGTATTCTGAGGCACGGAGAAGGACATCTGGAAGGGAATCGGACCAGCCGACCCTGGTTCTCGATCGAGGTTCGTTGTCGGGGCGGAGGGATGGCGGAGCGGAAGGTTAACGGGATAAGTGAGCAGGCAGAGGATACATTATACAGAGGGAGCAACCGATCCAAAAGGTGGTTATTGTACAACGGGTGGAGGTTTGAAAAAGGGATTGAGACCTGTCCAGTGTAGACAGTTCAGAGGTAGTACAGAGGTAAGTATGGAGTAATACTAGGTAATCTGTGCTGTGCTGCGTTCCCCAGCCTGTGGCCGCTTTAACACAGGGGTGCCTGAAGCGCACCACTTATGAGCGGCCATGTTCAGATCCCCGGCATATACTCTTTACAGAGTACTCCGTACAGATGGTTATGGATGCAAGGGACATCATATCTTAGAACCCGATTTTCCCACCACACCCACGCATTTGATCTCGACGTCGGTGTTCATAGGCAGAGTCTTGACTGCCACACAACTGTCAACCATCAGTGTCAGCATCAGCATCACCACGTCGCATCATGGAGGCGGCACCCACGTCCTAGCCGGCTTCACCTCTCCCCAGTATTGCACGTAAACCTCGTTCATTTTGGCAAAGTCCCCGATGTCGGCCAAGAAGACGTTGACCTCGACAACTTGGTCCAAACTAGACCCGGCTGCTTGGAGAACTGCGCCGAGGTTCCTGATACATTGGTGCTATGCTATCGGTCAATGACAGAAGGGACGGAGGTCCAACAGCAGCAGCATGACGAACCGTATGAGCCTGGATATCGCCCTCTACCAGCTTCATGGTTGCTGGGTCCATGGGGACTTGGCCGGAACAAAAGACAAAGCCATTGGCGACGATGGCTTGGCTGTAGACGCCCGGAAGAGGCTTCGGGGCCCCCTCCGTCAGGACTGCTTGCTTGGACATTTGACTGAATTACACTATTAGAAGGCCGGCGAGAACGGAGAGGATTTCGTGATGCTGGACGAAAAAGTGAGGGTGTGAGATATGACAATCGGCCTATCCACCGACCCTTTTCCTGTCAGCGTCGACTTGGCCAGTGAGCAACGCCGCGTCCGGCCCCAACCGCAGATGGCCGCTAAACTTGAACCCTTCCTCAGGGACAGCCTGACCTACAACATATCGCCTCTACAGTCAGTCGTCTAGTGATCTCAAGAGAACACCATAAGTCTGCTTCAATGGGTCAAGATCGTGTACTTGAAACATCAAACAACTACTCATCGTCTCTGTTACAGACGCTGCCACGGTGGACGCCCAGCCTTAGGGTGGGTGCCAGAATTAAAGGCGGTTTGCATAACTGCTACTTCGATAGGATTAGGGAAACCTCTAGCTCTACCGGATGATTATCTTTCTAAGATACTAGATATACTCTACGGCCTCTCTAGAGTAATTCTCCTATTTCTAGTATTGAAATTCTATATCTAGAGATAGTAGCTATCTACTAAGCCCGCTGTATAATCCGCTATATATTTTGGCACCCAGCCTTAGCCCCGCGTCCCAAGCTGTTCGAGCCCGTGGTTCCGCCACCATGTCCTCTACAACCTCAAGCGTAAAGTGGTCCTGGAGCCAGAGCCATAAGGGCCTTGCTCCCTCCCTTTCCATAGGGCAATCGGTCTGCCAAATCTGGAAGGGGACCCCAAACGTGGTTTGGCGTGGCACCAAGCAGCCCGAGCCCGCCCATCAGCGATCGTATTTGACTATTCTCCTCGAGCGCGCTGGTTCTGGCAGAGTAACATGGCGGAGACTTGGCGATTCTCGGTACAGACCTGCCTCACTCACTCAACTCCAAGGCATCATATCCGGCGGATGTCGACCTGGTTCTGGCGTGGAAGAAGTCTCCACAACTTGGGTCGCTCAAGGCCGAGCCGCCTCGGGGATAGGCGCGTTATCGTGATCCTCGCTCCCCTTCGTTGATACATATATACTCCGTCATGTACCAACATCTGAAAAGGCTCCATGTCTAAAGTCAGGTCTGATTCGGGAATCTTGAGAATCTGAAAGCCACGTTAAAAGTGAAGATCGCAAACCATGGCTGCCACGACACCAGCCGCTAGCATACTGCTCACTGGTGCTGGGAGTGGCATCGGTCTCAACGTCCTTGCTCAACTCCTGGAAAAACATCCCGCCACTCGAGTCCAAGTCCTGACATTATTCCCTACGCCAGAGCTCACGCAGCTAGAGGAGAAATATGGCAAGTCGCGCCTGAATACCGTATATGGTGATGCTTGTGATGTACGTCTTGGTTACAGCCTGATTCTGCCTGTCCTCGACCGGGGAGACCAGTCTCCGACGCTGAAGCAATGCTGACGTACTGCAGACAGAAGTTGTGGCCAAGGCTGTGAAAGACACGATAACCAACTATGGCACCATGACGCACCTAATAAGCAGCATTGGTACCATGCTTCCTGTCCAGACCATCCGGAAAGTCTCCATGGCCGAGATCAAAAAGATCTTCGATGTCAATTTCTTGTCCGTCTTCGACCTGGTACAGCGCTCGCTTCCACACCTGTCAGCCTGGGGCGAGCGGAAGCCGACCGTTATCATCGTGACCAGTGGAGTGGACTTCGACGTTCTGTACCGAGGCTGGAGTGGCTACTGCACTTCCAAGGCCGCGTTGACACGCTTCATCCACTTATTAGCACACGAGGAGCCCGGGGTCGATGTGTATGGTGTGCTGCCACTGGTCACAAAGTCCCCCATGGTTGACAAGATCTTTAACGGGGAGTACGACGATGTCATGCTGCCCGAGGAACGCGAGAAGTTCAATACCTGGGCCAAGCAAGGCAAGATCGAACCGCCCGAGTATATTGCGGATGCTGTCGTGAAGGCCGCCATCGGTCAGATTGTACCGGAGTCGAAGGAGGTGGAGAGGAATGATTGTGGTGCCTTGTTTATTGGCAGTCTGTATCAGAAATGACCATCTAGTTTGGTGCTGATGCGAGAAATGAAACAATGTGAAGAAACTGAGCCATGTGCCTTCTGTGTATACTGCCATCGTGTTGATTATGGAGCAGGTATTCGCAGCTCCTCGAGTAACTGTGGGTCCCATCGAGCGTAGCAAACCTGATTTTGCTTCTGACGATAGCATAGTCAGTAGAGGAGCGAGCAACAGGCCCACGGGTCGATTCTTGTTGGTGCACTAATGGCAGGTGTACCATATCCTGATGCATTGGTGGCTCGTTCTTGGCCGCCGACTCAAGTTACTGTAACCACTCGCCTCAGCTTGACAAACGGCCTCGAAGTGTATTCGCCTTTTCCAATCCAAGACATTGGCCGATGTATTCTACAGCAGCCAAAGCAATGGCTTTTTGTTCCGCTGTTGACAATGGGCACCTGGAGACCAAGCCTGCGGGCCAAAGAAGGGCGAAACCACTGGTGGCCACGCCCGAAGTTGGGAACCCCCAGCTCGAATCTCCCTTACCCAGGCAGTAAGGGAATGATGCGACAATGTCACCCAGAAGGGTGTCGACCCTAATCTTCGCCCTGTTCAAACGTGGATATACCAGTGCTGGTGGATGCCCAGCCTCGACCAGTGCCTTACAGCACTGAACCACGGTCAAAAGCAGCATGATGCGAGCGCAACGATATAGATTCCAGTACTGTGCGGTTGATAGACTGTAGTAGAGGTGGAAAGGTCCTGTCCAACCCGCCAAAGGTACATCGTGGACCGAATACCTCCATGCAAGTTCAGCCGAGTGAGGCCAGCTTTCAATCGCTTCGTCCAGTTGTTCGCCCGCTTGCAAGATGTAGGGCAGATCTTCCACCAAACGGCTGTCGGGACCCGATTCGAGAACCTTGCTAGTACGCTGATTAAACTGGCAGACCTTCAGGTTGAACCTAACGACATTCGTGGCTGGGTCTTCGCTTTCCAGATTCTGAAGAATTTGAATGGTGCGAGGGCAAGGAGCGGTCCGACGCCTGAGATGCAGAACAAGCTCCTGAACTTAGTATTGGGTCTCTATCCGGGGAAGGGGCACCTGCACCACTCACAATTTGCATTGCTACCTCGAGAAAAAGGGGGTAGTTTATAGAACCGTCCCCTCTGTGACCCGAGCGGAGATGCAGCAGTCCTTCATAGCCTTCGATATGGGACCCATGACAGTGGGCCGTGTCATCAGTAATAAACTAGCAGAGTTATCATCACAAAGCGCGGCTGGGAGAGTTGATCAGATTAATTACCTCGTAAAGAGTCAGCACATATAGAGAACACAAGGTAGAATCCTGAACTGCTTCAACAGGGTCTTGAATGGCTCTTTGGACAGCTGACAGCGCGATCAAATGTTTGTGTCTCGCCTGCAAAAGGGCCCTGCTACCCGTCAACTTGCGGAAGGCATTCGCATCGGCGGCTGCGGCGACGGCAGCATGGAGACAAGAACCCGGACTGGACTGAGTGTAGGCACGTGGAAGGAACGACATCAGCCCGTCATATTTGGTGAATCCTGGAGAACTGGAGAATAGGTTGAAAAAGAGCGGCAGCACCAGGGATTCCCATTGTGTAGACGGCGCCGGTGGAATCAGTCGTGGAAACTGAAACTGATAGTCAGGTGAACTCTTCAGAGTCCTAGATTGTCTGACCAGGGAGCGTGCTTGTGCTTGCGCGTCGCTGTGGCTGCCATCGTAAGCTGGAAATGGAAGTGCTTCGGTACTGCGGTCGTCTGTACTGATGGGATATCCTGTGTGATTGTGATTCTGTTCCTTCTCCTTCTCTTTCTGTTCTTCGGGTGTACCAATACTCAGCAGTGGACGGAGAAGGGGCTGCTGCTTCGGGCCAGAAGACGGAGGCTTTGCTCCTGTGAACCAAGGACGAAAGGTTGACTGGGTGGGAGGTCGATAACCAGGGCAGGTCTTTCCAGTTTTGGTGCACCTCTTGCACTGCGGATGTGTCTCGTCGCACTGTAGATCGATTGAGCCCATCTCAACCTCAACGTGAGTTGGTGAGATAGATGGTTACCTACCTTGACCTTTTTTTGACGGCAGGCATGGCACCCGCGACTTGGATGACCGGGATTGACCATGATTGCAAATCAGCTGGAAGAATCAATGGCGGTATAATACAATGCGCAACCACTTCGATGGTCGCAAGGAAATATCTTTCTCTGGTATTAGATTCCTTTGCGGCCTTCCTCGAATAGATATCTTGTTTCACTACACCAAGTCTATATCTAAAGATAGGAGGGATCTAATTCATAGTGAAGGATTGCCTCATCACCCGCCATCTATTTGACACCCACCTGAAGCCTTCTCTGTCGCTCGCTTAACCCCCCTAAGGGCGTATTCTGCCAAAGGTCATCTCCTGAGAACACAATTATTCCCTCGGATTGGGCCACCTGATGTCGCGTAAGTTGGCCACTCAGATAATGCATTAGATACTCGAACAGACAGTAGAATAGACGGTGTCTTGTGTCGTGCCACAGACTTGCAGGTGGAGAATGAGAGAAATTGTCCCAACATAAATAGAAGCGAAGCACCTCATGGTGTCCGAGTTTGCTGGCTAAAGGGCCTGGGCGCCAGAGCTTGAGCCTGAGAGGCATGGTATGGCGCCTGACTGTTCTGGAATAAGTCTGTTTCCTCCCAAAGAGTGATAGCCCACGCCGTTTGGGATATTCTTGGATTTCCAATGCCAATGGGAACAGTTGCGGGAACAGGTGGCACTCAGCCCCCCCAGGGCTAGCACGTTCAGAGTCCAGATGGCGCGCCAAGAACGCTTTGTTTGGCCGTTGAACGTCTCTCCGCCCAGCGTTGACAGTACATATGTAGTAAGCAATTCAACGGCTTCTCGCTTCTCGCTTCTCACTCCGACCCCCACTCCTTGAAAATTGGGAGTGAAAGTCGGATTGAAGTGGTACTCGGCTGCTTGTAACACCAAACCTCGCAACCACCTTCCTATATTGGATATTCGGAACGGATCAACCATTAACCCTAATGTATCTCTTTTCCCGCGATACCATCAGGTCGGAGGTCAGTCTGTTCGGCTGCATGTCATCACTGCATGCAACCCTGGCCGCAGAGAAGCGCCAAGCCTTTCCAGCCACGCCTGTCTGCAACCGAGGAAGAGGCAGAGGGAGAGGGGAGAGGAGCAGGAGTAGATGGGGGCGCTAGGATGATTGACAGTACCGGCCTGGAGGGATGCAGTGTCGTAAGTCGAGGAGAGCTTGTCATGGCAGCAGTCATGGCAGCAGTCATGGCAGCAGTCACGAACCCCAACTTTCTTGAGGTGACGGTGCTGGGAAGGTTTCGGTAAACCTGCCTGGTAAAAATAGGATCAAGTACTTAGGCACCTAGTTAGGTACTACAGTACGTACCTAAGGTATCCCGTGTCCCGGCACGCCGGTTTGGCTACGACCGATTACGTAGGACGCAGTCTCTGGACGTACATACGTAATACTGAGATCGTCCTACTATGATGAGCACGACGACTTGATTCTGCAGCCCAACAGAGTCTTCAAGAAGCTGCTGAACAGACGAACCGAAGACCTTGTCTGTAATCCGCCCTGGGATCCCATCCTTCTGTGTTCAATAGACTCATCTACGGCCGTTTTACACACTCACTCCTCACCGCTGTGCCTGACCCACTGCCGGTTCTACACCATACACCAGTTCTACCACGAAGAAATCTGACACAATGTGCCGCTGGTTCGCATATCTCTCTCCAGATGAGGAGTGTCTACTTGAAGATGTCCTCATTACACCCGTCAGTCCTCGTCCTGCTTGCTTGTGCTTGCCACCGTCAGCCAAGCTTCAACACGCGGATCCCCTCCTGTCCTCCATAACTATACCTTTTCGCTAATCTTTCGCTGTCTTCCTGGCCATAGGAACACGGCCTCGCCAAACAAGTGCACGACCACTATCTGCCCAAACTATTTTCCCATGTGCCCGGCGAGGAGACGACAAGTCAGGAAGTCTCCCTGCGCAACCGCCTGTTCAACGTCGACGGTTTCGGCATGGCATGGTATACGGAGTCGCGGGCAGAATTCGTGAAATCCACAATAGGAACCCGCCCTGCTGTGTACAAGAACAGCCAACCCCCCAACAACGACGCCAACTTCCATAGCATCTGTGAAAATACCGCCACAACTGCGTTGTTTGCGCACATCCGCGCCGCAACGGGGACATCAGTGGCCACCATCAACAACCACCCGTTTATCTTTGGGCGACACACCATCATGCACAATGGTCTCATTGCCCACTTCGCCGACATCCGCCGGCCCATGCTCGACTTGATCGAAAAGTCCGCGTACGAAAACATCCAGGGCACCACCGATTCGGAGCACTTTGCTGCGTTGTACATCACGCATTTGACCAAGGCCGTCGGTGGCGGCCCGGATAGCTGGCAACGACAATACACCACTGCTGAAATGCAGAATGCCCTCGTCACAGCCTTCCAGGCCGTTATTGAGCTGCAGCAGAAAGTGCTCGGTGCCCAGAACGTGAAAGCGTGCTCCCTGAATGTCTGCTGTACCGATGGTGACCAGATGGTCGCCGTCCGTCTCCGGAACCATGTTATAGAACAGCCGCCTTCTCTGTACTGGTCTAACAAAGCCGGTGTAACCCTAAATCGAAAGTATCCCGACCTCCCTTCCGGCGCAGCAAATCCCAACGCCATCAAATCGGCCTCCGAGCACGGCAGCCACGTCATCGTCGCCAGTGAACCAACCACATACAAGATCGAAGATTGGGCCCTGATCGAGAAAAATCACGCCCTCCTCGTCGACTCCCGAGGGAGCTACTCGATGGTGAAGATTGAGTTGCCGGATTCGTTTCTGGCCCAGGCAGAAACCGGACAGCATTTCTGAGGAGCGCTTAGCATCTTGCCCTGTAAAGCGGAAGACTTGAATGGGACCATGGAAATCGGAAGCCTCTAAACATTCCGCAGCCGTCATGACAAAATACCTCCTGCTACTCGGCCTAATCCTGAGTCACATAACAGCGTATTCGGGTGCCACACTCCATTTATTCGTGGGTCCGTCTGATTGCTGAGAGATACACATCCTTAGACGAACTGCGGATGGTTCTTCCTCAGTGCCTCGATCTGGGCCACCAGGACATGAGCTTTGCTTGCTGCCGTAGCTGGCACACCGGGGTTGGAAACAATTTTATCTCTCCATAAGCTAGAGTCCTGTTCTGCAACAAGCTGGACAGCTTTTGCCATCATCTCCTTTTCTGTAGAGAGTCCTTTGACCAGATTCTGATGTTCATGTCCCAAGCGATCGTTCCAGCTGTCGGTCAGGGTTTGGATGATGTCGTCCCCACCCCGGTACAGTTCGGCGATTCTGGCTCGGACGGCATCTTCTTCCTCCCCAAAGCGAAACAGAATATCCTGATATCAGTTAGCAATGACACTAGAACGAAAAGCCTTGAGTCCTACATTTGTTATCTGCAAAATCGCATCGAGAAGGCCGTGTTGTGACTTCCGAACATTAATTTCTCGCCCTACCCACTCATTCTTTTGGCGCCGAGAGGGTGATGTGATTGAAGACATATCTTCTGCTGATTCAGCATGCTGCCTTCCTGCTCTTCTGGTTCGCAATACTCTCCGCTCCTCAGAAAATGTTTCATCATCAATGAGAGTTAAGCTTGCGTCTCCAGTTCGTCGGGCAGTCTCTCTCTCCTCCGTTACCGTCAAGTCATTGGCATCCACTCCATCCTCAATCTGCGTATGTGCTTCCATGTCTAGACGGGTGCAAAAGGAGAGAGGTGTTGCAGGAGGGAGATCGGTTTCAGATAATGTCGCACTATTGGGGAGAAGGATAGTCTTCTTGATCCGCACGGGAGCCGACATTGCTGGCTTCTGCATTTCAGTAGTTGTGACTTCGACGACAATTGACTGTTTGTTCTCTGCTCTAACTGGGGGAGTCCGGTCAGGAAGACGAGTGACGTCGGTCGAGCGAGATGGTACTTGTCTAGGTGCAGGAGGTCCCATACGTTCTCTTTCTCCAGGTACAAATGAAGCTTGAGAGACCCTGAGCGTGGGCCTCGAGGTATGATTTTGAGTTATTGTCGGCTGTGGAAGCTTGGAAATGGACGACTTGTCGGATTTGTCGAGGTTGGACCTCGTTGCGTGCTGATCTAGATGAAGACTAGGCTGGATCTTGTGAGTATTGATGACTCTTTCAACATGGGGATAATCTTCATCCAAGACAGCACCAACACTGATTGATCGCCGCGCAGGTGCTTCAGGGGATTTGGTAATTCTAGGATCACCTCGATCTATCAAGGCCGGCTCATTGATGAGAAGCAGAGGCCGTTGTTCAGCAGCATCAGACCTGCGTGGATGAGGAGAACAGTTAACGGTTTCATCATGCCCCTCAGAATCGACGTAGCCAGGAGCTTCCTGTTCGCAGCTCACTTCCAAGGTGGAGACCTCGGAGTCTGAGATAGGAGACGCTTCGGGCACAATAATCGACTTGTTTCTTCGTTCGACGGTAGGAACTTCGCACTCTTTCCCACTGCCGTTAGCCTCCTGCTCTGGCACATCGCCTTGAATAAGCTCAATTATGGGCGAACTCGGAATTTTCTCGGCTTCCTGGTCCAGAGTTTGGGGAGCCTCATCCTCCAGGGGGACGCTCTCGGGCACCTCCTCAGCAAGAAACCTCGGAAGGACAGCTTGATTACCAGGGCCCTGAGGGCCGAAATGAACAATCGTTGTCTTACGAACCAGTTTCTCGCTCACAGGAGGAATCGATCCTTCGCTGAGCCGCTTTGACGTATGCTTCGGTGTAATTTGGGCAGTTGTAAGAGAAGAAGTATTCACAGAAGCACATCGAGTGTTGAGATCTGTGGAATCGGCCAATTCTTGGAGGTTTGATTCTAAATTGAGATTCGAAGCTTGCAGAGCGATCTCCAGAGCTTCTTTGCTCAGTGGATGTGAGTCTTCGGCGTAGTCCTTAGGGTCATTAATCTCTCTCGCATCTTCTTGCGCTGTTGAAACCTCCGAGGCCCCGTCCGAAGCTTCTTCGTCGCTAATGTCAGAATGTTCCACATACTTAGGTGTCTTCGCAGCACGTCTCCCCCGAGTAGTTGCTGCAGTGACCTTCTCCTGTTTGTTTGGCGACCGCATAGTGTTGTGCTTCCGTTTGCTTTTCTCGGGTGCGCGTTTCTGAGACGCCGCTCGTTTCTGGGCTCCGCTCACCGTTCCCGCGGTATCTTTGACCAGTGCTTTCTTGACAAGGTGATTCAACCCCTCCGTCTTTGTCTTCTTTTGGGGGCGAGTCTGATCGCTGTCCCCAGGCGGAAAATCGTATTCGTCTGCAGTTGAGGCATCTTCTCCAAGTCTTTGTGATGGCATACCGGCCCTGGCAGGCTCTTTAATTGCTCTCCGTTTGAGAGGTACCTTCGCCGGTGGTGCCGGTGTAGAAGCACGGCTCCCTCTGTCACCTCCAGGACTAATCGAGAGGACCATTGTGGGCACTGCTTGAGGTTTCTCTTTATGAGAACTCCTGTAGGCCTTGCTAGGGGGTTCTTTTCCAGTGGTATTTGAGGTCCCGTTTCGTCTTTTTTTAGATGCAGGTTTCGGTTCAGCTATTAGCAATGTGGGTAGCGTACGGGGTACGCTGGTAATTGACGGTGTGAGATCTGGCTTCTTGGGAGAAACGAGCCGGTTCGAACTCCGGAGTCGGTCTTCATGAACAGAAGCAAAGGTTTCCACATTGGAGCGAGACAATGGCCTTTTCTGGGTGGTACTTTCCGTCAAACCATGTGGCGACTTCTTGCCTTGTGTATTTCGTGTGCCTGGTTTATGTGCAGTTCTTGCGGCTTCTGTAACCGGAGAGCCTGGGTCTTCTTGAGAAGCGCGCAGGCGCTCGGCAAACTCCTGATTATGACGAGACTTCTTGAGAAACGGTGTAACGTTACCAAGGTTATGACCAGGTCGAGCAAATGAGGTGACCAGCTGTTTCTTTTGTGACCGAGCAACCTTCGGACCTTTTGTCTGCAAAGGCGATGACATGTCGGTGGCAGAGGTATTCCCATCGTTGCTTGCACCGGCGTCAGCCAGAGAATCAATTGACCGATCATCTCCCGAATCCAAGGTCATGTCGATAAACGCCATTGAATGCTTCATAGCCATGCTATGCACGCTCTTGGGTGGCGCGGAAAATACGGCACCAGCTTTTTGCTGCTCCACCTTCTGCCTGAAGGCCTCCGCAGACCCCTTATTGCAGAAGGTCAAAGTGACATTGTCAATTGCACTCTTCACTCCATTTATGAGCCTGAAGCCTGTGTTCGCCGCATATGTAATGTCGACGATGGCGGATAAGGGAGACTCTGACTCCGAGGTGACAGGAGTAAGGGACATGTCCTTTTCCACTGGAATTGTGCACAATGTGAGCATGTCCAACCCATTTGGGATCAGAAAGTTGATCTCATCAGAGACTACTGCGATGAAAGCAGACGAGCTGCTATAGTAGGGGTTGCCCCCATAACCAAGCTGTTGTACTCGATAGGCTCTCTCGGACCTAACGATTCTCAGTCCAATTCGACAGTATGATGAATCTACGGCCATACCTCCCAACGAAAGATCGACCCAAGTCTGTCTTACTCAGACAATCGACGACCTGGCCTATCCAGGTCGGATCGGCACATTTGTCCCAAGGTATGTTCTTAATGACTGTTTGGGTGCTGACCGCATTTTTGAACGCTGCAGATCCTGCGCCACTGCGGATTATGTGTCGAATAACATCGGCGACTAGAATGCGAATAATGTAGTCTTCCTCCTGTTCGAGAACAGTCACCAAATTCTCGCTGGGTCAGGTCAGCATGCGACATTGGCGAGAAAGTGGGAAGTACCATTCCATCGTTTGCGCGAGATGGACACTTGCGTTGTCGTTGTGACAAAGGATAACGGAGATTAGTTGACCCAGCTACACAACATCAGTAAAGCAGGGGGTATCGGCAGAAGTACGGATTACCCTCCAACGCGTGTGTAGATCCGTTTTACCGCTCACCAGATGGTGCAATACGCAGGGACCAAGATCTTGACTGATATAGTCACTCTGCGAACGGATCATGTCTGGCGTCAATTCTTCTGCTTGGATGCGTGAAAGGGGAGGGATCATTGCATTCTCATCTCTGCACTGCCGTATCGTGTTCTAGGAAGGGTGAGCGAGAGTCTAGAGGATGCGATTTTGCACCCAACCATGAAAAGGTATAGCAGCTTGTTTTGCGCCGGCGAGAATGTAAACCGCAAGACCACTGAGACGATGACACAGAAAGACGCAGGGGCAAGGCGCCGTACGTTTGGCGGGCGGCCATCCTCGAGGGCTTTCAGGAGACTGCGAAGAGGAAAATTCCCGGTTGGGTGAAAGGCCTTTTTGAGTGGTTCGATGATATTGCCAGGGATGCTTTGATGGAGAGCTCGTCAGCCCCGGATGAGGCTTTTCCACCTGTCAACTCACCTCACGAGTTCGTCCTGGTCAAAGTTTTCATTGATGTATTTCACCAGGGCGGAAAGGTCGGCTGGCGAAGCTGATTGCGGTGCCTCCAATGCCCGGCTCGGGGATGTGATAACAGAAGACATGAAGAGCAAGGTCAAATTCAGATGTGAGTTGGGCAGCCCTGTTGTCTTTTTAAGCAAGGAGTACGATGCTTGGGCGAGGCAATCACAGTTGGACAATGGCGCAGGCATGGGACGAAGCTGCCAAGACCAGCCTGAGCCCCCGGTAGTGATGATACTCACACCAGCCTCGTCAGCAAGTCTCATTCATAACAACCCTCAAAAGTGGACGAGGAAGAGAATCTCGTTGACCAAGTTCGTTCTGAAGATCCAGATATCTCATATGCCCAGTTCAACCTTCATCCTCTCCTCAGGCCATAGCCTCCACCACGTTCGCAGAGCCATACCTATTCTGCTCCCGCTCAAACAATGGCACTTTCTCATCTATCAAGATGCCACGCCCAAGATCTTCAATGTCGCCAACGGTTCGCTCTCCGTCCCCAAACATGGGCTTGAAGAATCCATCATAACTCGCCCAGCAAGCGGTGAACATCGCCGCAAGAAACGTGATTAACCATTTTGGATACCTCCCATCAGGCCCGAGAAATATCTGTGCGCCTCCGAATAGGAAGAGAAAGAAGGGCGACCACACTGACAGGAAGATGTACCCCCCTAGCTTCTGCTTTGTGGTCGTCGCGCGGTACGGACGAATCTGGTGTAGGAAAGCCTGGTACTCCAACGGTAACCCATGTTCCGCCGCGCCATCTGTGATCAACCTGAGGTATCTGGGACTGGGCTGAGCGTATGACCGGTCTGGTCTTGACATGGTTGCAGGAGCAAAAAGCGTATGAGCCTTGAAAGGCTGCCCAGACGGCATCGAGGGTACATCTTTGGCTGGGTCCCCACTCAAAGCAAAGCAGTCCACAAGGACATCTTGATATCCGGACCCGCCTCCTTCAGTCGCAATGATGTGTGCATAATCCTCCTTTGTAACTTCGTACACCACCCCGACTAACCCTTTCCGCCAGCTGTCCTTGTGGTAGTGTTGCGAAGGGGAGGGGGGGTTGTGACATTCCGCTGTAGGCGAGTTTCGATAGCGAACATTGCCAAAGCATGGTTCAGTATAGGGAAGTCCAGGCAGATCGAAGGTCAAAGAGAGTGCGGGGGCAACGACATTGACCTGCGATATCGGTTTTATATTCCTCCTGCCGCGAAAGGTTTCTGCGCTGAGGTTGGAGGCATACCCGAGATAGAGAACAGTATCTGGCTCACTGCGTACTTCAGCTGCAAGTCCTGAAACATGGGATAAGTCGAAAGGGACATCGTTAAGTGACTGATGCTGTCTAAGATAAGAAGTCACTGGCACCTGTTCTCTCAGGCACCGCTTCCGTGCGGGGAGGATGGGTCTGCTGTCGAGCCACTGTTGTAAGCTGGGTAGGATAGTGCCTGAGGTGTCCATTATTGTGAGTCCGAATAGTCATGCCACTGAGATTCATCGGAGTCGTGATAATGGAACGAAATGGCGCGATTGTTTGGAAGATAGACCAGTTATGTCATTATTCTTACTTCTAGGTAGATTGGATCCCGGACTACCCTGCTGACCTGATTGGTCTACCCATGGAAAGCAGCTTGCTGAGAGCTATCGTCCCTCCACAGCTCCATGGGCACCACATATCTTACGATCAACCTGACGAGGCACCAATCACATGTTTTGAATTGAGCATATATGATAAAGAAGTCCATCACTACCAAATACTCCGTATGTTGTCGAGGGCTTACTAGCGCGAGTTCCAGATTGGCGAATTCATTGAAAAAGCATGAACGTGAAGCATTGCACTTATGTACACCGTTGTGATCTTGGCTGCACCAAATTGTGCTGGTCAGCGCGTCGATACCTCGTGGTCCAGACATGCCAACTTCCCTGCTCTCAAGTCATTCAGAATTATGCGAAAGACAGGCTCTTCTTGATCTCGGCAATTGCCTTGGCAGGGTTGAGGCCCTTCGGGCATGTTCGAGAGCAGTTCAAGATGGTGTGGCATCTGTACAAGCTCATACTGTTATCGAGGGCTTCTTTTCGCTCGGCCTTTCGCTCGTCGCGAGAGTCTGCAAGCCAACGGTATGATTGTAGTAGAATTGCAGGTCCAAGGTATTCCTCACTGTTCCACCAGTATGACGGGCATGAGGTTGAGCAACAGGCGCACAAGATGCATTCGTAGAGACCGTCCAGTTTCTTGCGATCGGCAGGCGATTGACGGAACTCCTTACCCTATTAAATTTGTTAATATCTCGCCATATCAGAGCTCCTTCGGTTGAACTTACATCTGGCGATTTCGTATCTCTTTGCAAGAAAGGCTTGATGGATTTATATTGCTTATAGAAATGGGTCAGGTCGGGCACCAAGTCCTTGACAACGTAGGTATGCGGCAGCGGGTAGATTCGAGACTCCTTCGCAGTGTCCGTCGGGATCCTGCCTGTTTCATGTATCAGTCTGAGGGTCTGTGTGCATTGATTTTTCACTTCGACTTACAGAGACAGGCCAAGGTGTTGACCCCGTCAATGTTCATGGCACAGCTCCCACAGATCCCTTCTCGGCAGCTTCGACGGAATGTCAGTGTCGGGTCCACCTCGTTCTTGATCCTAATGAGTGCGTCCAGCATCATGGGCCCAGTCTTGTTCAGATCCAGAGTGTATGATTGCATCCGGGGCTTGGAAGTTGGCTCGTCTGGATTCCATCGATAGATATGGAAAGTCTTGATCTTTGCATCCTTATCCGGCTTCGGTTCCTGCACAGTGCTGGTCTTCGACGGGGAAACAGGAGGTCGACTAGCTGAAGTATCGAAAGCGGAGTTCTCGGTCACAGTGGCATACGATCTCGCCGCAAAGGAGGATCGCAGGGCGGATCGGGTGGGCGCGACCAGGCGCGAGGCTGTACGTAGAGCTGCCATTGTATGGAACAACAGCTAGCGACTCGATTTCGTCCGATCAAGCAGGGACCGTGACGACTTGATAGAGGGATGGAGTGGAGAGCGACTATCGTGAAGGACAAAAGATGCTGCGCAGCTTGGGAGTTCGAGTGCACTGAGCAAACAGCACAGTGGCGTTCTATGATGCTCTCAATATCTGGCCAATCAAGGGAAAGGCAAATAATCCGTTTCGTGCCAAGCCCGATTACCTTCCGAGGCATTTTCCGATAGGTTTCTTGAGGCCTCCTAAAGCCTCCCTCATCAACAGTACATATATCTTGAAGGACAATCCTTAGATGCTGTTTATTACTATTCTGTTCTGGTCTGCGACTTCCATCGCTTTTGGAGTGCCAATGTTCTTTTCCTCCCCCCAACCAGGCTCCCTGGGCAGTTGTACGCTCTCGTGCAGCCGTTCAAGCTTGGTATGATGGTTAGAACCGAGAATTGCGCGACCGCCGTCTCGATATCGTGGACGCAACAATCCTGAAGGGTCGTATGGCATGGATTAGCCCACGCATGGAAATTGACCAGTACCTTGAGCTGGAGAATCTCACTATACTTGCCTCTTCACCGCCGAAGTCCTCCTGTCGGCCGGGCCAGACACAAGGTAAATGGGGTTGATCGGCGACTCATGCTGGACTTGGGCATAATGCCCCCCCAGCTATTCCAGTCCAAGGTCGCGCAGGGGGACTCATCTCCTTCTCGACCACGCGAACATGGTTCAGATCGATCTCATGCACAACCGACATGGAAATTCTCCGCGCCAAACACTGTACTCCGTATTGTGTTTTTATTGCCTGGAATGGTCTACCCAAATTGGCTGTCCATTATTTCATCGAACTGGGCGACAACCTCTCTCCAACGGTAAAGCTAAGATACAATATCGGCGCAATACCGTACATGTGTATAAATGACGAATTCCTCGTTGATTCTCCGAGCATGGTAGGATCTCTTGTGCTGTTGATTCTTGCTTTCCTTGCATACAGGTTGCGTTGGCTCGTTTGCTCACTTCCAGACCTTCCTTTATATTTATTCTTATTGTACAGGAACGGCTGGACTTTCCATCTTGTTTGCCCTTCTTTTCCCTTACATGCACCAAATCGCCGCCGCTTTAATCCGCCTTGGCCTCTTGGTGATGGACGATGACATTGCCTGCATCAAAACCAAGCTCAATAACAGTCAAGCACCATGGAAGACCTCATGGACGACACTGACAAGCATCCCTGACTCGAGCGATGTTTATACCCCGGCTCCAGTCTCCGTGGTCCAATGGCCCAATGCGAGCGGAGAACAACTCTTCATGTGGAAGCATTTCAGTGCCTTTACGACACCTACTGTAGCTAATAGCTTTCAGTCAACCATCAATGCAGGCAGTGGCGGCATTCCATGTCACTTAATAAGCTTTGATGTAAGTGTAAGGTGTCCGGCCAGTGTTGGTGTCAAAGATCCCACAGGTGCCACCTGCCGTTAGGTTCCACAAGACCGGAGGCTAAGGCTCTCGAGGAACGCATTTCGCATGTAGTACGACTAGGCTGATGAGTTTGATAGATACATGGATATTCCGACGTGAGACGAACAACTTGACTGACCCGCAACCCACTCGCACTCGCGCTCGCGTGGGGTCTCCAACCAAAGTTCTGACTGGGTAAGAGCAACAGAAAGGCAGCGCCCGACTGATTTCGGATACGGAGTACTGTGTATGTACGGATACATCTCGTGGGCCTGGTGGGAGTCTGCCGTTGTCCAGATCAAAGAATATCGGGGGTATAAGTAATTTCGGGCCCGAAGAGCAAGGCCAAGGTCCGACATCTATAACATCACTGTAAGTAGTAAGTACGGATTTAGTTCCCGACACGCAAACTCGGAAGGGACTCCTGCTGGCGGGGTTAGTGGTCGGGGTTTGAGGTTGTTGATGCATAATGTCCGCGGTCAGACTCATAGACTATACTGTGTAGGTAGGTGTAGAAGCTACATTTGGGCCAGCCGAATTCCTGGCAAGAGGCAAGGGCTAAGGAGGCCTCCTAAGCCTCCTAAGCCTTAGGTTAATGGCTAAGGGCTCCTGAGGCTGTAGACAGGGTGCTACAGGACGTACCGTGGTGGTGGGACGTGACTACAGACTCACAGAGTACGTAGAAAAGAGAAAACACTATCCGTCCTGGTGGTACTCATGTAATAGGATTGCTAAGTGGCTGCTGTTGGGCCAAATACTAGTAGGTGGACGTAGTATCCGTACCGAGCAATGAATACCTGTGATTTCTAAGCTTCGGGACTCTTCACTGTTGGGGGCTTAGAGACCTAGGGGCGCCCCCGGACACAGAAGGGCAAACAACAAACGTCGATGTGTTTATCATCACTCCCGCCCAATCGTAACGCCCACAATCGAATCCGCCTCCTCAGCCCACTTTTGCCCATGGTCAGTTCTCTCGAGTCTCCAGAAAGAAAACCCACAACGCCGCATGCCGTGTTGCCGAAAGTCCAGCCAGACTGCCATCATTACGCCTACACTGGGGACTCGGGCCGTTCGTGCCTGATCCTGGTCGCCTCCGGTCTCCGGCCACAGTCCTTCCCGTCACCGTTTTTTGGTCGAACTCGTGCTGTCATACTCCGTCCTTCGTACATACTTGCCCCTCCTGCTCCTTCTCTCAGTCATGAACTACCTGACCGACTTGACCGTACCCTTTCGTCCGTCAGCGCCTCAATAAAACCAGTGGTAGGGCGCCATGGCGCGACAAGACGATGGAGGCGACCTCAAGCGCGCCCTCAGCCAGGACGGTATCGAGGAGACGGACCTCGCGGAGAAAGAGCAAGATCAGTCAACACAATATCAAGAGGAGGCCCCGGAGACAAGGGGACTTGGGCGGAGCAAGAGCAGAACTAGCGCACGACTACGCAAGATTGACTCGACGGCAACCTCTGCTACAGAGGCGAGTACCGCCGCAGTACAACCCAGTCTCTCCGGGCGAGAGAAAGCACCATGGCATTACAGAATAAACCCCCTCCGGCGTGGGCCTATTCCGCCGGTCCCAGAGGAGCGGCCTGTGAGCCGAGAATATACTGCCGGGTTTCTCAGTTTGTTGACCTTCCAGTGGATGAACCCATTGATGAAGACCGGATACAAGCGTCCGATTGAGTTGAATGATATCTGGCTGGTCAACCCCGACCGAAGCGCGGCAACAATGATGGATCACCTGATACCCTCTTTCAAGCGCCGGGTGGCTCGAGGAGAGCGCAATCCACTCATGTGGGCACTATTCGACACGTTCCGGGGGGAGTTTTTGCTCGGCGGGATGTGTGCCTTCTTTTCCGCCATGTTCCAGGTCTTCTCACCTTTTACCACTCGATATCTCATTCAGTTTGCTACTGATGCATGGATTGCAGACAAAACCGGCGCCAAAGCGCCTAATATTGGCCATGGCATTGGTCTTGTCATCGGCATCACATTCATGCAGATGTGTCAATCTATGTCTACGAATCACTTCCTGTACCGTGGCATGGTCGTTGGAGGCGAGACCCGAGCAGTCCTGATCAACGCCATCTTTGAGAAGGCACTCGTGGTCTCTGGAAGAGCGAAAGCTGGTGGGAAGGCGCCGAAAGACGAGCAAACCTTGGAGGAAGTTGTTGAGGTGGAGGATGAGAAGCGCAGCGAGAAGGCCAAGGACAGGCCATTTCTTGCTCGCTCCATATCGAAGCGACTTCATCCCAAAGGCGGACCGAAGGTTACACCCGACAAGACCCTCGGGGTTTCGGGTGATGGCACTGGGTGGAGTAATGGCAAGATTGTCAACCTGATGAGCGTTGACACCTATCGTGTTGATCAGGCTTCGGGCATGTTCCATATAATGTGGACTGCGCCTCTCCAAGTCATCGTGGTGTTGATTGTGCTTTGCGTCAACCTGGGGTATAGCGCTCTCGCAGGATATGCTTTGCTGATAATTGCGTTACCCCTCCTCACCATCGCTATCAAATCGCTCTTTACTCGGAGGAAGCGGATCAACAAGGACACTGACCAACGCGTGACCCTTACCCAGGAAATCTTGAGCTCTGTCCGGTTCGTCAAGTTCTTTGGATGGGAGACTAGCTTTCTGGAACGTCTCAAGGAACTTCGAAAGAGAGAGATTCGGGCTATTCAGGTTCTCTTAGCCATCCGCAACGCGATCAACGCCCTGGCCATGTCAATGCCCGTATTCGCGGCCATGCTTGCTTTCATCACTTATTCGCTATCCGACCATGGTCTGGCTCCCGCTCGAGTGTTTTCCTCCCTGGCTCTCTTCAATTCTTTGCGCATGCCGCTTAACTTGCTTCCCTTGGTCCTCGGCCAAGTGACTGACGCACAGACTGCTCTTCATCGCATGCAGGAGTTCCTTCTGAGTGAAGAACAAAAAGATGAGGTGACTTGGGATGAAAGCATGGCAGATGGAGTCGAAGTCCAACATGCATCCTTCACTTGGGAGCGTACTTCAACTCAAGACAAGGACAGTCCTGCGGCTTTCCAGACCAAAGCCGAACTCATGGCTGCAAAGAGGGCCGACAAGGAGAAGCAAAAGGAGCAAAAGAAAGCCGATAAGGCAGCCAAAAAGAACGGTCCACTGCCCACAGATTCGAATGATGATGTTTCCAGTGACATTACAGAAACCGAACCGTTCAAGTTACACGACGTAAACTTCACGGTGGGCCGACACGAACTGCTGGCTGTGATCGGATCGGTCGGATCGGGCAAAACGTCTCTGTTGGCCGCATTGGCTGGCGATATGCGGAAAACGAGTGGCAAGCTAAAGATGGCATCCTCACGCGCCTTTTGTCCCCAGTACGCCTGGATTCAGAACGCAACATTGAGGGAGAATATTGTGTTCGGCAAGCCGTACAAATCCAAATGGTATCGCGATGTTGTTGAGGCCTGCGCCTTGCAGCCTGACCTTGATATCCTTCCGGCTGGTGACCGAACAGAGATAGGCGAGCGAGGGATCACTCTTTCGGGCGGTCAGAAACAGAGATTGAACATTGCTCGTGCGATCTACTTCGATGCCGACATTGTGCTCATGGATGATCCCTTATCGGCGGTCGATGCCCACGTTGGTCGTCACATCATGGACAAAGCAATCTGTGGACTCATGAAGGACAAATGCCGGATCCTCGCCACTCATCAGCTTCACGTCCTCTCCCGGTGCGATCGCATCATCTGGATGGAAGACGGTCATATCCAAGCAATCGACACGTTCGATAATCTAATTAATCATAGCGTCGACTTTCAAAAGCTCATGGCCACCACTGCACAAGAGCACACTCCGCTGGCTAAGATTGAGGACGCCGAGGACGCCGAGGACGCCGAGGAAAAGCCCGAGAAGAAGACCAGGGCAAAGCCGGCTGGATTGATGCAACAGGAGGAACGAGCTGTCAAATCTGTGGGTTGGGCGGTTTGGCGGGCTTACTTTGCAGCATCCGGGTCGCCCATACTCTGGCCCCTCATTTTCCTTTCTCTCATTCTATCCCAGGGAGCCAACATTGTGACCAGCCTTTGGCTCAGCTGGTGGACGAGTGACAAATTCGGGCTCTCCGAAGGTTCGTACATCGCCGCGTACGCCTGCCTGGGCCTCTCACAATCACTGTTAATGTTCACTTTTTCCACAATTCTGTCGATCAGCGGGACCAACGCCAGCAGAGTCCTGCTACAAAGGGCCATGACACGGGTTCTACGCGCACCCATGTCGTTTTTCGATACCACCCCTTTGGGCAGAATCACCAACCGGTTCTCCAAGGATGTGGACTCGATGGACAACAATCTGACAGATGCTATGAGGATGTACTTCCTCACACTGGCCATGATCACCTCAGTCTTTGCCCTCATCATCGCATATTTCCACTACTTTGCAGTTGCGCTCGGTCCGCTTTTTGTTCTGTTTGTATTTGCTGCGAGCTACTACCGATCATCAGCACGGGAGATCAAAAGACACGAAGCGGTTCTCAGATCCACGGTTTTCGCACGATTTTCGGAATCCATCAACGGCGTGGCATCTATTCGCGCATATGGGTTGCAGAAGTACTTTGTATCACGCGTTAGGGATGCGATTGACCAAATGGATTCTGCCTATTTCTTGACATTTGCCAACCAACGGTGGCTTTCCACACGTCTTGATGCTATCGGCAATCTGTTGGTCTTTGTGACGGGCATATTGGTCGTGACGGACCGATTCAACGTCAACCCTAGCACGGCGGGGTTGGTCTTGTCATACATTTTAGCTATCGTACAGATGCTTCAATTCACCGTGCGACAGTTGGCTGAGGTGGAGAACAACATGAATGCTACCGAACGACTGCATTATTATGGCACTGAGTTGGAACAAGAAGCGCCTCTGAAGCTGAGAGACGTTCCAGACTCGTGGCCCGACCAGGGCGCAATCTTGTTCAACAAGGTGGAAATGCGCTATCGACCAGAATTGCCCCTGGTGCTGAAGGGGTTGGACTTTCAGATTGCCGGCGGAGAGAGAATCGGGATCGTAGGACGGACGGGAGCTGGCAAGTCGTCCATCATGTCAGCACTCTTCCGATTGACTGAGCTGTCGGGGGGACAAATCAAGATCGACGGCATTGACATTGCAAGTGTCGGACTGTATGATCTGCGGTCGCGACTAGCCATCATCCCCCAGGATCCGACCTTGTTCCGAGGGACTATCCGATCTAATCTTGATCCCTTTAGACAGCATTCCGACCTTGAGCTATGGGGAGCTCTCCGCAAGGCGGATCTGGTGGGCGAAGAGATGTCTCCTACGGGTACGGAGAAAAATGCTCGACCTCAAACCACCGAAACTGCGGCCACATCCACATCGAATGTCAATGCAGCACCGGGCCCAGGTCGAATCCAGTTGGACAGTCCGGTTGAAGACGAAGGGCTGAACTTTTCTCTGGGCCAGCGACAGTTGATGGCGTTGGCTCGTGCCCTGGTCCGAAACTCGCAAATCATCATCTGTGACGAGGCGACGTCGTCGGTGGATTTCGAAACGGACGAGAAGATCCAGCGGACAATGCGGACCGCATTTGCCGGCAAGACGGTGCTTTGCATTGCGCACCGGCTGAAGACCATCATCAACTATGATAGGATCTGTGTGATGGACCAGGGCCGTATTGCAGAGCTCGACACCCCCTTGCGTCTATTCGAGGCGAATGGCATATTCCGGAGCATGTGCGACAAAAGCCATATTGTGAGGGAGGACTTTTTCCGAGAAGGTTAGCATGATGCCGCCATTTAAAAAGGGCTTGATTTTCCTTTCAGACATATACGCGATTTGCAGGCGAACTTTGTCTTGTTCAGGTTGTAGATTTGACCCATGTAGCTGGTATGTGATAGCCTGAAAATCTATTCAGTCGAGAAGGGCAAGCCAGGAAGAAGCATGTCCTGTTCAAACATGGAAGTGGTGCTAATTAGACGAAGCAAGACATTTAATCATGCCACTCCGGGATACTTCAGCCTTGCAGGGATCAGGCACCTACCAGGAAACAGGGAACAGGAACCGGGAGCCAAGGACAGACAAGCAATCGGGGTGGTGGGCCAGGCGAGGCCAGGAACAGACCAGACCCAAGGACCCATCCGTGCACGGCCTCAGGCCTCGATCAAGGTCTATGAGTTATCACCTCCTGGTAATAATCCTGGTAGGTGCCTGGGGTTTAAGGCCTGCCCCCTTACCGGAAGCTAAGATTGACAGCGGAGACACAGCAGGTCCGTTACTAGTACTCCGTAGATTAGTCCGTAGATATTGAGATACAAGCACCTACAGAGATCTCTGTCCAAATGTCGCGAGACCAGGCTCCCAGACCGCATCCCGGTGATGCTGTCGATGGAGGACGATGACGAGGCTCACAACGTCATATTGTGATATGACACGAATGATGGCACCAACTCGGGCTCAGACATATGTCACAAACCGGAACAAATGGCGTGGAATGTGCGATGTTGATCATCGATATCTGTCATCCAGCTCCCCCGGTCAAGCTTCCACGCCACGCCCCAGTCTTGCCTAGGAGGGCGTGACACGTCGGGCGCCAGTTTGATTGCACTTTGTCGATTCAGCTCAAACCGACCACTCGCCTTGACGGAGGATGTGCAACATCCCTGCTACGGGCCACGACGACCGATGATGTTGGTGGTGGCCTCCTGCAGCCATCCGTTGACTGTCTTCCGTATGTATGACTCTGTGGACGCCGTTACGGTCGTCAGTTCAGCCCACGCTGCTGACGCCTTCCCCTTGCCTGTCAAGTACAACTACAACTTCATGTTCGACCGCACCTGAAGCTTATAGAAGTACTATTACTGGCCTTCAAAATCCACCGCTCCTTCCCGGCCCATTCGTTGACCGTCCAGCAGCATCTTATTAGTCAATACCGGTTCGACTTGGTGGCAGTCTCTTGTCTCTGTCTCGTCCACCATCCGAGACATTTTTCAGTCTGACTTTTCAGGGCCATGGACTCTTAACTCCCACATCAGCCTGTTGGCAAACGCAGGTCTTCTGTTCCACTGCATTGATTCGCAGGAAACGCATATCTTCTGCCTCGCACCCGTCAGTCCGAATCTGCGTCCCCTCCCCCAGACTACAATCATGCCGCCGGTTATCGAAGCCACCGAGCTCACTGAGCAGCGACCTCCCACCTCGATGTCCAGATCCGAGTTCGATCCATTTTGCAATGCCAAAATCACCTCTCCCTTCTACCTCTACAAGCACGATTCTCCTCGACCTTCCTTCGAGGCCGAAAAGCCATTACCTCACGTTGCTGCCCGGGACGTCGAGGCTGGCGCTGTTGATCTTTCCCCAACAATCACACAGGAGAAGCAAGACGCACAAGAGACCGCGACCCGTAGATTCAGATTCTGGGGAGCAAAGAAGCATTGTATGACCAAACCAAAGAACAGAGGCTGTGCGTGGTTAGCTCGATTGACTCCACGACAGAGGCTGTTGGTCAAGATCTTGATTGCCTTGGTCGCTATCGGCGCCATGGTTGCCCTTGCTGTTGGCATCAGTATCAGAGTACACGGAGGGGTCTACAAGAACAACAATTCGACTACATCGATTGGATGAAACGTGGGAGCATCTTTGCTGGAGACTCGGCAAATGCATTCGCCAAAAGAGACTGTATATCAATACACATACATCACCAGGTATCAGGGACTGAAAATGTTGTCTACTCTTCACAAATCGTTGGTCACCATGGACCTGGTCTGAGACAACGAACGTTGCAGACGTGCTTCGGAGCGACGACGGAAAGGTCGGCGGAAATCATGTGGACTTTGCAGATATTTGGGTTGGCTGGTGAATTGGTAGACCCTACTGAAGGAGATTAATGGGAGAAGAATTGGCGGCGGTCGAGTGTCTACTAGAGTGCAGTAGTACTCCAACCAGGTGTTCGTCAGCGTGAACGCGTTCTCAGGAACACGAAAGCAGAACGAAGTCACAGGATTTATCCGCGCTCCAAGTGAATCTTGCCGCTATAAGAGGTTCGCTCATGCGCAGGCATTTGGCCGCCGCTTTAAAGCGCCGCTCACCCTCTACAAAGTGTACATGTCGGTAGTTATGTTCATATCCAATATGGCCACTAGCCCTCAGACAATCTTTTGGAGTTCATATAGGGTCTAATCAAAATATGACATGGACGCCGGCATGAAAGTTCAGTCCTCATCACTCTCATGGATGCCTCGCGTCACCAGCGAGCGATCGAGCCGCAGCAAAGCCAGGCTCATGAGAACATTTCCCGCACTTCCTCCGCCGGTTCTCAAAGCCCACCTCCAGCGTCGGATCAGGGCGTTGATCTCGTCGACCTCTGCACTGGCCTCACTGGTGATCAACAATCGGATCATCATGGACGAGATCATGGCAAAGCCAGCTCGCGACCACGAGTGCCAAAAGGCATCCCAGACGTTCCGTTGAAGCAGCTCGACGAATTCCACGGCCTCGACGCAACACGCCCGGGCTCCGATGCGCACTGCGTCGTGGCCTGCGGGCGCGAGGCCGTCACCATTCGTCGTGCGAGGAAGGTCTGATTCGACGGGACGCAGAAGCGCGCGGAAGAGAACAATGTTTGCAACGCGGTAGCAGAGGCCCAACGAGGCATTGCCGTCCAGACCGGAGCGTGGGGGGAGAGGGCGGCTCCTCGTGGTGGGCTGTGCGGCCAGGAACTGATCGTACGAGACTTTCCATTCTTTGAGATGGTGGCGGAAGGGCTTGGCCAATTCGATGGAGAGCGCGAGGTCTCGTTGGGTGCGTTTCGAAGCTGCAATGGTGAAGAAGGCAGCTTGGATTTCACTGATGATGGCGGTCAGCCGCGTCAAATGGTAGAAGTGGGATGATGACGCGGGGTCGGCGCCGCCATCATCGACGGTTTGCTGCTCGGCGGAGTCGGCGTCGGAATCAGCGCCACAGACAAAATCCAGTCTGGTCAGAGGGGTCACGTCATAGTCATCATCGTGGATGTGACTGTTCAGGCCGGCGGACATGAAGGCCCATTTGTCCATGACGAAGACGGCCCACCAGAGTCGGCGACGGAGACGCCTCTCCCAATCCGGGATGCCTATCCAGTCCAGGCAATCCGTCGACAAGCCGAACGTCTGGGCGAGGGCGACGGTCCAGCCTAGGAGGCTCCAGCGAAAGACGGTGTCCATGACATAGCGATCGTCGTTGACCCTCTGGAGAAGGAGCAGACAGGCCTGCAGGGTGGAAAGATGTGGAGTATGCACCTCATGCGTGACGGCCAACCAGGCGATGCGGTACAGGCGTTGACTGGACGGCGGACAGTGCACAATGGTGGTGGCCAGCACATCATCGTAGGTGAAAAAGGCCAAGGCCGACGCATAGATGGCGGCCTTCAAGGACAGGGAGAGGGGCTTGATCTTGGACGGGAGCTCGGCCAACGGATAGAGAAGGCGTGTTTTGGACAGGATGGGGAAATAGGGATAGATGTAGCGGAAGAACAGCTTCACCAGCCTCACGCCAGTCTCGTCCGACACCATCTGCGCCACCTCCTCTGCCGCCTCGTCGAGCGCGCGCTGGTCCAGTCTCGGCTCTCCGCGGTCGTACAGCGAATGGTCGGCGATATCCATGATCAACGGCTTGGCCGCACTATGCAGGACATCTGAATCGGAGGCTCGCAGCATGTGCCTCGCAGACCGGTTCCCGATGTTGTAGGTGGAATGGAGATAGTCCGAGGAGAAATGCCGGAGGAGGTACGGATCCGACTCGCCTGTGTCGCCCAGGAGGAAGGCCGTCTTTGTAGGCCACGCATCCAGAGATTCCGTCGGCATAGGCTCATCTCGATCCCGGTCTCGGTTTCGGTCTCGTCCTGCCGCGGCTCCTGCAGGTGCTCGCTGCGGATGGAGGAGGCCGCCGCCGCCCTCGCCAGACATTTGCGACGTTACTGAGCCTGTGACCTCGGCTGGGGATGGCTGTTGGGAACCGACGCCGCCGCCACCATTATGCTGCGGGGAGGACAAGGCAAGATCAGAGTCGTTGGCGGCCGTGAGCATGGCGAGCGTGGCCTGGGTGTCGGGGCCTGCCGTAGCCTCTTCACCGGACTTGGGCCTCTTTCGCCGAGGTCTCTCGCTGATCACGCAGTCGCGGCCGTACAGTCGACAGGCATAGCATGGAGGCCTGAGCCCTTGATCCAGCCTGCACGCACTCTTGCGAGACCGGCAGAAGTCACATGATCGTCTCGTCCGCGGCCGGTGGTTTCTTGCTGCGGCGGCCAGGCTTAGGCCTGGCCGGCCGTCTTGGAAAGCGGTCGGAAGCATGTGTGCAGTTCATCGGGCGGGCCGCCCTTCCTTGCCCGGTGTTCCAAGTCTCATCTCAGGTTCATTCTTATCTCATACTTTGGTCGGTGCAACGGGTACAGAGTAGAGAGGACAGAGGAGTGAGTGGTGAGTGACACTTGATTCCCTTATCTCGCTCGGCGCGGAGGGGGGAGTGCCACGTGATGTGATGCGTAGGATAAGGGGACTCGCCCATTTGGCCGGGCAAGCCATCACTAGGATCTAGGGACCTAGGGACCGGTACTCATCAGTACCTTAGGTAGGTAGTAGCCTTGGTGGTGTTACCTAGGTACCTATAGGTATAGGTATCCTCTGTATATATATGTAGGATGGAGTATTAAGTACTACTTAGGGGTACCTACTATACACTCAACGACTCGGGATTTAGTAATCACGTATTCGTCCTCGTACGAATACCCCGTCCTGCTATCCGAATCCGTATCCGCATCCGTATAGCTCAAGTATAGTTCTCGTACAGTGTACAGTGTACCGTACACCGGGCACCTCCAGGAGAAGGGAGCTTCCCATCATACCATATGTTCTGTAAACTTTCCCTAGGCTGGAGTGGTCCTTCCGAATATCGAACAATTCCGTACTCTGTATGACTCTGTATGTTTCCAGGTTTCAGCTCCATGGCCATGATCGTAATCAGCACAACAGTCCCCCGTACCCCGTACCCCGTACCCCAGACGAACACCGTTTACAGTCTATAGCATATAGCATGTGTAGCGGGTAGGGGAGGCCAAAGCAATGATATCTCTTCAGTCGCTATATGCCTACATCTTTGTTATATTCAACAGTCCCCTTTATTCGCCTGCCCCTGCCCGTCGCGAGGGTTCCAGGAGGCTCTCAAAGACACCCCGATGTGATCTTTGCCCTCAGTCATATCTATAGTTCTGAGGAGCTACGTCGTAGTAGTCGAGGTAGTGAGTCGGGTCCATGCCGAAGTCGTCGCGATGTTGGTCAAACTCGACCGCCTCGTCACTGATGTAGTCTGCCATGATTTCCATGGGCATATTGTTGGCGCGGCCCTGGAAGAAGTCGATCTGGGATAAAGGCAGCTTGAGTCGGGTGACATAGTTGGGATACCACGGAGCCTGGGTCAAAGTCAAAGTCAGTATCGACATGGACATGAACATCGACATCGATATCAACAGCATGTCTTGTCTGGTGGGCGGTGGGCGGTGGGCTCTCACCATCCAGATTTGGGCGACCATGATTCGATCCTCATCGGTTGCATTGGGCATTCCGGCGTGCCAGGTGCGGAAGTCTCGGAGCATCACGTCGCCTTTGGCCATGATTGCGCGGACAGGGGGCCGCACCGCCCTTCGGGCCTCGACGGCCTCTTCCCGCACTGGACACGCCGGCGTGCCGACCTTTTGCGTCTGAAAGACCGTCTCGGGCGTGGCCACAGTCTGGTCCCTTTCGTCGGAAAAGGCATGCGACCCCAGCCAGAACTCGGTCGCCCCGTTCTCCAACGTGAAATCGTTCAAGGCCGTGTTGGCGACGATCACGAACGGGCATTTGGGGTGGCGGAAGCGTGTATCCTTGTGCACTGGCTGGCGAAGGCCCCCAGTCCCGGCCAGAGCGTTGTTTCCCGTCGTCATGATCCATTTGGGGTTTGCTCCCAGGTAGCTGGAGACCAGGTCAGGGTCAGTGATGCACTTTCCGCAGGACTCGAGACTCGAGACTCGAGCGGACTGGGACTGGACGACCTACGCGTTCATGACTTGGACCACGAAAGGGTTGAAGTAGAGATCGTCGAAGAGGAGCTCCGGCTTGGTGAAGGGAGGTGCCTGCAAGATATTGGCTGAGCAGTCCAGTCAGTCAGTCAGTCTCTCTCCAATCCTCCATGTCAGAGGATACAGCCAGCAGCCAGCAGCCAGCAGCCAGCCTCAGCCTCAGCCTCTCACTCACATTTGACACCTTGGTTGTACACCTTTGCGCCTGCATGTCGCTCTCTCAAGATCCGGTCGCGATCGCCGCTCATATGCTGATGCAAGCGATCGCAGTGTTCCGGGTCGACCAGGTTTTTCAGAACCACCATTCCATCCTGATGCAATCCCTCCAACGCCATTTGAAGAGCAGGCACCGAGTAGGAGCCCTTCTTGAGATCGGTGTCTGACAACGGCACACACCGTGGCCCGTCTGGTTTGGCGGTTTTCGTGGGGGCGGTTGCGGACGGCATGGTGGTTGGTGGTCGGTGGTTAGGAGACTGAGTGGCTGTCTGTATACTGTATACTGTATACTGTACAATTGTCTCTGCCACTCTATGTCTCTCTTTATGGCCCCGACCTGCCCACGACCTAACTAGACTACGTGCAGCAAACCCCAAACCCGTTTGACCGTCCGGATCGCAGATGGATATCCGGCGTTGCTTGGGGACTATCTGCCCCCCGCCTCCCTCGTCAATCGGTGTCAGCAATGATAAGGCCAACATACGCACCAGTTACTGCCGATCTCCGTTATCTGTGGAGTTCCGGATACTGGATACTGGTACAGACACAAGGGGTGTGTCCAGACATTCAACTACGCTCTGGCGCTATCAAGTCTCAAGTCCTATGATCCGGCTAATATGGACATGCAGGCTATGGGGTACGGATAGCAGGATGGAGAGATAGGGTTGTGCTAGATGTTCAGGGTTCCGGTTCATCGGTCTGCTCTGTATGTCTCATGACTCCGAACAACAACACCATATATTGCCAACGGTGGTCCCAATCCTACCCGCCAGTCCGACTCAGGTTTCGACCGACTCTCACCTCCTCTCCGATTCCAGACAGGACCGTGGACAGTGGAACATGGAGGCCCCAACCACGAACCCGCCCACAATCACGGGCATCAACGCCTTCCGGCCCAAGAACCTGTTGGCGACCTTCAGGGTGAAGAAGGCCAACTTCAAGACCGCCATTCAGAGCAAGGAGAACTTTAAGCGGTACCTTCGCACGCCTGGATCCGACGCAGACCCCAGCGGATCGTACTCATGGGTCAATGATGGTAAGGCCTCCCCGTCCAGGGTCTGGTGATTGTCGGTGTTGGTGTCGGGGCGGTGCTGACCGGGGTGCAGACTTGCTGCCATCACGGCCAGAGTCGCGCACCTGGGTGTGGTGGAACTACTTCTTCTTCTACTTCAGTCTGTCCATGGACAACTGGACTCTCGGCTCCGTCATGGTTGGATGCGGCCTCAACTGGTGGCAGTCCATCATCATTGTCTTCTTCAGCCAGCTCGTCAGCTCCATTGCCATGGCCTTCAACTCTCGCTCTGGCGAAATCTATCACGTTGGATACCCCATCATCTCCAGAGCCGTCTTCGGCACTTGGGGAGCATACTATGTGGTCTTTGCCAGATCGGTCCTGGCCATCGTGTACTACGCCATCAAGCTGTACGTTGGATCGTCATTTGTCGTCAATATGTTGACCGCAGGTATGTTTGCTCTCCGTTCACCGTTCACCAGGCTATTCGGTCCCCTTCTGATTTCTGACCTTTCCAACAGTATTTGGCGACTCTTACCGAAACATCCACAACGCCATTCCCGAGTCGGTGGGAATGAGCACGAAGCAGTTCATTGCCTTTTTCCTCTATTGGCTCGCACACATCCCCTTTACCCTACTCAGGCCATACCAGTTGCGCTGGGTCTTCACGCTGAAAATGATGACCGTGGTCCCAGCCTGCTTTGGATTGTTCATCTTCTGCATGGTCAACACCAAGGGAGTTATTGGACCGGGCATACCTGGGATTCGATCCAGTTCGTCCAGCTTCGCTTGGTTTGTGGTGTATGCCTTTAACAGCGGACTGGGAAACACGGTAAGGACTCAGGACTTAGCAGGCCGACCCTCCCAGAGAGATCAGAAGTCCCTCGCTCGAGTCGTGACTGACATCGTCCCAGGCAAACATCATTACGAATCAGCCGGATTTCTCTCGCTGGGCCAAATACCCGTACGCCTCGGTGTGGTCGCAGCTGATTGCCAATCCCATCAGTGTGACCATCAATGCTTCCCTGGGCATTCTGGCCACCTCGGCCATCAACCATGCTTGGGGCCTGGAGCTGTGGAACCCTTGGGATCTGCTGGACGCCATCATGGCCAGGTACCCGAGCTCTTCGGTCCGCTTTGCCATTTTCCTTTGTTCCACTTTCTGGGCCCTGTTGGTGCTCGGAACGAACATTGCTGCGAACATGATTCCGTTTGGTTCCGACGCCACCATGCTTTGTCCCCGATACATCAACATGCCCCGAGGCCAGTTTCTCGGGCTGTGCCTTGCGTGGGCTGTCAATCCCTGGCAAATCCTGCGATCAGCCGAGGGTAAGTGGATCAATCATCTCGAGCAAGTGTTTTAGAGGCCCTGGACTGACTACTGGCTTTGCAAATGCAGTCTTCCTGAACTTCCTCGGCGGCTACATCATCTTCATGGCATCTGCGGTCGGCGTCATGGTTGCCGACTACTACTTCCTGACCAACGGGAACATCTTCCTGAAGCATCTGTACGACGGGGACAAGAGCAATCCCCACTACTATTATACCAAAGGATGGAACATCCAGGGATACATCGCGTACATTGTAGGGGTGGTGATTCCCTTCCCCGGCTTCTGCGGCTCTCTCGGCGCCAATGTGTCGCAGACGGCCATGAACATCGGCCATCTGGGCTGGTGTCTCTCCTTTGTGGTGTCGATTGTGGTCTATGTGCCTCTGTGCTATTTCTGGCCCACGAAGAATCAGAAGTTGATCAAGAGCATGAATCTGAAATTCGAAGAGACGGCCGGGGAAGAGCTGGATCCGGCCACGCTTCCACATTCCCACGGAGCCTTGATCCACGGGCGAGAAGTCGAGGTGGAACCCAAGAATGCTGATGCTGCCGAGTCTGCGACGGACAAGGAGGTGGAGGAGGTTACCATGGTCGCCACCAAGACTGCTTGAGTTTGAGTTGGCAGACGCGCATTGTTGGAAGATCTAGATCTACATCATGAGAGATGAGGATATGCTGGTTCTGGTTAGCGACAGCGAGGTCCTGGTGGTGTCGAACGGTGGAGATGGTGATCATGCTCATGCACAAGCTGTCCTCCGTACATGTCTCCTATTTCCTCTTTCCCCATATCTACTGTAGATATACGAGTACGTGAATACATACATTCATTTCAGACAGTTCATGGAAGACCTGGATTCTACTGTATCATTATCATGCTCGAGCCCACTGCAGCGAGCGGGACATGTCCTCAGCACAACCTCGTTTTGCAGAGTGTTTCAATATCAATTGGATCATAGCCGAGCTCTATTGTTTCGTTTCATGGATCTGGTGTTCGACTGTACGGACTGTATGCGTGCTAATTACCACCACCACCACTACTACTACAAGCAGCACCCATATACTATACAACTGTACAGACCTCTAGAGGACTGGATCCTCTCCAATCTGGCCAAAGTGCCTATCCGGCACTCGCTCAAGTCCGCATCTCCACCCAACTTCCTATCTTTCTATCTGTATCTGCATCGCTCATAGCGTTGATTGGACGGCGAACCACCTTCCTGAACAATCCTGTTGGGGTTTCCATTTCCAGAGCCGGATAGCATCGTTCTGTTCTGTACCGACACGGGCGAATGGTGAATTCTCCAGCATCGATCCAATATTGATCGGATCGGGTGAATATGACTTGGTCTGGTCGAGATTTTGCTCTCTCGCCTCGCCTGGTTGGGGGGCGGGTGGGCCAAAGACTTTACTGTACACTATTCCGGCTGGATGATGGGATGGCATTGGCATTGGCTTCTCGAGTTCTCTGAATCTCGTCACCATTTAAGCCTTGAAAAGGAGTGTCGGCAAGAACAACCGCAGCACCAGCAGCAATAGTACCAGCACCACCACCACCACCACCACCACCACCAGTAGTATCATCGACAATGGATCTCGATCTGATTGTGCGTAACGGCACCGTAGTCACCGCCTCTGACATTTGGACTGACTGCGACATTGGAATTAAGGTATGTACCAGTACTATAGTACTACAATGAGAAGGACATAAGAAAAACTCCCTAGCTTGAGTTGGTTTGGGGCTTCTGAGCAGAACACACACTGAGAGAGCGCACTGTTGACTTCTTTCCACAGAATGGAAGCATAGTGGCGGTGGCCCGCGGGCTTCCTGCCACCGATGGGGTCGAGATCCTGGATGCTGAGGGGGCATACATTACGCCCGGCGGCATCGACACGCACGTGCACCTGAGCCAACTGTACGAGGCGTCCGTAGGCGGGCTCATGAAGACGCAGATCACCAACGGCCAGATCCCAGATCTGGCCAACTATACCAACGACACGTACGACACGGGGACACGCAGCGCGGTGGCCGGCGGTACTACCACGGTCATCACCTTCGCCAGCCAGCTGCGCGACGACGAGAGCCTGGTGCCGGTGCTGGAGGAATACTACAAGCTGGCCGACGGACAGTCTTACTGCGACTACGCTTTCCACATGATCCTGTCGAATCCCACCAAACACGTCCTCGAACACGACCTTCCCATGATGGTGGAGAAGTACGGCATCACCAGTGTCAAGATCTACATGACCTACAAAGCCTTCCAGTTGAGGGACTATCAGATCCTGGACGTCATGCACGCGGCGAGGAAGCTGGGCATCACCACAATGGTCCACGCCGAGAACGCAGATGTGATAGACTGGATGACGGAACATTTGGAAGAGCAAGGCATGACCGCTCCGTATCATCATGGAACGTCGAGACCGCCGATTGTGGAAGCGGAAGCCACGGTAAGCACAAATCAGCACCCAGCACCCCCCTCTGCAGCAACTGCGTTTCATCTTTTATTGCGGGTTTCAAAGCAAATTCGAGTCTCATTCTGATGTTGATTCCGCACCCCAAAGAATCGAGCAATTGTTCTCTCGGAGCTCATGGACACGCCCATCCTGCTCGTGCACATCTCAGGCGGCCAGGCAACACGGGTGATCCACGACGCCAAGTCCCGCCTCCTGCCGGTGCACGGCGAAACCTGTCCGCAGTACCTCTTCCTGCTGGCCGAAAGCATGAAAAAGGCGGGCTTTGAGGGTGCGAAATGTGTGTGCTCGCCTCCGATCCGCGAAGAGGCGGCCGACCAAGACGCCATCTGGACGGGGCTGGCCAACGGCACCTTTACCACCCTGTCCTCGGACCACGCGCCGATCAAGTTCGACCATCCTGGCGGCAAATTGCTCGGTCTCTCACACGGAGGTGGCCCCCAGGGCAAGTTCCAGTACATCCCCAATGGGCTGCCGGGAGTGGAAACGCGGGTACCTCTGCTCTGGTCGGGAGGCGTGCTAACGGGCCGCATCACGCCGCAGAAGTTCGTCGAGGTCACGGCCACGAACCCGGCCAAGCTGTACGGCTTGACGAACAAGGGCACCATCGGCCCGGGCTTCGACGCCGACCTGACCATTTGGTACCCGCAAGAGACGTTCAAGCCGTTCAAGCTGACCAATGAAATGCTGCACCATGCCATCGACTACACCCCTTTCGAGGGCGTCGAGTTCAAAAACTGGCCCAGGTACACGCTGGTCAGGGGTAAGGTGGTCTTCAAAGAGGGCAAGGTGGTGGGAGACCTGGGCTACGGCCAATATCAAAAGCGGACCAAAAGTACCTTGGCTGGACCGAGAAATCGTTTTTTGAGCGAATGGAGACCTAAGCCCTAGGATAGCCTGTGCATAGTCCCCAGCACGTGTCGGCACTCGTTTGTGTCTATCACATCCCTAGCATAGGATTGAAGATTCAATCAATCAAAATGTAAGTCAAGTGGAGGGTTGCAGGAACCATCTCCGCACTGGTAGTAGATACTAGATACTAGATTCTAGGTGGCACCTGTAGTAGGTACAGTACTATTGGAAGGCGTCTGGGTTGGGCCGATCTATCCTATCCGTATCATCGGAAGTGGAAGGGTCGGGACGGGGCTCTGGCTCTGGCTGTGGACAATGTTCGCCGTATGCCTATTGCCTTTTGCCTGGCCCAGTGTTATCTTTCTTCCTACCGAGTGGCACCAATTACGTGTATCTGTACGTACGGAGTAGATCAACTCATAATTAGTATTAAATATACATACTATAATACTAGCAGCCCTTGACCTTTGACTAGGACGGCACTCCGCCACTACGCTGTATAGGTTGGCCACCACCCAATCGAACAGAACAGAACAGACCACTCACTCACTCACTCAGCTTTCTGACGGATTTTCACAGTCTGGAAAAGCTCGATTCGTTTCTGGGGCGAGCAATAGACAGATCAAAGAAGGCATTATTGTTTTGTCTGCATCCAATTCAACCATGGTGCTCAAGTCATGGCTGGATGTGCCGGAGGACCACGACTTCTCGATCGAGAACTTGCCCTTCGGCATCTTCTCGACCGCTGAGAATGTGAGAATCCCCAATCCCCGGTCCCCGGTCTCTTCTCCTGCGCTGTCTCATCTTGCCTGCCTCCGGTACTGACTGTTTCGTGGTAATCAGGAAAACCCCCGTCCTGGAGTCGCTATCGGAAGGTTCATCGTTGACCTGGCAGCTCTGGTCGACAATGCTGTGTTCAGCGGGAACTGCACCTGCCAGTTTCCACAAGCGACTCTAAAGCAGGTATGTAGGCATCCGTTCCACTTCCATTTCCATTTCAATTTTTCCATTTTTCCATTTCCAATTCACCAATCCATTCGTCCTTGGTCCATATCAAATCTGCAACTACAACTACAATTACCCCCGCTGATAGGGTGTGAAGCCGACCTTGAATGAATTCGCCGCGCTTGGTCGTGAGACGGTCAATGCAGTGCGAATGTTCATCAAATACTTGCTGGTGGAGATGACGCCAATCCTGAGAGACAACATGTCGTTGAGGGAGAAATGCATCGTTGACACAACCGCCACTCCAGTGGAAATGCACTTGCCGATGAAGATTGGTGACTTTACCGACTTTCTCAATTCCCGGACGGTGAGTGTGATCCTAGACCTGACTCACGGGTTGAATCGAATCCAATCGAACGAAAGGAACCGACCAGGCTGACATGGAGCAGCACGCCAAAAATACGCATTCCACGTCGGAAACGCCGGTGAATATGTCGGTTGAGCCAATTGATTTTGTTCTTTGTATTAAAACAACAACAAAGAAAAAACACCCCCCATGGCCCGGTCCTCATGCTGACTAGCCTTCAGGTTCAACCCTCCTCGTGCGTTTACTGGTCGTGTATCCAGTGTGGTGGTGTCTGGAACGCCAATCATCAGACCAATGGGGCATCTGATAGACTCGAGCGGCAAAGCGTATGCTGGGCGGTCGCAACAAATGGACGTCGAGATGGAGCTCGCCTTCTTTGTCGGAGAAGGAATCCGACGGTTTGAGCGAGTCTCGATCGACGAGGCCGAAGACCACATCTTTGGAGTCGTTCTGTTGAACGATTGGTCGAGTATGGGCGTCCACCTCATCCTCATTTTTGTTTTTACAGGTGGTTCATGAATCATGAATCATGAATTCTGATTTTTACACTGTATACCTAGTCAAGACTGACAGTACAAACACCTACTAACATATGCGTGGCGCCAGCTCGTGACGTACAAGTCCCGGAAGACCACCCATTCGCCGCATTCAACGCCAAATCGTTCGCGTCGACCATAAGTCCGTGGGTCGTCTCCATCGACGCCTTGGAGCCGTGGCGGACCCGGGCACAGCCCCAAGAGCCGTCCGACCTGCTGCCGTACCTGACGGACAAGAAGGAACTTGGCACGTTCGACATCTCCATCGGCATGAGCTGGAAGTTGTCGCCTGAAGGAGAGACGTTCGAGGTTGCCACCAGTAACTTGAGCAATGCGTACTGGAGCTTTGCCCAGATGTTGACCCATCATGCCTTTGGAGGCTGCGAGATGAGAACGGGAGATTTGATCGGGACCGGGACCATTACAGGAGAGGTGAGTTTGGAGCTGGCTGCCTCATGAAATTAACTGATCATCATCTGAGATGGATGACTCTGAAGAACTCTGGCTAACTCTAATTCGGACCGAGCATCTAGGACGCGGGCTCTAACTGCTCACTGGTCGAGCGGACTCGAAACGGGACCCAACCTATTCACACGCCGGCGGGAAATAAGCGGTTGTATGTGCAAGACGGCGATGAAGTCGTCTTTACCGGATGGGTGGGGAACAAGGCTGACCCGACGCTTGCCGGGCGAAGAATCGGTTTTGGGGTCTGTGCAGGATTGATTTTGCCGGCAAAGCCTTTATAGTGTGACGAAGGAGAGGTCTTATAGACATCCGCCGAGGAAACAAGTCGAGCCACGAGACCGGAGACCAGAGACCGGAGACCGGAGACAGGAGGCGGGCCCGCAAGGCTGTGGACCGGGGAGGGGTGGGGGTTAGGTGGGGGCGCCTAAGGCTCCCAAGGCTTGGATTTGGGGGTCCTAAGGTTGTTGTTTGGCTAAGGCGGCATCCTCATAATCCCAAAGTGGGGTAGCTTACTTATAGTGATGGCGGTCGGTTATCCTCGCCTTGGCGATCTTTTTTTCAATTCCGTGGCCACCTCTGTGCCGGTAGACCGCACTCCAAACGCCGTTTTGCTTCATTGCTGTTTTACCAGGAAGTTGAGCTGGATCGCAGAGTGGGCCATATCACTATCACTGTGCAGATCGTTGAGCATCCTAACCTCCCTGCGCTGGTCAAGATGGGGCTGGCAGAACCGAGGAAGTATGTAGTCGCATGCTAGATATCTGTCTTACTCCCCGCTGCTCTCCTTCTCCTCCAATTCATACGGTGTCTAGAGAGAAGAAAATCATTCTACGACTGGTGGTGCTGACTTTTGTTTGCAGACGTTTGAAGATCTCCCACGACCCACGGAATCTATCATGGTCGCAATCCTCGTCTTCCTTCGGCCAACGCCTGATGGCCAAGCACGGCTGGAAAGAAGGACAGTCTCTCGGCAACCGCAACAGCATCCATGTGGGGATTAGCGACGTTGATAGGCTTGCGGCCGCCCGTGTCGGTGTGCTATTCAAAGACGATAATCTAGGACTCGGGGCCAAGAGAAAGAGCAAGGACGTGGAAGCCCAACGGACCGGTCTAGACGCCTTCCAGGGGCTCCTAGGCCGACTGAACGGAAAAAGCGACGCAGAGCTCAAAAAGCAGGAGCAAAAGGTCGAGGATCGCAAGTTGGCAATGTACGTCCGTGGCCGGTGGGGTGGTATGGTCTTCGTCAGGGGAGGTGTTCTTGTTGGCGATCGTCAAAAGGAGGAGACGGTCAACAAGGCCGGCGAAGACGAGATTAAGATGGACGGTACGGACGGTGATGGTGATGGCCAAGATGCAGAGCTTGGGGACAAGGACGAGCAAAGACGGGAAGAAGAAAAGAGACGGCGCAAAGAAGAAAGGAGAATACGGCGGGAAGAGAAGGCGTCGAGAAAGGCGGCGAAGAAAGCAAAGCGAGAAGCACGAGAAGGCAACGACAAAGATAGCGATGCTGAACAGATGTCGACCCCGGCAGTTCCAGTGCACTCCCACAAGTCTCCTCTCACCCGAGCATCGGATGAACCTGTTTCGTCAGCTGATTCGGCGAGCGAGACCGAGGCCGCCGGACAGAAGCGGAAGCGTGGACGGTCGTCGACCACGATTGCCGAAAAAACTCCTGCAGAGGGCCAGCGACAGAAGTCAGTGTTGGGAGATATGAATGTCACGCAACAGCAGCAGTCGGGAACGAGCGTGAGGCCTGCGACCACGAAGCTGAACCTGAATCTGAGGAATGGTCGGCACTTGCTCCGAGGTCGAAATATCCAGGCTAAGAAGATGGCGTTTTCGGATCTCAAGGGCTTAGACGAGATTTTCATGCGGCCGGGATGACGGGAATATGTTTCTGCATCCTGGTTCAGATGCGTACGGTTACAGTGTCTGCGTTCAGCGTGGTGTCACAGTGGACTTTCAGTCAGACAGATGGGGTGCACGGAATCAAACCAATATTTCATGACGGTGCCATCAAATCCGGCCAGTCGTTTGCATTAGCTGGACTCGCTCTGCTCATCAACTCGTACCAATATTGGCCCTCAACTAATACTAATACTCCAGTCCAGTGCAGCCCTCGAAGCAAAGGGCTGGCGCCCTGTGAGATGTGAGCCTCTGCAGCAATCAAATGTGCTGCAGCGATCAAATGTGCTTTCGACATCATTGTAACCGGACTTCCACCGTCGTCTAGGGCTCGATCCGGCGCTCTTCCGTCATTTACGACTAAGCTAGGTACCTTAAAGAAAGATGAAATCATGACTTGTCGATGACCACACTTCTCCCTTCTCCGCCGGTCCCAAGGCTGTGGTCGTGTGGTCATGTGATCGCCCACCCACACCCACACGGCTGAAATGCGACGGCTAAGGCCTTAGGCCGCCCGCCCAATTGCAGCTGCGCGAGAGCCTAAGGCACGTCCTCGATCTCCATCCCGCACTTCCATTGCTCCTCGCTCACTCTTTACCCCAGATTTGCAGTATTGTCCTGTCTGTGCTTGAAGCTCTTCCTTCCCTCTTGAGTGCGTTTCATATTGCGATAGCTTTCAGCAGCGTCCAATCTCTCTGCTGAAGCTCGCAAAGGGTCATATGGGTCCGAAAACGGAGAAGAGCAGTCTGAAGCGGAACCGGGTAAGGAAACCGCAACCGCACATGGCGCTGTGAGCATCGAGCCTGACTTCTCGGCGTAGCATAGCACCGGTGACGACCAGGACACCAAGAAACCGCGCCGATCGCAGAGGATCTCGTCCCAGTCCCAGAAAGATGGCCAGCACACTCCTCTCAAGCAGCAGTATCTACCGTCGCCCTTGACCCATAATGCGTCGACTGCTACAGAACCAGCCAAAGAAGCCACCGCAACCCCGCCAGAGGGTCGCCCGAGTCAGATTCGCCATGTCACTCCCTTATCATCTCCTCAGCTAAACGCTCTATCGTCCCCTCCGCAGGATACACAGCCGCTTTCGCAATTCGTCTACCCCCCGCGAGACATAGAACCCGATCTGAACGACGACGACGGGACTTGGGGGTATTTGTTCCCCACGGGGTCGGCAGGGCATCGGTTGGTCCTGAAAAAAAGAGCATTCTGCCCGGCACCGGCGAAACCGCTTGAAGTAGGACGGTCGACTGTGAAGTCCAAGAAAAGGGGCAAGACGGAGCTCAATGACGCCGAGGTCGATTATGAAAAGGAGAAGGAAATAACAGGGTTCCCCGCCGGCGGGTATCTTGTTGGACGACACCCGGAATGTGACCTGATTGTTGACATCCCCACGGTGTCGAATCGGCATTGCCTGATCTTCAATGAAAATCGGAATTCTGGCACTCTAGCTGTTCTGGAGGATCTGTCTAGCAATGGCACCTTCGTCAATGAGGCGCTTGTCGGCCGCAATAAACGGAGGGAATTGGAGGATGGGGACGAGATCACCATCTTGGACGAAGCACGGTTTGTCTTTCGATACCCGAAAAGCCGAGATTCGAGTGCTTTCAACTCGCGTTACCGGATCCTGCAGCAGCTAGGAAAGGGTCATTTCGCCACTGTTTATCTCTGCGTGGAGAGGCTCACGGGCTTCAAGTACGCTGTCAAGAAGTTCGAGCGACGGATGGGAGAGTCTCAGCGGTCACAATCGGAAGGACTGCAACAGGAAATCGCTGTGCTGATGAGTGTCAGCCATCCGAACATCCTGTGCTTAAAGGAGACCTTCGATGAACCGGATGGGGTCTATCTCATCTTGGAACTCGCTCCAGAGGGCGAGCTCTTCAACCTGATCGTGAGCAAGCAAAGGTTGACGGAAGCCGAGACACGGAGAGTCTTCATCCAATTATTCCAGGGCACCAAGTACCTCCACGAGCGTGGGATCGTGCACCGCGACATCAAACCGGAAAATATTCTTCTTACAGATAAGAATTTGTCGGTCAAACTGGCGGACTTTGGTCTGGCCAAGATCATCGGGGAGGAATCGTTCACGACAACGCTGTGCGGGACCCCAAGTTGTAAGTCAAGTCGATCCCTCGCCACTACCAGCGCTAATGTTGCAGACGTCGCTCCGGAGATTCTCGAAAACTCCCGCCATCGAAAGTATACGAAAGCAGTCGACGTGTGGTCCCTTGGAGTTGTGTTATACATTTGTTTATGCGGCTTTCCGCCATTTTCCGATGAACTGTATTCACGGGAGAACCCATACACCCTTGCACAACAGATCAAAATGGGCCGCTTCGACTATCCATCTCCGTATTGGGATAGCATCGGCGACCCTGCACTTGACCTAATCGATCGTATGCTGACGGTTGACGTGGAAAACCGAATCACAATCGATCACTGCCTTGAACATCCTTGGACGAGAAATGTCGGTTACATCAATCCTGCCGATTCCACCGACGGTCTAACAGGGGCAATGGGTGCCTTGGACTTTTCTAAGCGTAAAGTCCAGCGCGAACGCACCTTGCTGGCGAATATCAACGACATCAAAGTGAGCAAAGTAGTCGACCTCCCCGATCAGAAGGTGCCTGGCCAAACTCGACCCCCAGGCTCCCCGGTACATGTCAAAGTCTGGGATAAGAACCCTTCCGGCAAAAATGTGAGGATAAGTCCGCCTCAAATCCGGAAAGCCGACGGTAGAAATGGCGAGGCAGATCCTAAGCACGAAGAGCACCCGGCCGCCCACAGGCAGCAGGACGAATTTATGCAAATGGGCGGGCGGGGAGACATGCAATTATTCGGAGATGATGCCTCGTCAAGGTACTTGCCAGAGGAAAAACCGAAATAAGGCCATTGAGAAGAGAGCTTGCTTTGTTTGAGCGGTGTTTGACAAGTTGTTGGATAAGGACAAAATCAACATTCCCTCTGTCTTTTCGATGTTTGAGGGCCTGCAGGGGACTGGAAACTGCAATGCCCAAGGCATCTTCGTTTGGGAAGGAGGCATTCTGGACATCTGCGTGCGCATGCAATCGCAATCGGGTTGAGTGCAAGACCATCATAAGACAAGGGAAGTCCTGACACGCCTGCTGTCGTTGTTACCACTGCCTCTCATCACTTGACCGCGTCGGTCTTTGAGAGCACGCACTGGGCGCGATCCGTGCACCGCAGGATGGATGTTTTTGTCTTTGCATATCGGTTGGCGCTACGGCAAGGAGAAATCCTCTTTTTGTATGGATAGGTCACCTTCTAGGGGCCGAGATGGTATGGCATGGCACGGTGCAGTATGGCAGAAGCGCGTTGTGCCACTTCCGCCTGTGTGTATACCCAGAAAAGTATAGCTACTACAGGAATCTGTAAATAACAAGGACAGCGCCTAGCGATGCATAGATAACTTAGGTATGTACATGATTGAACTGTTGTACATATGGAGTACTCGGTAGGGGGATACAGGAAGGAGTGGACAGGTAGGAATATACGACTCCTAGGTACTGTACATAAGCCGGCATTAAAGAGCTATCTCCGACTATAGACTAATGTTGTGCAGCGTCTTGACCTGGCACGTAACGGTAACGGCGACACATCCGCGGAATCGCATCCACCAGACAACGCCCAAACCCATACTTGTCTGGATGCCAACATTCAACGTTCCAATGCCCGCTTCTCAGACAATACGAGGTCGGAGAATCTGGTGGTAGTAGGTTGTGTGACAACATACGCAGCCAGAGCCAGATGGATGTGTACGACTCCCAAACTTCCTGTCCTGAAAGACCCAGCTAACATTGTCTCAAGTGGCCATGGGAGTCTGCGCCGACAGGCCTTCTCTAAGCTCGCGACCCTCTCGGCGCATCGATCTCCTACCAAAGAAGCCGATTTCCGTCGTCTAACCTCGTCCATTGCTCCCGCCAGATCGGAGGGGAACGGTGTCCTCGATGGCGTCCTTCGAGCCATCGCCCCTACGTCCCGTGCGCGTATGACCGCTCGCGAGCTCGATGTCTTGCTGGCTCTCTGCGCCAGCGCACACGAGTTGCATGACCTGTCTCATGCCGAGCGCCTTGCAAAACAGCTATCCGCCTATTTGCCTGAAGCTCATTCACAATTGTTCACATCATCACCCTTTATACACGAGATTCGGCCTGCGCCATGGACCGCTCTTACATTTCAGCTCACCAAGGCCCTGCTCGTACTTGGGCTCAGGTTTCGTCCTCTAAAACAGACCATCTCGGCCAGCATCAAGTCATATCTGTACAACTGGAGCCAGTCAGCTGCTGCTATCGCATCGGTGGGGATTGGCGACCAAGATGAAGAGAACGAGCATGAGGCCCAGGACACCGCAGCCGTCACCGTGTCGCTAGTTGGATTTCTGGACGCCGCGGCATTGCACGAGAACTTCTGGTCATCTTCCGAACGGGTTGAGCTGATCCGGACTTTACGGAGCGCTCTTTCAGAAGATTTCTTGATCGCAGTTGAGACTGCTTCGTCCGCAATCCGGCATTCTACAACATTCGAGCTTGGCAGCATGGACTGGAAGAAGTATCTTAAACGGTTTGCCGCACAGGGAATTCCAGTGGGGGCGATGATGCTGCAAAAGGGTTTCATGAAACTCGTTCTCGCATGCACTGCCAGAATGCTTTGCGACGAGCACACCGTTCAATGCGGGGATATTCTTGACCAATTCATCGCGGGAACCCATATGAAAGGCTCCCGGGACGAAGAGATAACCGAAGACATGATCGAATATTTGGCCCAGATCAGCAGTGATCAGATACGTACGCTAGAAGACGGATCAGATTATCTGCAGTTGGGTTCCGCATGGCAACAACGACTCGCATTCTCGGTAAAGGCATATGCTTTGGAAGCGTTTCTACATTGCATGGTGCTTGATGATGACATTGCCGACCCGGAGGCTCTCTTTGGGTGGCTGGAGGATTCCATCGCGAACCAAGTGCAGATGGCCGACATTGAGCTGGCGGACGTCGTCTTGAAGAGTCTGGCAGTTGTGGCACAACATATGCCCGAGGTCGTGTCCAATTTTGCTCGCATTCTGCTACGGTTCATCGTGCAAGGTACTTCAGCTCCCACCGCCGTGGCGGTGGCTGCGCAGAGCCTCTCACACATACTGAGGATGCTGTCGCAAGACGCTGTGATTACCACGATATACTCGCTTGGCAACGTTCTCAGCTCGCAGACGGGGGCGGAAAAGGCGCATCACCCCTTTGGCATTTCAGACATTAACGGTCAATATGGCTCGCTATCATCTATCTCGAAACTACGAACAGGGAGCGTCATCTCCCTGTCCTTAAGTGGAGAGGAAGAGACCTCGTTGGTTTGCGGTAACGTGGCAAATGCCATAGTGGTTATAGCCACGGAATGCAAAGACAGCAAGATCATGACCCTTGTACAGACAATGATGTTGCAGAAAGTTGGAAGAATCAGCCTCGTGGTCGATGCGCGTATTATCGACGGGGCCGCCAGACTTGCTGTGCATGGCAAAGAAAACGAGTTGAAAGCATTGCTACGACTCTATGCCCGATTGCACCAGGAAGCTGTTGTTCATGACAACGCCATCATATTTGAAGCCGTCCGCAGGGCTGAGGAATATCTGGCCATGAACCTGGACAACAAATCGTCCTTGTTCAAGATCTACGCGATGCAACTGCTCGAACGGATTGTTAGCAAGGGCGATGTCGGCGAAGGCGAATTCAAGCAATCCGCCGAAGTCGAACAGGCGGCCAAAGAGATCGCTCCTCTCCTCAAGCCTCTGTCAATCTTAGCTTCTCGAAGGCCGGCTCTGACCCTCGAAGCCACTCTGACCGAAGATGCCGATATCTTGTCCATGGTTCGCGAAGTCTGGTACAACGTTGCTGTACATGGAATCACCCTACAGTCGCGCATTGGACAGCAATATTATCATGAACTCCGACTCCTGGCCGCGAACTCCTTGCCCCTCGTCGATGAAGATCGTGCGGAGCTTTTGGAGTCGGACGTCGAGCTGAACACGGTCCTCCGAAGAGGGATGAGTCCACAACACACAGCTGACCAGAAGAAGAATCTGATCGCCGTCATCCCAGACAGAGAGTCCGAGATCCGCCAACTCAGCTACCAGAAAGTTGTCTTCCTGAACGCGGTGTTCTTGGTGGAAAGTCTTCGCGCCACCTCTGGTAGCTGTGTTGAGATTCTTGATTACTTCCAGGACCCAACCACGCAGACCAGCCATATGGGTTCTTGCCTGAGCTCAGTCGCCAGCGAGGTTGTGAAAAGATATACCCAGAAAGTGGTTACTGCCAAGGAAGTAGAGTTCAGCGCGCCATATGTGTCTCGCCAGCTGGCTCGGATTTTCAGCGGCTGTTGCCATCGGAGCAACAAAATGCAAGAAGTCGCCAGGGCAGCCGCCAACCATCTCGTCACATTTGCGCCTTCAGCATTGTGCCAAAAGTCGGCCCTATTCGCCTTGCTCGAACTGCTGTCTCTGATGTGGTCGAGCTCTTTGGACGCAGAGGTGGACGAATATGAGTGGCGGCCCATGCTCACTTCTACCCGAGGCAAGGTCACAATTGAACTATCAGATGACTACGCCTTTCGCAAACGGACTTTGACCAATCTTGACAATGATGCGAGGAGGTGGCTGATGACGGTCATCAATGTCGCCCCTTTGGACGTGAAAGGTCTTCTCCAGACTTACCTCTCCGAGTTTGATGATACCGGGTCATACGGCCACGTATCCCTGGGCAGATCATTCGCTCTAGAGATGGGTTCTGTAATTCCCTCCGTTGATTACCGCTTGCAGGCTATCGACAACAAGGGGGGATCACGCGTCCTCATCAACATGGCCTCCGATTTCATGGCTCAGTATACCACCCGACAGGAGTATCGGTTCACCGGTATTCCGGAGCACCAGCGAGGAAGCGTCCAAGTGGATACGGCCACTGGGCGGAGATCGTCGTGGAGCCGAGCATCTCTCGATACCTCGCCCATGCTACTCGACGCCCTCGTGGATCTACACACAAGGATAAAGCAGCAGACTCGGGTCCAGCTCTCCGAGGTGAAAGACCTCCTTCGCAGTGCAGCGGCTCTACTATGTCAGAGCAAGAAGTCGCAGACCGCCATCGTCTACCACTTGGTGCACATACCCTGTGATATTTTTACAAAGGAGTCTATAAAACTCGGCATTTCTCTGTGGCTAGGAGTTATCCATGAGAACCCTAGGATGGAGCCCAGGATACTGACCGAAATCGCACAAGCCTGGGAGCAGACAATTGATCGTAGGCAAGGGATTTTCAGTCCAAGCTTCCAGCATGCAGATCCGTTCTACGTGAAGGAAGAATTCGCCCCATCCGACCGGGCTGGCATTCAAAAGCAGGCACAAGTGGCTCACAACACCATCTCTCCACATTTCAGACTGGTTCAGTTCTTCGAAAGCCACGTCAACGCCATCCGACTTGGAAGTGCCAATACTCAGCGCACGTTCGTCCGAATGTTCGAACGCACATTGCGTGGCTTTATGCACATAAACGGGAATCCGCTACTTCGGGAGCTCCAGTTTCAGGTTGTCTGTGCCACTCTCCGACTTTTGCAATTCAGCACATGCATCAACAAGTTGACCAAGTGGAAGTTGAAGGATTTGATCCTTTCCGCCGGTCTTCAATGGTTCGCCAAACCCCCTGCTTGGTCGTTTGGCGGGAATCGCCTCCAAATTAAGGCCGAGATTCAGGTGATGCAGAATGTCATTGGCCTCCTACAAAGCACCAAAATTCCGATCTTTGCGGCATCGGCGACTAGAAAGGATACTTTACAGAAACATGAACTCTTGGAAGCCCTTCTCACGAACGAGATCGCCCGTCTCACCGTGTGGCTTGGCCCGCTTACTCTTGAGGCACACCATATGGGATACCATCTGGGACAGCATAGTCAACCCGAAGTCCAAATGAGCAAGTTTGCTCGAGTGGCGTGGGTGGAGAATCCGTCCTTGGCCATACAGCTCGTAACGCGCTTCGCCGATGAACAACTTCGTCGCGATGTGCGCTTCCTACTAATCAATTTCCCCGAAAGAGCCTTAGGGGAGCCCAACGCGCTCGACCTGTTGCTCGGGGATGCGTTGCCGTCAGATGTGTCCTTTCAGTTGAAATATCTTTTGTACTGGAGCCCAGTCAACCCTATGCAGGCAGTGACATACTTCTTGCCTGCGTTTGGAAACCACCCATTCGTGCTCCAATATGCGATGAGAGCGCTCGAGAGTCACTCTATCGATGTGACATTTTTCTATGTGCCTCAAATCGTGCAGGCTCTGCGCTACGATACCTTGGACTATGTCGAGCGGTACATCGTCGAGACCGGCACATTCTCGCAACTGTTCGCCCACCAGATCATTTGGAACATGAAGGCCAATGCGTACAAGGACGAAGAGTCTGAAGAACCGGACCCCATCAAGCCGACGCTTGACAAGGTGATGGACAGTCTGATTGCCAGCTTCTCTGAATCGGACAAAGATTTCTATAAGCGGGAGTTTGACTTCTTTTCCGAGGTGACCGATATCTCTGGAAAGTTGAAACCTTTCATCAAGAGAAGCAAGCCCGAGAAGAAGGCCAAGATTGAAGAGGAGCTTCGCAAAATCAAAGTGGAAGTGGGGGTGTATCTTCCCAGCAACCCTGACGGTATCGTGGTGGGCATCGACCGCAAGTCCGGAAAGCCATTGCAATCACACGCGAAGGCACCCTACATGGCGACCTTCCGAATCCGCAAAAAGAGGGATACCTCTGAAGAAGATGTGAACAGCATGATCCAAGCAGCTCCCAAACCCCGTCCAAATCTTCGCCATGGCCATAGCCGCAGCAACACTATCGACGACTCCAGCCACAGTTTGAGCCAGGGAAACCCAGATACTTATGAGGTCTGGCAGAGTGCCATATTCAAGGTTGGAGACGACTGTCGTCAGGATGTGCTTGCCTTGCAAATGATTGCGGCATTTCGCGGCATTTTCCATTCTGTGGGACTGGATGTGTATGTTTTCCCGTATCGGGTCACCGCCACAGCACCGGGCTGCGGTGTTATTGACGTTCTGCCCAATTCCATCAGCCGGGACATGCTGGGCCGTGAAGCTGTGAATGGCCTCCACGACTACTTCATCACCAAGTACGGTGGCGAGCACTCAGTTCGATATCAGGAAGCAAGAAGTGAGTTTGTCAAGAGCATGGCGGCCTACTCGGTAATCAGTTACCTTCTCCAATTCAAAGATCGCCACAACGGGAACATCATGGTGGACGACAAGGGCCATATTCTCCATATCGACTTTGGATTTTGTTTCGATATCGCGCCCGGAGGCGTCAAGTTCGAGAGGGCCCCGTTCAAGCTAACGCCGGAGATGATTGCTGTCATGGGCGGCGATGATCCGAACACTTCGCAACCATACCGATGGTTCCAAGAGCTCACGATCAAAGCATTCTTGTGCAGCCGGCAGTATTGCGACAAATTGAGCCATATCGTTGCCCTGATGCTGGACAGCGGTCTGCCTTGCTTCAAGCCTGAAACGATGCGGAATTTCAAGAATCGGTTCGCGCTGGAGAAGACAGACCGCGAAGCAGCGGAGTTTATGCTTGGATGCATCAAGAAGAGCGCGGCTAACGTCACCACCAAGGTCTACGACGAGTTCCAGCTCTTGACAAATGGCATTCCCTATTAAAAACGGAACTCGGGGTCGTGGAGGAACCGAAGTGCAAGTGGCTGTGGGACGTGGAAGGTGGAACGTCAGAAACACTCATAGAATAGTATGTACAGTAGTGTAACTTTCAATCACACAAAGTACTGGAATTGTTCCTGGAAGCTACCTAGTACTTTCAGAACAAGGCGCCCTTTGAATGCCCAGAGGATGTCTCATTCAAGGAGATTCGCGGTCATCAAAAGGGTTCAATCAATCGCGAGATGGTGTCGGAGAACTCGACGGACCAAATGCTCCGTATCCGGAGGTTGATTCATTTGGACAACAAGCCTATCCTGGCCAAAAGATCCGTGAGGAACGTCCAGACTGCCGGGAGTAGACGAAGTTGCTCAATCAGAAGTGGAGCGACGACGACGAAGATGAGAAGGCCTAGATGCAAGAAGTGGAAAACTGTCAGCCTCATGACCATGCATGATCTAGGAGGAGGAACATCGATCTGGCCTGGGGTAGGCCAGGGGGGGGGGGGGAAGGAAGAGGCAAACAAACAACACATAGGAAGAGGCAAACACATAACGCATAGTAACACATACCGACCGCGACCGCCCCGACGGGAGATCTCTTGGGTTCTGGCTTCTTGTAGGCGGATTCGGGCTTGCCCATTCGCTTCTCGACGTTTTTGGCATGCTTTTCGTTGGCGCGCCTCTGGGCCGGGGTTTGCACCTGCAGCGGGAAAGGAAATGGTAAGTGAAGTGCTCGTGGGAGGGTTGCAACGCCTGGCTGGCGGCGGAAAAGGACGAAGTCAGAACCAACCATTTTGATTTAACTTTGGAGATGGTCTGTCTGGAATTCGAATTCGAATTCAGATTCAACGGATGGTGTATAGATGACGGCTGCGGATTGATGTGTGTAGTTGACGGCTGCTGATGGATGTGTGTAGATGACGGCTGTGGATGGATGTGTGTAGATGACGGCTGCTACCCTTAGGGACGTGAGGGCGAGGGTAGATGAAGAAGAGCAGATGAGCTCATCCAGTCTAGTCTTTGGGATGTCGAGGTCGTTCTCCCTTTTATGTTGAGTTTGGAGTGCGAGAGATGGAGATGTTGACAGATATGGCTTCTGCTTCCATCAAAGTCAAAGAGTAAGAGTAAGAGTAAGAGGGATGCTTGGTCGCTCGCTGAGCCCCTGTCCACATCGACCTGACACACTGGCATTAGATGCGACGTCTCCTGAACTTGAACGCGGTCGCGCTCGCGAGGTGCCAAGACATGTCACGTGTTGGCGTGCTATGATTAGCTAAGATTAGGTCTACCCCAGACCTGGCACGTGACTGCACTGCAGTTGCGTCATCTCGTCCGGGCCTTAGGTACCACTTCCCACCTACCACTTACCACAGCTTACAACTCACCAGGCCCTTGCCAGTAGGTGCCAGGCACTTACCAAGGCACCTTAGGTACCAGGCACCGACCAGGTACTGTGCTCAGCCGGCCAACTGTATGCAGTACTAGTTGTGCTAACCCCAACAACAAATACGTAATGCCCAGCACTGGAATACAACGCTGCTTCAACCCCAATCACCCGACCAGGCCATCCACCTATAACTCGACCTTGAACACCTCCCCCCAGTCCCGGCTTGACGAGGCTAATGCAACTATAGAAGCACCTTGCCGTCCCCTGCAACCCTCTCGTGTCCTCCAGATGACTCCGTCCAAGAGCTCCTCAAAGCGGCTCAGTAAGACATCAGATGTCGTGCTACATTACCGGCACCTCATCTGCTCATCTGATGTTGCAATGTACCTTGGAAAGTCCCAAGAGCTCCTATCACATCCATGTATCTGTTGGCACCGCGGCGGTGTAGTATGCACCTTTCTTCAAGAGGCAGGCGAGTACATCTAGCAAAGCCCTCGATCGTGATCGACGTGGGAACCACTGGACGAGTATATGAAGGCCGTAGCCCTTCCCAGTTCTGCCGGGAGCGCTGGCCTCTCTACTTCATTTGAGTACGTATCTATGCACTCTCCGCCATGAAGCCAGTCCATTGTCTGTCCCTGCTAGCCTTCCAGGCCTTGTGCGTGGCTGCTGGCCAACACGAGCATCCGCATTCAACCGTCTTCAACCCTCATCGCGCTCTATGGAAGAGACAAGAAGCCGCCTTTCCGCCCACCTTGGACCAGAATGAGGCGATACTGGCCAACTCCTTCGATAACGCTTCGCTTGAAACATGGTCTTATTACTACACCCATGGCCTGCACCTCGCTGGTACCAATAAGACCATTGCTCAGTGGACTGCTGATCGCTGGAATGAGTTTGGCTTCTCAGCCAAGCTAGTTGAGTACTGTACGGTGGAGGCCTCTCCATGACCGCGAGAAGTAGCTGATGTACTCCAAGATACGTACCTGAACTATCCGGTGTCGCACTCGTTGTCTGCGACCTTCCCCAATGGATCAACTTGGACCGCCTCGCTGCGGGAGGACCCCTTGCCTGAGGATGATGTGACTAACTATCCCAACAGCGTCCCCACATTCCACGGGTATTCCTTCAGTGGTGATGCAGAAGCAGAGTACGTCTACGTCGGTCGCGGCCAGCAGGTAGACTTTGAACGACTCAAAGCATTGGGCGTGCCTCTTGAAGGCAAGATCGCCTTGTCCCGCTACGGCGGTCCGTTCCGCGGACTCAAGGTCAAGAATGCTCAGGAGAACGGCCTTATCGGCGTCGTTATCTTCACAGATACAGCTGACGATGGCAATGTGACGGAGGCCAATGGCTATGCCCCTTATCCTCACGGACCAGCGCGAAATCCAACCTCGGTGCAACGTGGGAGCGTAGAGTACTTGTCCACCCACCCTGGCGATCCGACGACCCCAGGCTACCCATCGCACTTTGATTCACCTCGTACGGACCCGTCTCTCGTCACGCCACAGATCCCATCTCTTCCTATATCGTGGAAAGACGCCCAACCATTGATCCAAGCGCTCGACGGCTATGGTACCAGTGGGACGACAGTGAACCGTACCAACTGGGTCGGCAAGCTCAATGCAACCTACTCAACGGGACCAGCTCCAGGAACAACCATTTCGCTGTCCAATGTCGTGAGAGAAGAGACCACCTGGATCTGGGACACCATCGGGATCATCAACGGAACCCACGAGGATGAAGTCATCATAATCGGCAACCATCGCGACGCCTGGGTGGTTGGTGGTGCTGCGGACCCAAACTCGGGCTCGGCGGTGCTTGTCGAGCTTGCTAAGGCTTTTGGAGCATTACTCAAGACTGGTTGGAAGCCCCGACGAACCATCGTTCTGGCCTCTTGGGACGCAGAAGAGTATGCCTTGCTCGGCTCCACCGAATGGGTTGAGGAGTACATTCCCTGGCTGAGCAAGGCGGCGGTCGCCTACCTCAACGTCGACGTCGCTGTATCTGGCCCCGATCCTGAGCTAGCAGCCTCGCCGGAGCTGCATGAGATCGCCACCGAGGTTCTCAAGAAGATTGTCTATCCGTATCGTGGCTACAACAACCTGACGCTCTACGATGTCTGGTACGGCCTGACCGAGGGCGAAGTTGAAGTCTTGGGTTCTGGAAGCGACTACACCGCTTTCATTCACAACGGCATCGGCTCCCTGGACTTTGGCGCCGGCGGAGGTCCTACAGATCCAATTTATCATTACCACTCCAATTACGACACCTTCCACTGGATCAGCACTTTTGGTGACCCCGGCTTTGTTGCCCACAAAGCTATCGGGCAGTACGTCACTTTGTTGGCATATCATCTGGCGAATGATCCCATCATCCCTTTCAACGTGGAGAATTATGGGGTGCAATTGACCTTGTATCTAGAGACGCTGGCCGATGATATTGCATCCGCCAATGCCACCGTCGACCTATCTCCCCTAGAATCGGCCGTGGCAACATTCAATGCCTCGGCTGCAGCCCTTACCGAGTTGATCAATACGGCATCAACGGAACAGGAAATCAGCTTTGTCAATGCCAAGCTGAGGGACTTCGGTCGTGGATTCGTGTCGCAAGGCGGTCTACCAACGAGAGAATTCTACAAGCATGTGGCTTTTGCACCGGGTCTCGACACGGGATATGCTCCCACAACCTGGCCCGGTATCACCGAGGCGGTGGCTGCTGGCAACTTCACTCTCGCCAACATTTGGGTGCAGAAGTCGGCGAAAGCGGTCGAGGTGGCAGCTGGTATTTTGACGCCTTGAATGACTACGCTGTCGCAAAGGGCCATCTTGACACGATCGTCTGAGGGGTTTGCTCTTCCACTCGCCCATGCCTCTGATCAAACAGAATGGATATCCCCCGAGCACGCGTAGCCAGGAGAGAAGCGGACATTGAGACTGAGATATGTAAATAGGATATAATAATGCAGCAGGCAGTCAGCCAGGTTATCGCGGCGTGAGGATTCTTATAGACTATTTCTAAATCCTCAAAAGTGATTCTTGATCCGTCGATTAGAGAACGGTGGAGGTTGCAAAAGGATGCTAATCACGTGAGCGCTGGGAACCTTATAACCCTTGTAAACCTGGCACACATGACAAACAGAGCAAACAGAGCAAACAGAAGATTGATTTCTTCCTACTAATTACTCCACGAACCACGAACCATACAACAACAGGTGCGCAAGCTACGAACCTCACGATGGCATGAGCCTGTTGCCCAACTGAACCCAAATCCCACACGACAGTACCACACTAACCTTAACCATCAAAGATGAAGGGCATACGCACACGGATACAGACACGGATACCGATATCCACTCACTGGCAGGTCTGGCCGACCACGCGTGCCCTGCGCACGACACACCGAATTGCCCATCAGTTGCCCAGTCCAGGTCGAACTCGAACTCGAGGTCTCAGTACAAGCCTGCCGCTACGCCAGGCGCAGGTGCAGCCTCAGCCTCAGCCTCCACCGGAAAAGCCGGTCAACTTCTACCAGACACACGGGCGGGCAGTGTTCAAGGCGCTCACGCTCGCCTTTCTGAGCTACCAGATCGTATACTGGACGTGGTTGACGTTGGAGACGGAGGAGATTAAGGACCAGAAGAACCGCGAGATCGAGACGTTGGAACGCGAGGTGCGGTTGTTGGATGAGAGTCGCCGAGCGCAGAAGTCGGGTGGCTAAGCTGGAAAGAGTCGATGGGCGCAAAAGTCTGGTGGCTAAGCTGGATCAGAGTCGATGGGCGCAGAAGTCTGGTGTCTAAGCAGGATCAGAGTCGATGGGCGCAGAAGTCTACTGGCTAACCTGGATGAGATCCTTTGCTAGGTGGATACAGTACGTGTCGCCCAACCCAACAGGATGGTACAAGGTCCTCCAGCAAAAAAGTCAGAGATTAATTCTGTCGGGAAATTCTGATGCAGCATTCTGGCACCTTAAGGGTGACATAGCTGATTGAACACGACCGCGCCCGAGACAGCCGCCGTCAAATCTCAGATTGCCGGGCGCAAGCCATACCGCCTCTCAGACGACTCCAAGCGACGACCGAGGTTCCATGAGAGATTTCAGACATTTCCACACAGAGATGCGTCCTGGCAGAAAACCGAGACAAGCTGTTAAGCCGCTAACAGACAACTGTAAGCGTTGCTGAAATATGGAACGCGCAAGACATCTATGTCGTCAGCCGGATTGTGACTTGTGGCCTCGACACCTTATTGCCCGGGCGTGGGCGTGGGTGTGGGCGTTGGTGGAGGAGGACCTTTGAAAACTTTAACTTTGAGGACTCTGAACTCCACGAGGAGGAGAGAATCATGTATAAGTATCAGCTTTTTTCCGTGCAGAAGGACATATTGTTCAACACAGACAAGACATACAACAATTACAATCTCGACTTGCTATCCAGCCCCTTGCCCTTGCTCTTTCTTGCCCATCCTCTTCCCATCTTCCTTGATATCAAACACCTTCTTCGACACCCTTCCGACTTACAACACCTATTTCTTCGACACCCTCCCGACTTCTAACACCAACACCTACTCCCGATACCCTCCCGACATCCAGCTCTTTACTTGGCTGTCTCCCTCCGCCGTCATCACCATGTTCGGCTCTATGATCACCTTTGTCGCCCTGGCTCTGGCCACCATCTCCTCCGTCGTCGCGCTCCCCACTGGCCCGTCACTACAGCCAGCACCCGCTGCCGTGCTCAGCGTGCGGCACATACACCCTAACCTGCAACCTGCTCTGGCTTCCGCCCCTGTTGTTCCTGCTCGCGCTCCCGCCCCTGCCATGCCCTCCCAGCATGTCCCTGTCGCCTCTGTCGGCCCTGTTGGCCCTGTCGCATCGGCGCCGTACATCTACCAGACTCGCGCCTCCGCCCACCCGATGCCCGCCCGCCAGAACCACAGCTCGGTGTTGATGCCCATCAGCCTGCCCAGCCCAATCTACGCCAGGTCGGCCTCGGCCTCGACATCGACATCGGCATCGGCATCGAGCACCTCCGGCGACATAGTAAGTCACGTCATGGTCGACAACAAGCCTTGGACCTACACCATCCACGCCCACGACACACCACACGTGATCCGGCCGATGCCAACCACCCTGGCCACCATGATCGCCATGGAGAAGCGCGAGGCCCACCGACACCTCCCTGTTCCCTTCCCCTCGAGTGCCAACCACACTCTCCCTCTCCCGCGCTCGGCGCCGGCCCCCGCTGACCCATCCGCCACTTCTGCCTCCTCGCCTGTCATCTTCGACTCGATCTCGACCCCTAGCGACGCCGCCGAGACGACGCCCGTCGCTCGCATCATCCCCGCGCACACCCCCAGCCGATTCGCCTCTCCTCCTGGCAGCCTTGCTGTCTCTCTCCCCTCGGCGCGGTCTTACCCTTCCCCTTTCTCCGGCAGCCTCGCTCGGCCCAGCCACAGCCACAGCCAGAGCCAGACCAACGACATCCACCATGCCGTTGAGACAATGTCGGCCCCCTTCCTCGGCCAGTTCGGCCCTTCTTCCCTCCCTGACGGCCTCCAGCTCCCTAAGGAGATGCCGTCGCCCTCGCCCGAACTCTTCCCCAGCCAGTTCGGTGCTCCTTCCCTTCCCGGCCTCCCGCTTCCTACGGAGATGCCCTCGCCCTCGCCCTCCCACGACCGCCTCCCCCTCTCCCTCTCCCTCTCCCTCTCCATCAGGCAGCTCGTCCCTCTCCCTCTCCCGCAGTCGCAGCCGACCAACACTCCTCACACTCAGACCGAGGCCGACACCATCTCTACCTCTACTTGGAGTGTTGAGACGCCAACCACCGCCACCACCGAACCCATGTTCAGCATCTTGCCGTTCACGGGCCCCCTGACCCCGATCCCGACCCTGTTCTGAACCTGAACCTGAACCTGAGGTTCCCTCCCGTCCGCCTCCGCCCCTGCCCTGCCACCTCTCTCTCTGTGTGTGCCTGTCCGCCTGTCCGCCTGTTCGCCCGTCCGCCCGTTCGCCTGCTGCTGAAGCGAGAAAAAGGAGAGAAAAAGTTGTTAGACATGATTCCTGTTCGGTTTTGTTTTGGTGCTCTTCTAGTTTGAGTTTCAAATCATAGGATTTGACTTTGACTTTGATCTTGATTCAACTCTCGATCTTGGTGTTTACATGTATGTGAAGGACTGAATGTGCGGCAGAGATGCGATGCAACTTGCGGTCCACCAAAAAAAAATGGAAAAGCAATCTGGTATCACAGTGCTGTGCTGTGCTGAACTGTTTACATGGCTAGTTGGCTAGTTAGTTGTTATTTACATTTATATGATCGACCTTCCTAATTGATTGCTTTTGCTTTCACTCTTCACTCTTATGTCCATTCCCGCTCGCTCTTCACTCTTATGTCCATTCCCGCTCGCTCTTCTCTTTCCCAGTCCTCATTTCATGTGAACGGAACCGAACCGCTGGTTGCGGGAGTTTGATTGATTTCCAACTCCAGTAATCTAATCTAGGCATGTGCTCTGTATTCCTGTCAAATGAAGGTTGAAATGTTCGCTGTTGTCTATCCAAGGGTCGCAGGCGGAGCGCACGCTATATAGTATAGTATAGTATAGTATAGCCTAAACCAGCCTTCTGGTTAAAAGGACAAGGACAAGGCTGGGAATGTCCAAGTTTGACAATTCCATACCAAGATTCTCAACCGTAAGTCTTAGAACCTCAGCAGAAACAAAACAGTCGCACTGTAGTCATCATCATAGCCATGTCTAGCTACGAGCTGCATATTGCATATATCGAAGCCTGGGCCCTGTTCGACATCGAGCTCACAGTAATTCATCCATTTTGTCCTTCTTATCATATCGTCTACCATCTACCGTTGGTAACCGGGTTATATCATGTTGCCTTTGCTTGGTTCAGTGCTTATTGGTGCCTTCCCATCCAAAACGCAAATCGACTGCGCCGTGCCCGTTGCTAAGAAAGCTCAAGTCCGTTCTCCGCCAATCAAGAGAAGAGACCAACACTGCCTCATCCTGGCAGAAGAGGCTTGTATTTATCCAAATCACCCCGTCCTGTGCTATCTTCCTTGTCCAGCAGGTCCGCGGTCGCCATGGTACCTGGCTCACCGCTACCGGGCCTATGGCCGCTCGTATTGCCCATGCCGTTTGCTTCCCTCTCACTCGTCCTACCGCCCTCGGTGTCCTTTCTAGTCGTTGTAGAAATACTTGTACTCCGACCAGGCCTGGGTGGTAAAGGAGGCGCGGCGTCCAATTCCGTCAAAGTTTGGCTCAAAGAACTACTTCTCCGCGAAGGTGTGGACCCGACACTCCCATCGCGCGGCTTCTGGCTTTGGAGTTGTGAGACCCGCGCTGGAGGGGGTGGCGGAGGAGTGCCTCGGTGGGTATCGGACACAGATGAGATGGTATCTGAGGCGCTGATGAAGGATGCTGTCGAACTGGCTGTTCCCGTTCGTCTGGGCAGAGGGGGAGGCTGTTCCTCATCAGAACGCGGCCGTGGGATACTGGCCACTGGAGGCAGGGCAGACGAAGCAAGAGGACTCGACGGTGGAAAGGCCACCGGGCTTGAAGACGACGCGAGAGTCGATGGCTTGGCTGGTTTGGGCGGTGGCAGCTTCTTCGCCAGTGGGCTTGTCGACGGCGACGTCTGGATGGCATCGCCAGTCACGTTTCCTAGAGATCGGACAGGCGACGAGGCAGCGCTGGCAGTGTCGGGCTTTGGTCCTGTGGACGAGACCACTCGATCTCCCTCCCAAGGAGGCGGTACCATTCTCCTGCTTCCTCTTGTCGGAGGAGGCACCGGCTTCCTACTCGATGCTCTGCTGGCCTCTTTGCTGCTGTTGTCCATGATAGCAGGCCTATCAACCTGCACCCAGTCGTCTTCTCCGCCTTCTCGCCAGGGATTCCCTTCACGGTTCCGGTTGAGCAACATGCCTTCTTTTGGAGGTCGGACCGTGCTTCGAGCCGCTTTGTTCCCCTCAAACCACCATTTCGTCTTGTCGCTGCTGGCAGCTGGTAGCCCCTCTTGGATACTCTCGTATCCCATCACGCTTTCGGTCTCGTCTTCTTCGCTGCTGATCTCCTCAAAGCCATCCGTGGAATCGCCCGCCTGGGTCTTCAACTCTTTTGCTCTCTTAGAGTACAGCTTCTTGGTCAACACTTCTTTCTTGCCTTCATCCACCACCAAAATCCCCATTTCAAAGGCCGCATATACGGGTTTATGGTCGCTGAACCGCAGTGCCATGACGCTGTCGTATTTTAATTGCCTCATTTGGGTGCCCAAAATCTCCCCGGCCTGCACCGCGGTGCTTTTGTGGTTGATCTTCCACACAATCCGATCGGTCCAGGCCGGGATTCGTTGTTTGTCGCTGGAATCGAAGTCGTCCGTGCCTATGTCGTATTTGTACGTCGGCAAGAACTTGACCCGTCCTTCTCGGTAGTAGTTGAAACAACTACCCACCACCATTTGAATATTCAATTGGTCGTTTTCATACAGTTTGCCCAACACTTCCTCCCGGGTCTTTTCCGAACCGGCCATGGCTTCGTTGACGAGAGCCCGCACTTTTTCGTAGCTGAGTCCGATGCGGTAGTTGAAATCGCCGGCCCAGACGATAATCTCGTGGTCTTCAATGCTTCGGTTGCGTTGGAATCTCAGCCCAGATGTAATGGTGTTGTAGTCTCGGTTTCGCTCTTCGTAGTTCGCGAAACCGGCAGCCAAATGGGCGGTAACGAAGCAGACCGATGTGCTCTCGATCTCCATCCGGATGGCGACCGCTCCCTTGTTCCCAGCAATGCCGCTCAATCCTGTCTTCTTGATCGCCCCTTCGACGTTTTTGATCCGTCTGAGAATTCTGGACCGAACGAAAACCATCAAAGCCGCACCGACGAGCTGACCGCTTCTCAGAAGAACATAATCATCGCCCGTTGGCAGGAGCCCGTCCGGCTTTTCTTCCTCGGATCCATTCAGGCAGTTCCTGACGGCACTCTCCCATAAAATCCGCCGTTTCGGGTCTGTGCTCATGATCTGCTGCGGACTCAACTCGACCAGCTCTTGAAAGGCCACGACGACAATGTCAAGGTCTTTGCCATGGACATCCAGCCATGGCCGAAGGTCCTCGTTGGCCCCCATCGTCTTGCCGTTCAGATTGTACGTGCCTACGCCGAGTTTGATTTGATCTCGGGTCTCAAACTCGGGCCTCCGTCTGGCCACCTCTGCAACCACCCAATCATTGATGGGATCATACAAGTCCACGCTGTTCTGACCCACAAGTCTGCCCAGGAGCAGGTCGACCGTGTTCTGCCGGTTCTTATCTTCGAAATGGTTGACGTAGAGGCGTGTCGCACTCTTTCTGGCATCCGCAATGGCGCCTGAAAGACTCATCTTTCCGTGTCTGGTGAAGGAGCTCTTCAATGCCCCCGTGCCAGCGTAGATCTTCGACAGCGCATCTCCGTTGTCGGCCCACAATGTGGAATGCCGCATCCAGAAATCGGAATTTCCCCGTTCGTCTCGATGTGACAGAAACAGTTCGAGGGCCATCTGACTGATCATGCCTTGGATGAGGTTGGTCCGGTCTAAGCAATCCAAACAGTTGACACGGAACACCCCGTTCTGCTGCATGACCACGACTGGCCTCTTGATGACGCTCTTCTTTCCATCTAGTACTGTTTCATCGGCAACTTCCTCGGAGAGAAAATAGACGAAAGACTCGGCACTAGTCTCCAGGTAAGGCCGGATAGATCGAGCTCCCTCGTACCCACTGGCGCCTTTGGTACGCTCGTGAAAGTCGAATTCGGTCTCCCGCAGGAGAAGATGTTCCTCCACCTCATCCTCCTCGTGACGCCGTAGAGGACTGCGGTTCACATGATAGCGATATCTCTCGGTCAGCTCCACCTCACCGGGCTTGAACGCGCTGAGCAGATTGACGATATGCACTGCTCCATATGTCCGCTCCATGTTCGCAAAATGCTTGTCGAAACTGGGTTGTGTGGCTTCCGGAGAGCGCGTGATTTGGATTTTCTGTTGTCCCGGGATCAAGCTGCTTGAGCTTTCCCAGAAAATCGGGATGCTGCCACGGATTTGGACATAAGAGAAGCAAATCCCCGTGTTGGACCAGAAGACGGTCTCGGTTTCGACAAAGTTGGCCACATTGCCATCATCATCGATGCCTCGAGAGTTGAACCGCGTTCCTGCACGTCTCGACGAGAGCCTTGAGATCACGGTCAAGGTTGTGGGTAGTCCAGGAACAGTGCCCCGAATCGGAGACGAAGACGAGGGTACGGTCAGAGTCCTCACAAACCCGCGAATCACCGAAGTCAGGAGGCGGGATCGGTCCAGCTCGTTCCGCTCATGGTCCGTCAATCTACTTCGGAATTTGATGAGAGGATCGATCATGTACGAGTTCCACAGGAGACCTTCATCCAGGCTCGAAATGTCGACTGTAGAGATTTCCTCGGCACTGCAACCGGTCAGCTCCATGGGGTTTGGCTTGAGACTCCACAAACCGGTCCTGCAGTCGACGTGTCAGGTCAAAGTCGACGCTGTAATAGAAATGCCCATTGCTCAAGAGCTTCCTCAAGGCATGGAATGGATGCTCTGCGCTCGAATCGCCTTGGTCGTAACCTCCGCCATAATCAACATCATCGGACTGGAAGGTCTGTCCAGGGTAGGGGTTTGGGTAGGGGCCAGAAGCGTGGTCGTAGTCGGCTCGATTCAGGCAATCTTCAGCTCAATCAGTAACGCGGTCTCGAACCGACTTGATCGACGTACAAAATTCGACGGCAAAGATCTTGTGCACGACCTCGCCGGGTCTCACCGTGGCCACTATTTCCGAACCAGTGATGACGCAGATGAAGACATCATTGTTCAGCGTGATGAGGCCCAAGGTGCCCTTAGCAGTGGCCACTGTATGAAACTGGCTCAGGTCCGTGGATGATCTCCCACCAAACTCCACCATGCAGCGAGGGGTGAGATTCGACCGGCTGGCACTCAGTGATGGCAAGCTTGCAGACTTCAGGCCCCTCGAGGAGTTCTCTGGCGGAGGAGAGTGAGTGTGGCGAAAGACCAAGACATGCTCGTCGGTCGCCAACGCCAGAGTCCGGTGAGGGTAGTCGTGGATGAGGACCCGGGTGGACATGGCTGCAGAGGCAGAGGCTGAGGCTACCGGGGTACCTGCGATTGGCACCACATTGCCAGTTGATGATGGAGAGAACGGAACGCGGTGAAGCAGTGAATACAGCCACCAACATGGACTCGCCGCTGTCAGCTATCACGATGGTACTGTCTCGTGAGTGTGAGGGTACGTGTGTCTGGACCTGACGGAACTGAGTGAGGTTCAAGTAGACGTTGCCTTATCCGAGCGGAGCACGTGATCCGCTCACGTGTGATGCTTTCCCGCGAACACGTGAAGAGACGGCGAGGGTTTATGGGCAGGGACAGAGAGCATATCCACGAAAGCAGTAGGCAAAGATCAATATCAGATACGGATAGACAACAGGCACGTAAACAGCTGGCAGCAAGAGCCTTTCCATTTTGATCCGAACACGCAGTACAGGCATGTATGTTTGCTACAATGCTCCCCATCAACATCAACCTGAACCTGGGTATCTCCGAGCAGTGTGAAAGAGCAACAGCAACGCCCACGCCTGGCATCGATGCTCTCAAAGTAATATCATTCTTGCCCGCTCCCGCTCCCGCTCCCATATGCTCGTCCATAGCAGGCACTCTCTGGCAATGAAACAGCCAAGGCAAGATCCCATATGCATTTTGAAACGCCCGCTCAGCCTCTACTTTCGTAAATCATCACAATATAACACGAAACTCTTCCAATCAAACCACCATCTCTTGCCCCTGAGGCATGAAAAACCAATCCCGATGCTTCGGGAGGAAAAAGCCATGCCCCCTGATGTAGCCTATGTGCGGGGCTGCCCTTTGTCGACGGTACGAACCAGTCTAGACCGGAAAGTGCTGGAAAGAGGAACCGAGAGGCGTAAGCGTCGCCGAGGTGGAGGAGCTGCGATGGATTGAAAACGGACAAAGGCCACCCAAGCTTCCACCCTTGCTGATCATCTCGCCCCGGCGTCTCACAACCAAGCATTCTCAATCTTTCCAATTCGCATCGTCAACTTCGAGTCAGCCGCTCACATAACGGCGCATCCACCTTGTTCGGCGGCACCGTGCTGGGGTTTCGCGGCTACATCAGGCCTTTTTTCACCTTTTAAAGGCCGGTTCGGCCGGGGGGGAGCCCCTCCCAGCATCCATGCGGCCAGTCCGCCAGGTTTTCTTTTTTTCCCTGGAAGCAGAATCGTCAGCGAAACTCTCAACGAACAAGGTGGGACCATGGGAAATGCCTACCTTTCTTCTCCTTCCTCGGGTTCAGCTCGTCATCGAGATTCAAAATGACATCCGGAGGTGGTGGTGGTGCTTCTTCCGCCGGCGGTTCAGGAATTGGCCACATCATCATCGTAATATGCATGTCGGGCTCAATGGTGGATTCCCAATAGTTGGGCATGATGATCTCCTTGTCGGGTCCGATCAAATCATAGCGCCCGTTCATGACATGATCAGCAAGGCCATCGATGTGCGCAAAGGCCTGGTTGATGAGGCCTTCCATATCCTGTCCAGCGTTAGTCATCGTCGCATAAGAGCCACAGAAACACCACTCACCCTCCACTTGCAGCATCTTTCCCAGGGGAAGTTGTAATTGCGCCCAATGGCATCTTTGAACCTCACCGGAGCTTTCTTCTCCGGAGGAGCTGCCGCCTTTGCCTTCTTTTCCGCTTCTTCCGCTTCCGCCTTTGCCTTGGCTGCGGCCTCTTCGGCCTCCTTCAGCTTGGCTTGGGCTTCTTCTTGGGCCTTTCTGGCCTCCTCCTTTATTGCGGCCGCCGCATCGGCGGCCTCTTTCTCGGCGGCCGTCTTAGCCGCTGCTGCCGCCTCATCGGCGATCTTCTTTTCTGCGGCAGCCTTTTCAGCTTTTGCCGCTGCCTCTTCGGCTGCAGCTTTCAACGCGGCATCCGCGGCTTCTTTACGGATCTGCTGCTCTCGTGCTGCTTGCTCGGCTGCTTGGCGAACCTTCTCTTCGTAAGCTCGAATCGCGTCTTGCTTCGCTTCATCTCGAATTCGTTGCTCGGCCGCCATCCGCTCGGCCATGGCGGCGGCATCTGCACGGGCTTTGGCTTCTGCCGCTCGAATCGCTTCTTCCCGGATGCGTCGTTCCTCTTCAGCGCGTGCAGCAGCAGCAGCAGCTTCCGCCCGGGCCTTCTCTGCGGCTTGGATCAGAGCCTGATCTCGAATCCGCTTCTCTTCGTCAGCGCGTATGGCGTCTTCTCGCGCTTTGTCCTCGGCCTGTCGAAGGGCCTGTTCCCGAATGCGACTTTCGTGCTCGGCTCGGGCGGCGGCGGCCTTGGCATCTTCGGCCGCTTGAGCTTCCTTGGAGAGCTCGGCCTGAGCTCGTTCTTCCTTCATCAAGTCCGCAAACCGTTTGAACATCTCTTCTGGGTCTGCATCTTTCTTCACCTCAAACTTATCCACAGATGCCGTGGCGGAACCAGGTTGTGGTGAAGGTGCGAGAGGAGGACCAAGCCGATAATCCATGTAAGGGGGGTATGGCATTTGCTGAGGATACTGAAGAAAAGGAGGTTGATACTGCTGCCCCGGGAATTGGGGCGGATAGTGGGGTGGAAAATATGCCCCCGGAGGCGGTGGTCCGTAGTTGACAATGGTGGGAGGTCCGTAGGGGGACGACGTATATGGAGAGGTCACTTGGGACGGGGCATGATTGCCATACCCGCCCCCATATCCCGAATGAGGGGGGTATGGTACGGGCTGGCCGGCAGCCATGGGAGGGTATGAAGGTGGAAAGGGCACCGCCAGCGGTTGGGGTTGAAGAGGTATCATCTGATTCGAATGCGGCACGGCAGGGTAGGCGTAGGATCCAGAGGCACTGCTGTGGGGGTACCCGTTGTGCGCATAGTATGATTGAGGGCGCGGCATACCAGGGCCCAGATCTCGCCTGGCCAGAAATTCTTCTGTTGAATCGCCGCTCTCGGTGGGTGATGTATCTTGTAACTCCCGTGTCCGACTGCGCGTGGCGTCACGTCTTTCCGGTTGACGGCGAGAAGGTTGTCGCCGGGTGGAGTTGGCTCGAGAGTCGTACTGCTGCACCCGCTCCCGATGGTCTATTCTTGATGCCAAATCTGAGCCATCGCCTTCAGGCAGATCGGGAGGGTATTCCAATGTGACAAAGTCGCCAGGATGCGATGACGAACCACTCTGGCTCTGGGTAGGTTGAATCACCGAGTATTGAGGGGAGATCTCGGCAGGCGAGACTTGGACGCCGTTCTCGTGGAGCTCGTCGTCGCCTTGCGAGACAGGGGAAGGGGTGCGAGAATGAATGTGGGTTATGTCAATATGGGTGCGGCTATGACGGCCGGAGGACCTAAGAGCAGAGGCGTCAGCATTGACAGAACGGCATGGGTAGACCACGCACCCCATTGGAATTGAGTGAGGTCAAGGGATACCACGTCCAACCCACCCCTGAGGGAAGGCTGAACGAGATAGCCTTGAAGGTTTGTCAGTTGAAGGGATGCTAACCGGACCAACAATAGGGCTGACTTCAGGGTTTAGGACCGTCCAGAGGGCCAGATCCAGAAAAGCTGCGCGACCTTCGTTCGGACCCAAAGGTGAGGTGGTGGAGGATGGACTGAGCCTGCGGCAGTGGTGACCGCCCACTGCAGCGCAAGTTTGTGATGTCCTAGACGGTGGATCCGCGGGGAGAAAAGGAACGGCCAGAGGCGGCGGTTGCATATGCGACGGGCCGCGAGCAAGCCAGAAGCAGAACAGCCGGGGATGAGTGTGCACCGTGCTGAGCAACAACACGGTGTCAGTAGGTATGGCCGGCGTCGAGGAGTTGTGAGTGAGTGAGTGAACCAGGGAGAGGAGGTGAGTTGAGTGAGTGACTCCCGTCGAGTGTTTTGTGCTGTTTGGGCGCCAGGTCCAAGTTTGGGGTGCGCTAAAGGGGCAGAAATTAGGGAAGATTGACGCTGGTGCCCAATGCCAAATGTTAGTACAGTCGCAGGTGAGCCGCCTCCGAGTCCCTCGCTGCTTTTCCTCCCCAGGCCAAAGGTGGGGGGGGGCCAGGCGTCCAACTCAAATGCAGCCGCCGACACCCACACCGACACACCAGCACCAGCACCGACAATGATGATGTCGACCTGTGCTCAACTCCTTTCGCGATGGTGGCGGCAATTACGTTGTCAATGGTGCACCCCCCGTCTAAGAAGGAGGTGATCTCTGCTGCTGCAGCACGCCTGTGTCTTCGCAGTTCCCCCCACGGTGGTCCCAACAGGCTTGGTTGAGTAAGGCTGACAGGGACTCCAGTTGTCCGAAAAGAAGGGGATTCTCTATGTCGTTGTCTCTATGAATTTTTGTCGATACTGTTGCAGCCTCCGAATCGGTCGCCTTCTCGGGTCGAATCCTGCATAAGCGATGTGGCCCTCGACCCTTCTGGCGATTCGAGGCGAGACTCTTCGCTCTGTGAGGACAATAATTTGAGTGTTTTTGGTTCGAGTCTATCGTTGGAAAGAATAAAGAGAAGTTTGAACCTCCCTCAACAAGTGTAGAGGAGGAAGGCAAGAGATGTGCTGGCGGAGGGAGACTGTCACCACAACAGCCTGCAGCCCTTTGGGCGTACCGTATCCAGGTGACGCACTGTGGTACAGGGATTCCTGCCCAGATGCAAAGGACCTGTAAGGGGTTGGAGAATCTGGTAGGCGCTTCTTGCGCGCTGTCTTCCTCTGGTGGTGGCCAACACGGTAAGAATAAGACATGGAGGGCTCCGGCGCAAGGAGAGGGCGCAAGTAATGGATCTGGATGTCTAGCCGTAAACGACAATTGAAGTGCAAAGGAGAGTGAGGTCTACATTGGGTTGCAATTCAAGAAGAGAGCATTATCATCTCCGCCCAACTTTTCATGCTATTCTCGATCTATATAATCGGGATCTGAGGCCCTCCCGACCATCCCGAGTGCCAGCTGGCTACCCATCCTTTCGTGACTCACGGCCGCTAAAACCTGAGCATGGTGAATTCTTAAACCGTCATGAGAGGTGATGCTCCCAACAGAATCTCATGTTCGGGCACAGGCTAGTCTTCGGCGTGTTTGCCTCGTGGTATGTGGCGCGTCGTGGGGCAAGGCTTGCGGAGCTTGAAAATAGAGATCACAGGGACCGGGAGTCAGAAGTGCCAACGGAGCCACAGTGTCATTCGTGATCAGTCGGGTTCCGGGTCAATTGAGGCATCCTTAGAAATGCTGCCACGTCGGCCGGCGCCAAACTGCTGCCCAACCGTCAATCTGTCGCTGCACGCTAGTGTGTAAGAACGACCCGCATCTTACATGATCTCGCACGAACCACGGTTTGCTCCAGGAACAATGGTGTTCCCTTGCAGGAAATTTTCGCATTTCGTGCCTTTGATCAGGATCAAGAGCGGGATTCCGACGCAAGTGGCGTCGTGGGGGCCCGAGAATCGGAAGGCCTGGCTCCGTCGCACTGTCCCTCCGGTGTTGCATTCTCGACCAGACCGCACTCAACCTTTAGAACTGTTCAATAATTGCTGAACTGCAATTACTTCTGACTCGTTGCCCGCAGACGATCGTGGGCCGGTGCGTTCCTTCACAATAGCCTCAAGTTTGGATGTAGCCAACCGACTTAGCTGCTGCAGTTTCTCAGGCGGGATGGTGGAATCTGCATTCGCCTTTGCAGATGAGTAGGCCCCTAGAAGCTTCTCCGAGGCGAGCTTCAGCCCATAGAATCCCCGCAAATAGTCGTCGCAAAGCTCGATGCTGCGGCTGAACCGACGAACTGCTTGTGTCAAATGCTTCCGGATCTCGCTGTGGTCGCTAGATGACGTGCCGGCCATGTATTCAAGTTCACCAAGGCGTGCATGGAGATTCCATGCATGGGGAGTAATGAGGACAGCCTCCTCAAGGGAGAAGATAGCTTGTGAAATGTGTCCTTGAGACTCGTAGAGATCACTTAATTCACACCACGCCTCGATATCGGTGGGGAATGAGTCCACAAATTCGACCAAACCGGCAATGGCATCTTGAGGTCTCCCCAAGCTTTTCAAGAGGGCAATCCGGCGTTTGTGGATGGGAACATGAATGGGATTCTCTTGCAGCACCTTGGTATAATCCTCCAGTATTGTCCGTAGAGCCGCATCGTCTTTTGCCACAGCCTCCTGGTATAATCCTCTCAGCGCCATCACGCGTTCGTTGTCTGCGCCAAATCTATCACTCAGGCGTTCCACACATAGAAAGGCCGACTCGTCATCTCCGGAGCGGAGGCAGGCGTAGAGCAGCTGTTCAACATCTTGCCATAGCTCAGTGGAGTCTGCTGAACTGAAGATTGAGGCCGGGAAAATCGTGCTGACCGAAGATGCTTTGGCGAGGACTGAGGGAGCTTTCTGTGCTATTCGCAGCACGGCCGCTGGGTCAGAGGGATTGGTTGTGGAGGTGGTCGCCATGGTTTCTCGTCAGTTCGACTCTGCGAGAGAAAAGAGGGGTGGGGTCTGGTCTGAAAGATAGAGCAGCTTGAGGCTTAACAAGCTGTGGGAAAGTGCCGAGTTTGGTTGACAGGCTGTCAATGTCGAGATCCAGGCTATAATCAAGGACATTAGTTGTGATGCGAACGCGACCCTGAGGCTGGAGGCACGGCGGAGCAAATGAGGCACCTATTCTAGTAAGGCTCGGTCGCTCGGGCTCAAATCTAGTTCTAGTCACGTGATAATCACGGTAGCGGCGCCGCTTTGACATAACCTAGGTCCTTCTGGCTCTCCATGTGAGATGAACAGCAGGGTGTCTACGTCGCACGGAGGCAGAAGTATAGAATGCCAGATTGCCGGCCAGTGGTGCAAAGTGCAAGAAATACGGCGGGGGTATTTGTCCAACAAGCTGGAAGACAGACTTGTTAGGGCACCGCAGGGCATATCACGTGACATGCAGGCCTTTGAGCCTAGGGCAGCACGACCATCTTCCCAACCGGGGAGTCGGACCCGACTCTACAGATCTTGGCGGCGATGATGTGCCCGACTCGGCGCTCAAGCCAACCTCTCTAAACACCTTGACTGACTATTGGAACGACGAGGTCCTCGCCGGATCAAAACACGATGGCTTTGATAGGTTGATTAAACTCCCGGCCTGCCGAAAGATGTCTCTTCTCTCGCTGCTCCTCTCTAAACCAAGGCACAGCATCGTCTGAGGAATCATGTCGACGGTGCTGCATCAAGAGTCAAGACATCTCGCCAGTCCACAGCCTACGACGACGGTGGTCTAACCATTTCCCAAAATGTTTGAAAAATCACTGGTCGACCTGATCCGTGGCCTTCGTGGCCACAAGGGCAATGAATCGGAATACATCCAAAGCGCCCTCAAAGAGTGCCGGAATGAAATCCGATCCCAGGACCTGGACGTCAAAGCAACGGCGCTATTGAAACTCATCTATCTGGAAATGTTCGGATACGACATGACTTGGGCCGCCTTCAATGTCTTGGAGGTCATGGCCTCTCCCAAAATCATGCAGAAACGAGTCGGCTATCTGGCTGCAGTCCAGACCTTTCGGCCCGACACAGAGGTTTTAATGCTGGCCGAGAACCTCTTGAAGAAGGACCTCACCTCTCCCTCGATCCCCATTTTGACGCTCCCAATTGTCACTCTTCCGCACATTGTGACCTCCTCCTTGGCACTGTCCATTTTGTCAGACCTGCTACCGCGACTGTCACATTCCCAACCCGCCGTACGGAAGAAAACCATCGTCGCCCTTTATAGGCTCGCCCTGGTCTATCCCGAGACTTTGAGAGTGGCGTGGCCCAAGATAAAAGAGCGGCTCCTGGACGAAGACGAAGACAGCAGCGTTACTGCCGCCACTGTCAATGTTGTCTGTGAACTAGGATGGCGGAGACCCCAGGACTTCTTGCCTTTGGCGCCGAGGTTGTTTGATCTCTTGTTGGCTCAAAAGAACAACTGGATGGGAATCAAGATCATCAAACTGTTCGCGGTTCTAACTCCTCTCGAACCCAGATTGGTCAAGAAACTAGTCCGACCTCTGACGAAGTTGATCCAGGAGACGACCGCCATGTCCCTGCTCTACGAGTGTATCAGTGGGATCATACAAGGAGGAATCTTGGACATGGCTGACAGTGGAGTGGATGTTGAAGAAGTGGCCGATCTCTGCATCTCGAAGCTGAGAGGGATGATCGTGTTGGACGGCGACCCAAATCTGAAATATGTGGCGCTTTTAGCGTTCAACAAGATCGTCGGGTCTCATCCAGCACTCGTGTCGATGCAACAAGATGTGATCATGACCTGTCTGGACGACCCGGATATCTCGATCAAGATGCAGGCGTTGGAGCTAGTGTCGGGAATGGTCAATAGTGACAGCCTCCCAGGCGTTGTGGACCGACTGATCAAACAGCTAGCGAGTTCGCCATCGGCTGTCGATGATGCGGCCAACGGCCATCCGGAAGAAGGACAGACAGACATGGAACAGAGATTGATTCCTGACAAACGAGGATCCGAAAATACACCTCTCTCCGAGGAATATCGGCAAGAGATTCTCACTCGAATCCTGGACATGGGGTCACATAACACATATGTCAACATTACAGACTTCGAGTGGTATATCGAAATCCTAGTTCACCTTGTGCGGCACCTTCCACCAGATAAGGAGACTACCTCAGGAATGCTGGCCGATACCACCTCCTCTCTTGGAGCCCGAGTTGGGGCCCAGCTTGTCGACATTGCGGTTCGAGTGAAGGAACTACGACCAGATACAACCAGAGCGGCGGAGACTCTAGTTCTATTGTCGAATCGAGTCATTTCCTACCCCAGGCATGGTTCTGGGCAAAACGAAGTGCTGAGATCCGCAGCCTGGATCTGCGGAGAGTTCGCAGGCTATCTGTCGAATCCCTACGAAGTTGTCAACTCTCTGATCCATGAGTCATCCACAGATTTCGGTCCTGCAACACTTGCCATCTTCGTACAAGCAATCCCGAAAATCATCTCGCAGATAGCTGTAACTGCCAATCGGGAATGGAATATCTCTCGAGGCGCAACGATGTCGCTTTTACTCGCCCGGACGACGGAATTTCTGGAAGGACTGTCGTCCCATCCCAACCTGGACGTGCAGGAAAGGAGCGTCGAGTTTCTGGAGCTTCTGCGTCTCAGTTCGGAAGCGCTTTCGGCCCAGTCCAATGACAATACACAAGCGCCACTTCTTTTGACCTCTGCAATACCCACACTTTTCTCTGGGATGGACCTCAACCCTGTTGCCGCCGCAGCTCAGAAGAAAGTGCCCTTACCGAATGACTTGGACCTGGATGACCCCATCAACCCCGACTTGCCCTCCATACTACAAGCCTCACAGGAGGCAGACGAAGGCGATTCCGCCGATGATGTGTTCCAGTCTTTCTATCACGACCGTGAACCCGTGCAGGTGATTTCATCGCTCCAGCCTCACTCTGGCTCGGCAATCGTGGATCATCCATCCGAAGCAGAGCCCACCTCATACCAATCGGCCCCCGAGTCTCCAGCCACAGTGGCGCAGCGTAAAGCCGAGAGGGCGGCCAGAAACAAAGACGACCCATTCTACATTGCACCATTGGATGACTCAAGTCCTCATCAACTCCACGACATCATCCGCAAATCGAACGGCGACGAAGAACTCGATGTCGACTCAATCCCGATCATCGACCTACAGATTGATCACACACAAACCACCGCCACCCATCATGGAGAAGATTATCCGGGCCGGTCGACGAGAAAGAAGAAGCCCGTTCGAAAATTCGTGGTCGCGGCCGACGAGACATTGGACCCCGACGCCGACGCCAGCTTAGCCACGCAACCACTGTCCAAATCGGCGTCGCACTCGCACTCGACATCACTATCTACCACACCAGCGGTCCATCGACCTCGTTCGCTCAGTCCACATGTGGGACCTGGGCTCAGCGGCAAGGCTCCCGTGCGACCGACACGGAACCTGTTGACGGTGGACTCGTCGACGCTAGAAAAGTTGAGTCTTGAAGGCCCGCCCGAATCCGAGTCGGAGATTCTGCGCCGCGAAGCCGAGGAGGCGGAGATGGCAATCGCCCTGCGCGAGGTGGAGCGGAAACGACTCGAGATGCAACGAGAGGCTGAGCGGCAACGAACCGTATTGGGCGAGGGAGTCGATGCCGACGGGACTGTGGTGCGGCGGAAGAAGAAGAAGAAGAAGAAGCAGATGCCGCGAGAGGTTGAAGGCGAGCCCGACAATCAGCTGGGGCTGGAAGAGGGAGTCGTGGCCGTCAAGAAGAAAAAGAAAAAGAAAGTCGTCAAAATCAGGTCCGAGCAGGCCGACGTCGACAAGGCCGCAGAGGGAGCTGATGGTGCCGTCGGGGCCGAGCAGGATTGAATGGCTGAGGATCACGATTGAATTGAAATACACATACGAAGGATGAGTGCAGATAGGAATACCGTCGGCCCTCGGCCCTCGATCGATGTTGAACAGTACAGTACTCTAACGTGAGCATACCAAAATACAAGCGAGCGGTTGACCTGGGTAATGCCAGACAGAATCTACATATGTAGGCTTGGATAGCGACAGGGAGTCAGTATATCATGACTAGAACCCATCTTGGAAGACAGACAACGTTAAGGAGACACATCTATTTGACACTAGGGTGACTGCTACATCTGACAACTATACTTGACTTCACCACCTTTGTCACAAACAAATACCCATACCTTGCAATGCCATGCCGTCCCAATTCATTCATCCAGTGCTAAGCCACTCCACAATACAGTACAGACGAGTTTTCCACGCCGTGATTCGGTGCTTCGATGCTTCCAGACAGTCTATCCACTCCATCCAGCGGAGATTGTTGGTACACGAGATATTTCGCAACTCCGGATTTCCACCTAGAAGAACAAACAACACAAAGGGACAAAGAGAGAGGTCCCTGGAGCTCCATACAGCTCTTCCTAATCCGATGCTTCCGCCCTATAGTAGTCCGTGCCGAGGATTTGTGGGGATTTGGTTGAGTACATAGGTAGGTAGGTACCATGAGTGAATCGGTAGATGGGGTAGTAGGTGACGAAGTAGGTGAGCGAGATCTTTCGGAGGTGACCCGGTAGAGAGATGGCAATGTCCAGCTGCCACATGGTCGAATCAGGAGCATTTGCATCGGATATCGGTGGTTCGACTGTTGGCTTTTGAGGTCGTTTCGTCAGACGTCTAGCCGGGCCGTCAGCATATACTCCTTGACGTAGGCGGCTCGAACTTGTCTTTGAAATTCCTAGAGCGTACCTTTTGATCCTTTGTCTCCTCCTTGTACTATCTCCCTCCCTGTCCCCCACATCCTTTCCTTCATAGGGGTAGACTCGGCCAGAATTTGCCACCTGTACACCTCAGGAACAAGCTAGATCCAGTGATATCAGTCAGTATCAGTCACATAGATAATAACGACAACGATAATAACAAGATGAAGAGTAAAGTACTCACGGCCAACTGGTCGTGCTGGACCGGGCTGAGGCCGAGTTGGTCGACTAGGTCTGCTGTTGTAAGTCATGGTCTGTTTGGCCGACGTCTTGGTCCACGGTGATGTTGTTAATGTAGCTTGACGTGCTATGTTGAGATTCTCTATGTCGTTTTGTAGCGTGCGAGTGCAAGTATTGTGAGAGACAGCGAACAACGATAGACTCAGGGTTATTGTCGATGACACAGGGAAACAAAGAAGGGAAAGAGTGAAAACATTTATACATTCAGACAGGGTGGCTTAGGAGGATGTGTACTTTGCCTTGAGGCAAAACAAGGTCTAAGGGTGAGGCGAGGTAGGTGGCGAGCGAAGTGGTCACGCTTCACGGGAAAGCCTAGGGGACCAGGGAGGGATCAGGGAATGAGGGAGATCGGCAAACAGTCCAATTGACCAAAAGTCAGAGGGCAACCAGGCCACGCAAGACAAGGCGTCTGTTGATCTGCCTCTTGACTCTTCAATCCTGACGACCCAACCAAAGCAACTCGAATCCAATACCGGAGGAACCGACAACCCGCGAACAGTAAGAACAAACAGATGTTCAAGGAGTGGACACAAGTGGGAGGTTGCAGGTGGAAGTCACTGACGTTGGTCTTGGGGAGGGTGGTACGGCGGAAGTTCATAAAGCCAAATTCGAGCCGGGCTGGACGGGGCTTATCTGCTATGCAAGCGAGTTGTGCGCAGGTACAAGCCTTCGTCACCAGTAAGGACATGACCCATGGTGGAGAAGGTTGACCAGATTGAGAGAGGATGGTGTGGTTGGCGGCAATGCTGTTAGGCCATGACAGGGGACGCACAGAGACATGAAGCAGCCATGGGTACGAGACGGATCAGACTGTGTATTGTTTGCGCCACGGGAATCTTCCTGGTGCGCTAGAGCTTGGCCTGTTGGCTGCGCCTTGCACGAAACAAGCAGACTGAAGAGAATAGGAAGCTTTGCAAGGTTGATTTGACAAGGCTGAAGGTGTCCACAGACCGAGAGAATGGGTACCCGAAACCTGAGCGCCTTGGTGATCGTTTGGGTTCGAAGCCTGAGATTGAGATTCTGCTTCTGACTCACCACGACAGGTGCTGTAGGAAGGGCGACTGACACAGCCCTGTATGCCCAAGCCAAGAGATGGAGCAGTCAAGGCTCTAGCAAAGGCGGCCAAGTGTGATTTTGCCAGAACGATAGCTCGGTCAGGCAGACTGGCTTCGCATGGTGAGCATGGTGGTCCTGGTGCGCACAGGCTGACGAACACACACGGGTGTAGTGGAGTGACGGCGTGTGGCTTGGTCCCGCATTAGGCATTCTTCTAGAAGCGCCCTAGAACAACCTTGTCGGAAGTAAGATGGAGCCAGGTGTGACAGGGTGGAGGGCGAGATAGGGGGCGAGCAAGGGGAGACCGGGGAGACCAGGGAGACGGGAGGAGATATTATTAGGCGGTGGATGGGTGAGGTGAGAGGAGATCGCAGAACACAGAATGGAGATTGGAGAATGGAAGAAGGGGGAAGGGGGAAGGGAACAAAGGAGGTTAAACGCAGGTGGGAGGGATCCCTGGGAGCCTGAAAGTTGGCAGACTCAGCGCAGGCAGAGGTGCGCTCTAAGGACCCCGCTACTGCAAGTACATGGCAGCAACGGACGTCATCTCCATTCTCTTGCCGTGCGAGCTCTCTCATCTCACCAACTGCATCACACCGTGCTCCCATCAACGGGCGTCTTTCCCCCCTTCAAGTTGCATGCTAGTCATGCAGTGTACCAAGTGCCCTGGTTCCATTAGCGGTGATGATGGAGATACACACAAGGTTTGATGTTGCAATCACACTCAGGTGGTGCCGCTCAACCCGCACACCGTCGGGGCCGGTTATCTCTATCTTTCCAACTAACTATCCATAGGGTGACGGAGCATTGAACATTTCCGTCTCCCCCGGCTTCGTCTACCAGTGACCTTGACACGATAGGAGGTCAATGACCTCGAGCCCACCTCCTACCCTGGGTGCATATGACACGTGGACGTCTAGGGACTACGCAATACGGAGAACGGAGTACGGAGTAGCGTGAAGAAAGCCCGCAACATCCTGGTCATGTTCTTTCCTACCGGGTGCTCTGCAGGTGTGGTCGAAGCATGGTTGGACGCTGAGAATACCAAAGACGCGAAGAGCACGGATCAGATGACTTCCAGCTGCATTGAAGCTGGGGGCCAAAGGCTTAGGGGCTAATACACTGCACCATTCCCTGTCGTCGAGAAAGCTAATAATGCCTATCTATATTGTCTCCCTGTACGGAGTATGTGGTGGTCATGTCATCAGCCGACTCCCATTCCGAGAGTACCTAGTCAACGTGCTTCCACTCCCCCTGGGCACGCAATATGCAGGTCCAAGTGACTAGCAGCCTTCACCGTCCTCGACATTGAGAAACAGCTTCCAACACAGCCGCGCCACGTTGGTACGTGGAAACGTCCGGAAATCGATCTTGCCCAACTCCAGCTCCTCCGGTCGTTCCTGATCTGCCGCGATATCAGCCATAAGCATCTCCCTCAATTCGGAAATTCCACGCTCACCGTATTCCTGCTCAACTTCCCGTCGTAGTCGGCCCACCAGGCCGAATTCTTGGGCGTGGATTTCGCCCATAGAGTGGGCGTTGTCGTGGTTCTTGTGCCCCCTGGGTCCTGGCTTTCCCGTAGACTTGGGTAATGATCTTCTGCTTAACGTAAATTTGTGGAACGACAACAAATACTCGTTCACCGACTGCTCGATCGCGCGAATCTTGGTCTCGGCTTCTTCGAACGAATACTTCATGCCGGTCTCGCTGGCTGGAGTGTCGGCCAGCAGCACCAACGCCGCCTGCATTTGGCCCACAAACATCAGAAGTACAAACGCCAGGCAAAGCGCAATATCTGTCCGAGCGGTCGACTGCTTCTGGGTGACGGACATTTGGAACAGCATATCATGCAGCGTCGCCGTGATTTTCCGGGCAGCCTTCATCGCCATTGGCATGATAATGGCTTTGAGAAACCGATTGATGGTGTCGGGGATCACATGAATGTCCTGAGGTGCCCAAACCGGTCGTCGAGAATCGATGTGCTCTTCTAGCTGCGGGACGGCTGCAGTAGGTACTGTAAACTTATTCCACAAGAGATACATGAACCACAGTAGGCTCAATGCCGTCTTGATAACAGCATGCTCCTTGATGTCTTTGCGGTAATAGAGTCCGATATGCTCTAGAATGGTGGTTTGAAAGTCATCGGCGCGATGCGGGAAGTATTTGACCGTCCAGTCCCTCCATCTTTGCGGGTCATCCAGGACTTGCGCGAACATGGCCACGATGCGCTGCCGTACAAGTTTGACTTGCCGTTCCAGATCCCTGCTGTCCTTTATGAACATGATGATCGGTGGACTCCACACCTGGCACTTTGTGTATGACTTGGAACCATCCGCATTCTCGATCGGCACATGTGCATGCCGGAGGGCCAGGTGCAAAGGGCAGAACTCTTTGACCGTCACATACAGCGGTGATCCAACGTTGAGCTCCAAGGGGACCTGAAACTTTGGTCGGGCCGAGTATATGAACGTAGCGTTGGAGAGATAGCGAGCAAGGTTTTCCTTCTGCAATCGACAAGTGATTTCTTCTGTATCTTGGGTCAGTGCATGGACCCTGATGGGAGAGAATCATTCCTACCGGGAAACAGCATCGATTTGCACCCTTTCCAGTCGAACCGGGCTTGGATACACTGCTTTGGAATCTTACGCCGCTCCTTGGTCAAGCAATTGGTACAAGGTAATTGGGTATCACACTGTTCACATTAGCAGGTTGCCCAAAAACAGCAGTGCAGGATGATGCGTCACCTTCTCCCTCATGATGTTGCAGCGAAGACATGCACCTTTCCTTCGTACATCACTCGCTTGTTGTCTCCCTTCCCTGGACAGGGGCCCTTTTCGACGGCCGCCCTTTTCTTGCCCTGACTGTGAATGTGTACTCGCCGAGATACAGTCCATTGTCCCGACCCTGGCAGTATCCATGTCCCCATTGAACCAGTGATCTTCGTGACGAAATGGCAAGGTACTCCATGGCTCGGTCTTGTGCGGGTATCTCTGATGCTCACCCGGTGATAGGCCTCTAGGAGACACAAACTGAGGTGGCTGAAGATAATCTTGCGGATAATTAACCGAGGTAGGGACGCCGATGCCCACAACATCTTCTGTTAGACACGAGTCAGAGCTCGCCATTGATTTCATAACTCGTTCAAGAGGGCTTACCTGTCATCTGTATACCGGTATCCGACAGACGGTCCGATACAACAGGTCGGGCAGGCCGGGGCCATCCGTCGACATGGCTGGTTTCGTGGACGCTCTGGAGGCTGGATATAACCGAGCTCGTAGGGGTGTCTGCATCAGGCGACAAACGGCGAGCATATGCGAGAGCCGAGGTGTAGCTGGTTGTCGCAGCCGAGTTCGCACCGCTGCCGTGGGACAAAGTAGAACGGGCGCTGACAGGGCTGATAGACGCTGGCAACTTGTCGGTAGGAGGGGTGACGGACGTCTGAGGCAACCCAGGTGGCCGATAGGGTAGCTGATTCGGATTTTCGAGCAGAGGTTCGAGATTCGAAGCGCGCTGAGGCAAAGACGAGGGCAGCCGAGCCTGATTGGGAGCCACTCTACGGAGGGGAAATTGGCCCTGAAGATGGCCACTCTGGCGAGGGCGCCGCCCCATGCTGCAAAGAGGCAAGAGGCTGGAGGCTGGACGTTAATCGGATCAATGGCCTGACCTAGTAATCGGACGCCAGGACACAATGTGCCCGTTCGGTGGTAGAAGGCAGCTGGATGCCTGAAAGGATAAGGGCAACCCAAACCTCGATAAGGTGGTTTGGACAAGAGGTGGAATGTCGAAGGGAAGAGGGGGATAAGGCGACAAGGCGTCTCCAGGCGGACTTTATGAAGGCAGCCGAGAACCACAGTTTGAAGATATCACATGCAACCACATTGAAGTAAGAAGGAGACTTTCCACATCATCTGGCTTTGTTCATGTTTCCAAGATGCAGGTCGCATCTGTTTGCTACCCAAGTGGGGGGCGGGTGATGGGAAGCGTTGTGCCATCCTTCACCAGAAAGGCATGAGCTTGGGCCGTGCAAAGACGGTGAACTTTGCAGTGCAATCGAAGAGTGATGGTGTGTCAGGGCGGTGCAAGCTTGCGAGAGCAGAGGCATGAGCAGGATTGGCTTGACATTGCCTTCCACTGAGTGACACAAAGAGGCAGGGTGCATGCAGCTGCCGACACTGCAGTAGGCCCGATGACACGATTTGACTATTTACAGGGCTTCTTCACCGGTCGATATCATCCAGTCACATTGTTCCGAGCAAACACAGCTAAGCCAACCAACTGCTCGTTGACAGGTCAGCTGCAACTTGAATGGTGATAGGCACCTGCACCCTCGGCTTGTCGATACTGGCCGGCGACAAGGTGATGGAGCCGCATCAGGTGACTACGTCGCGACCGCAGAACCACCACCACAAGTAAGGAGCATCTATCAAGCCCAGTCAGGTTGATCGAATGATAAAATGGGAGTCATGGCTCCATACTATCACTGGGTGTGTCAACTTGGCGACTCGAGTGCTGGGGTTCGAGTCGGGTGCTTGAGAGAGCAGCGCCATCTGTGGCTGATCATACTAAACAGCAGTGTCGGCATTTAAATAAAAAAAGGAATGAACAATGTCAACGTAGCGGAGGCAGGAAAAGCCAGCTTTAAATACTTCTATGATGCCGCCCCTGAGACCCCTCATCAGTCAATTGCCACCCCAGGACAGCATGGAAAATAACTAGTACCATGGCTGCTTTACAATTGGCGCAACCACACAATCATCAAGCCCGCCAGACAGGTGTAAATCCACGTTCCATTCGCAAGCTTTTGTAGGAGATGCTTTGATGATGCATTCATCGACCAATGTTCCACCCTTGCAAAGAAGGTGTGGCTAAATTCTCGAGAGTGTCATATTCCGATAGGGCTGAAAGCGCCCTACTTGCTGTTATGTTGGTAATGGAGAATCTTGCGTATTCCCTTTCATCATTTGAGACTTTTATTTTTCGTCTCTTGATAGACGCCACTGAAACCGGACTCCCGCCCAAGCGAGCCATAGTAGCCATAAGCAATGAATACTCCATGCTCGGAAAAGTCCACCCACAACATTCGGCCTGGGACCTCTCACACAGTATACTTTGTCTTTGCCCTCGTGCTGCCGGCGTGCGCTGCATCGGTATGACCAGAAAAGTCGACGTATTCACTGGCGGGGATTTGCAGAACCTCCTTGAACCGTTGGCCAATCTTCATCAATGTGTCCTTACTGCCACCTTTTCCTGTGGTTCGAGTCCACAATCCAATTCTGTAGAATGTCTTTCTCACATTGACAACGACCCCCATGATCTCATTGTCTCCTTCGTCTTCAAGGGTTTCGCCAATTGCTGCAAGCTGCGTGTGGAGCCATAGCTCGTCGATGTTATTGATCGCCTTCTTGTCCTTGAAGGTGTACGACCACCTGCCTCCGTGTTTGTTTTGAGGATCTTCCCATTCTGGTCGGACACCCTTCTTGAATAGATGGTAGTCGGATTTGTGACTGAGGTCAGAACATGCCGTAATATTATTCTGCTGACTGTTAGCTATTTTTCTGAGTGAGAGCAAGCTCGGTTGGACACACATAAACTCCCCAGAACTCTTCCACTGTGTCAAATGTGATTACCTCCTTCAGAAGGTCGTTCCAGTTGTCTCCTTTCGATGAAGGCGGCTTGGTGAACTAGAGAGCGAATTAGACGAGATCAGGCATCAAGAGGGCCATGACCTACCCAAAGGCTCCAGCTGTTGAGAAGAGGGTGTTTGACGTTGAAGTTGTTCACGTCGTGGAAAACAGTCTTGATCTCGTCCGAAGAGGGTGCGGCGTTTTCGTCGGAGACTGGGCCAGGCACGGGCTGAGGCGTCTCAACTTCAGCCATTGTGGGGTTGTATGTACAAGCTCAAACTAGACTTGTGATTTTCACGTTGAAGGTGATGTGCAATGATATCTGGTGCAATTTTGATGGTTGCGAAAGAGGTGAAGATTTGTTGAATGGAAGGAGTTTGTGGCAAAGGCGGTTGGATCACGGTAAAGTGAATTGCCCAGTTCCGCTTGGCTAGCTGGCAAGAGCGAGTCTTCACTCAACTCAAGTGCAATGAAATGGAAAGACAAACAGCGGCAAGGCAATCAGGAAATTCGTTTGTCGAGACTGCCGCAAGAATCTCTCAGTCCCAGAGCGCGGCACACATCTGAAAGCGGTTAGCGTCATTCATGTGTGATCGCATCCTCGTCTGCGGTTCTTCTCGGAATTCAGTCGTCTCTTCTACCTTTTTAAACTTCACGGGCAAAATACTGGTTACTGCTCATATTTGCATTGTCTGCCGTCGAGCGATGCCTCGATTCTACTATGTCTTTCCGTAGCCGGTCGATTCAAAACCGTGAATGCAACGCTCCAGCCCTCCATGTACCTAGTACGGAGTACATTGGTACCATCCAGGCGAGAGTTCACTTGGAACTATTCAGCCAACTCAGGAAGCAATTCCAACCAAGACTAACAATGTTTACCACCAGAACTCGATGCTCCAACGGTACTAGCTTGAAGTTCACCGCCTGGACCGCCGGCCATAATACCCAGTTCGCCTTCAGCCCAGGCAGATAAGTCTTTTCAAGCTTTTCTTTCGGATCACTGCCTTCCATGATTGACATGCTGGACAGGAAAAGGGCCATATTGCACGGAGCAAAGACTACTTGATCCGCCAAAACTCGCGCGGCGATTGTTGCGTTTTGTGACCGCACGTGGATGTATTTCTGCAAGAAGGAATACCACTGGGTGGCCGCTGGTCCGAAAATGACTGTCCGGGTCAGCACACGGTGTCGAGGAAAAGAGAGGTGCAAACCTACGGCCACCATACAAGGCCATTCGACCTGTTCGCGCCGTATCATGGTTCTTCCAACCTCTACGCTCGACTGCTTGTTGCGCGAGGGTATCGCCGGCACCGAAGAGAACCTTCTCGAGTCAATCAGTGGCTTAGACAGAATGGGAGAAAACATACTGCGGTGGTGACAGCCTGCGTCAAAAGCGGTCTCTTCGCAAGCTTTGCCTGATACCTGAAATGATGAGCATTGGAACAGAATATGGAGAGCACAACACATACCACTTCAACATGTTGCCTTTTTTCTTTCAGTTTACGGCCCAAGTGCTGCTATTGTAGCATAGATATGGCATAGTAATGTGCTATCAAGGTAAATTGCTTTTTACTTGAGTAGGCCTAATAGCACAGATACGGTGTCGCCCAAATCCAGGGGCCTCCAAATGATCTGCGTCATCGCCATGTTACGTGCTGGCAGGACTGGCATTGGCTGATGCGGTCGCTCGACTCCGCGCCTTGGAGGCCTCGTCAAACCTTCCTTATTAGGCCTAAACTCCGAGCTCCACTGTAAATTTCCCAATCAGTCCTGGTCTTAGGGTTTTCGTCCTTGGCAGTAGATTTCGCCAAACGCTGCGTTCGCTCCGTTTTGGGTCAGGGCACAACCACTTCGTCGCTGAAACACCACATCGTAACTGGCGCAGCGCACACTTGTCAACTGAAATTCTGCGCTATCAATAACAACATGGCTGACGCTGCTCCTCGTGGACGTGGTGGATTCGGTGATCGGGGCCGTGGAGACAGAGGCCGGGGAGATCGAGGTCGAGGTCGACGAGGTGGCCGTCGTGGAGGTGCGAAATCAGAGGAGAAGGAGTGGCAACCGGTCACAAAGCTGGGTCGTCTGGTAAAGGCTGGGAAAATCCAGAGCATGGAACAAATCTACCTCCACTCGCTCCCTATCAAGGAATACCAGATTGTCGATTTCTTCCTGCCCAAGCTGAAGGATGAAGTGATGAAGGTGAGATGTCCCCTTGACCAGCATCATCCAAGAACCACGGGTTTCTGACAGGCTTGTTTTCCAGATCAAACCCGTCCAGAAGCAAACCCGAGCCGGTCAGCGAACTCGATTCAAGGCCATTGTGGTCATCGGTGACAGTGAGGGTCACGTCGGTCTCGGTATCAAGACGTCCAAAGAAGTCGCGACCGCCATTCGTGCTGCCATCATCATTGCCAAACTCTCTGTCCTACCCGTCCGACGAGGCTACTGGGGTACCAACCTTGGTGAACCTCACTCTCTGCCCACCAAGGAGTCTGGAAAGTGTGGCTCTGTTACAGTTCGATTGATTCCTGCGCCCCGAGGAACCGGCCTCGTCGCCTCCCCCGCTGTCAAGAGACTGTTGCAGCTTGCTGGTGTCCAGGATGCGTACTCTTCCTCTGCTGGAAGCACAAAGACGCTGGAAAATACTTTGAAGGCTACCTTCGTCGCTGTGAGCAACTCGTACGGCTTCCTGACACCCAATCTGTGGAAGGAGAACAAGCTCATCCGCAGCCCGTTGGAGGAGTATGGTGACGTGTTGAGAGAAGGCAAGAGATACTAGACGACAGGCAACTGGCAATCAGGTTAGCCCGTTGCATTTTCTGGCGACGAGGGAAAACGCTGTGCATGGTGTATGGACGAAAAAGACACGTCTGTACTTGAGAATTCCACGATTGAATCTGCTTCGATTGTATGTTCGGTCTACCCTCTTTTAGTGGCCTCTGTGCGGTGCTCTGCTCTGCTCTACCGACTCGTTTCAGTATAATTCGGCCTCTATAACGAAGCTGTTTAGGCGTGCCAGTCGCAAATCGTCCCGGAGGCAACCGCGTAGTATATCCTTCCCGGTATCTAAAGCATCACCGCCAGAAAATTCGGACGGCAAGCAGGACGGTCCCGCTCCGACGCCCTTGATATGTGAATCATCGCTATACATGCATCGATGGGTATCACATTATTGCCGAAGAAGGTCTGGCCTACTAATCTTGCAGTGCCATCTCTTCCACAGCCTTGACTGCATTTTCCAACTCTCTAATCCTTTGGCCTACTCGACTTTGGACTTCTTTGCCGACTTCTGGATGGCTCTCCTTGACTGCCTTTTCAAAAGCTTCCTTCAGCGTCTTTAAAGCTTCTTGCGCTGCCTCACGGTCTTCAGCTGCGTACACTGTCTTTTTCTCCGTTTCTTCTGCAGCAATCTCGAATTCGTCTTTCGCGGTCGCGTACAGATCGTTCAAATTTTCCATCAAAGCATCAGCAGTAGGCGATTGTGCTTGGCAACATGAGGATGTATGAAATGCAGATGTTGGTCTCAGTGTCGGGTACTGTACGGTGACGGGTCGGGTCGATGGTCGATGATGCAGGAGGAAGGCGCGGCGTTGTGAAAAAGTCGCAACTGAGCCATAAGAAGAAACGGCGCTTCGAAGCACCTGTACGGTTGCTTTGGAAATCATTGTTGAATGCAAACAAGCCGAAAAGGGAATTGAAACAATACTGGGCCGTGTAAATGGAGGATGTGGTGAGAATTTGGTGTTACAAGATAAAAAAGTATAGGTCGTCCACTCTGTCGGACATGGAGATGACGTTGGAGATGCAGGTCTATACAGTCAGATTCTCGGAGCCGCTTGCATATCCCGGATCTTCACTATTAGCTGATCTGGGGCAGCTCTTGGGTGCCCAGCTCAGAGTGCTCCATCCCCGGTCTCATCTTCCTCTTCATCCATCTCCAATGCAAGCCAGGTTAGGTATCGGGTCGACGCCACAACCGGGTTGGCAATGCCAAAACTCCTTAGGTAACTCTCTTCCACGCTGGTGACGCCTGGGTGCGTGTGACGTACATACGCTCTGAGGCTGGTGGACCATGACGTCCCGTGGCAGTGACACTCCAGCCTGGAGGTGTTTTCTAGATGCCGTGCCAATGACAGATCGTCACCGTCTGATGAAGCTTCAAGTGAGGGAGCCCTGCGTCATTGTCTTCTCGATGTGCAAGCTCAGGAGAGCTTCAATTCATGTCCATTCATAAACACCTTCCTCGTCTCTACTTGCCTCACCTGCTGCGCAACACTTCCTTTATAGTCAAACTGAGTTGAATAGACCGCTCTTTCTGCCTTACTTCTCTCTGCTCCCTTCCCCTCCTGTCTACATCAATCTCATCCGCAACCATGTTGACGAACACTCCGAGGGCGGCCATACGGTCCACACGCGTCTTGAGAGTCCGGCAACCAATTCGACCCCGACAACCTCGCAGTCTCCGATTCCAGTCCACCTCAGCACCCAAAGACACATCTTCGGCCTCATCCCCTGCTCTTATAGGTGGAATAGCTGGCGGAGCTGTCGCGCTGTTGGGAGGCTACCTGTGGTATCAGTTGTCGGGTGCGAAAACTGTCTTGAACAATGTCCATGCAGCCAAATCCTACGTTGACAATGCCTTCCAAAAAACAACGCAGTCGGCTCCTGCTCCCAACGAAGCTATCCAGTGGCTACGCGAGACCGTGAATAGTTACACGAAGATGATCCCCGGAGCATCAAAGTACGTAGACTCTGCTTTTGATGATCTCGACAAGGTGCGGGAAAAGCACGGAAAGGAAGTGGACAAAATCATCAATGAAACACATGGAGAATTGAAAGATGTGACAAAAGCCGGGTTCAGCGTCGAAGCCGTCAGCAGGGCCTGGGATGTACTGCAAAAGTGCTTCGGCCGTATCGCAAGTCTGGCCTCGGACGCCGCTGACGATATCCTTGATAACCACCCCGAATTGAAGGATAAAGTCGGTGGGAATCTTCAACAACTGAAGCAAATGGGCGAGCATTACGGGCCCGAAGCTAAACAGAAGGTTGACGAGACGTGGCAGCAGGTCCGAGATATCTTGAAGGGGGGAGTGAGCGTGGAGACGGCGACTAAGCTACAGAGTTTGGTGCAAGAGAAGACGCAAGAGCTGAAGCAGTACGGTGATCAAGCGTGGCAGAAGGGGATCGAGCAAGCCAAGCCACTTCTGGACAAGCAGCCACAATTGAAAGAGCTGCTCGAGAGCAACAAGGAAAAGCTCCTCCAAGGCGACCTCGGCCAGCTATGGCAGAAGGTACAAGAGGCAAGCAAGTCGGGGAAAACAGACGACCTCCAATCATTCGTCAAGGAGCAAGCCAACAAAGTCTCGGGTGGCAGTGCTAGCGGTGGCATCGAACAATTCCTCCATATGATACCTGGAGGCAAGGAACTCGGCCCCAAGCTGCAGCAATTGCAAGAGCTGAGTCAGAAGCACGGACAGGAGGCGGAAAAGCTGGTCAAAAGCGCAATAGAGGACGTCCAAAAGGTTCTGTCGCAGAAGGTTGAAGAAGGCCAGAAGTTGAAGGAGAAAGCCAAGGCTGATGCGAAGAAGCAATAAGCCTGGGGGAAACATATTTGCCCGCGGGCAGAGGATGGCGAGCTCTGCATCTTCTTTCGGAGTTCATTCCACTGCATTAACTGTTCTATGAATTATTACCAGCAGGCAGTGGTCTTGATGCATCTGTGCACCATGCTGGCCGACGGTGGCTGTACTTGTAATATGAGAGAACAAGAGCAACCATTACTACCTACCTACCACGTACTCAAGCCAATTTGACGTCAGGCGGCGGGATTGCGGAGTCTTGATTTAGTAATCGAGTAATCCTACAATGAACAAACTTGACAACAGCGGTGCGAGATTAGATGAGCGTCTGCAAGTATTCGCCGCACCTTCTTCGTATCTACCAGTGGTCTTGAAAGCTCGTTGATTGCAACCCGATGAGTTCGACCTCGGATTCCGCACCTCGCCGCCCGCTTCCAAGCACGGTCGCCGCGCATCTTTCCGGAAGTGCTCAGTCGTGGCATGGCAAAATCACTCCTGATGGACCGTTTCCCCCGCAAAAAGGTCGATATCACCTGTATATTGGCCTATTTTGCCCTTTCGCTCACAGGGTGAACCTGGTGCGGCACCTCAAGGGTCTTACCGAATTGATTGACGTCTCCGTGGTTAAACCGTACCCGAAGGGCGACGAGACGGGCTGGCCGGGCTGGCAGTTCCCCAAGACGAACGACGAGTATGCCGGGGCCACGGTGGACCGGCTCTTTGGCAGCAAATGCATGCATGAGGTCTATTTCAAAGCGGATCCGGAGTACAAAGGCCGGTACAGCGTTCCTGTTCTCTGGGATCGCGAGACCGGGACGATTGTCAACAATGAGAGCGCAGAGCTGCTCAGAGATTTGCAGACGGCCTTCAATCCGCTCTTGCCTGCCGAGGACGCGCGAGTGACACTCTATCCCGAGCACCTGAGACAACAGATCGACGAGGTCAGTGAGTGGATGCAACGGGAACTTAACACGGGCGTGTACAAGGCTGGGTTTGCACATTCACAAGAAGCGTATGACAAGAACGTCCTGCCTGTGTTCGCGGCGCTGAATAAACTGGAGAAGATGGTGGCAGAGAACGGTGGGCCGTACATTCTGGGCGATTGCTTGACGGAACTAGACATCAGAGCCTACGCGACGCTGATCCGGTTCGATACCGTGTACGTTCAGCATTTCAAGTGTAATCTAGGCACGGTTCGGCACGATTATCCACAGCTGAACAACTACTTGAAGCATCTGTACTGGAACGTCGAGGGATTCCAGGAAACGACCGACCTCAAGCATATCAAGGAGAATTATACCAAGAGCCATCACGACATCAATCCCCAGGCAATCACTCCGAGAGGCCCCTATCCGGATGTCGAGGAAGGGTATGAGCCTGATTTGAGCAGAGTGCCGGTCGGCGGTGTCGCAATGCCAGAAGTGCTGGAGTTGGAAAAGCAACTGCATCACTGAACCGAGCTCGACTTGGATCATAAATCATGCCCAGGCCGGGGCTGTCCACCGTCCAGAGTCGTTTGGATTCACCGACTCAAACTAAATCACCAGATACCTTGTTAGTGCGCATGATATTACATACGTACCTGTACTCCGTACCTAGGTACTGTACTGCGTGGGTCTTTGTGAGGGCGTACTCCGTATGTTGATTGCAGATCCGGTTCGCCGGTCTCAGAGACGACCATGATGAGTGGAGATGGAGAGGACGCTGAGGAGGGTGTCTTATCTTTACGGAGTACTGCTGGGTCCAACTGCGGCGGCGTGGCGGTGAAGTTCTCGAAATCATTCGCCTTCTCGCTAGCCCCTACTCTGTCGAAGCAGAAAACGAGAAGCATGCAACGAAGCATTAGGGCATTTTTAAACAACATGGCCATTGGGAGGACTCTGGAGTCGAGTAAAACCCAGGGTGTCAAAGGCCGGCCAATTATTGTCGGTGAAAGAAACAATCTAATCAACTAAAGCAAAACTACGGGTACTTAGGTACCTGACTAACAGGACATGGCCTTCGTGAATGTTCCCTCAGACCCTCCTAACTGGCAGAAGCTGCTCCCTGTTATCTCTCTACGGATACTCTACTCTGTAGACAAAGTCACCAGTGCGAATCGATCTCTGCGGTGGTTTTAAAATTGAAGCTTCACGTCTGGGCGCGATGACCTTGGCTCTCGGTCCGGCGCTGGTGGCTGTGCTTGTCAAAAGAGAGTACCAGAATACGAAGTATCCGTACTCCGTACCCCGTCCTAGTCTCAGAATCCACCCACTGGAAGATTAGGTATCCCTGCGTGGAATTTCATGCCAGTCGGAGAAAAGCCTGGCCAGTGGTAACGAAAGTGGCATTTGATGGCCCCTGGCCAAAGGTGGACTGCTGCGCAGGCTTCCACCCACAGCCAGACCTATCCAGGGCTAGCCCACGGCTACAGACGCCCTCGGCGTCCTCGGTCAGCCTCCTTTCACATCAAAGCGCTCGTCCATGCTCGACCGAAGGGAACGTGGCTGACCATGGCTGCGACTCTAGTCCTCATACAGCTACTTGATTGACCCTCAAGGATGACGACGCAAACATGGGCCGGCAACCAATGCCCACCGCACCTTTCCTCTTCCTCGACCGGAATACTCCAGTCTTGTGCCCTTATCCAACGTCCCGATGCAACCGTCAGGTGGGTGCTGAGATTGCACCGTGATAGCGAAGAAGCAGGCTTAACAATACCTGGAAAAAATGGTCTGGCTGTGAGCTGACCGGGCAGGGCACTCGTGCCTCCAGACGTTGAGCCTAGCACCGTTCCCTACATGCCAAAAGCAGGGACCATGATGAAAATAAACAACAAACTCTGTCCAAGAGCGCTGTCAGACGTCTGTCCGTATGCTTCTTTTATCACTCGAGCAATTTCACTGGCTTGCTAGAGTCCACTTGCCCTGGTTGATATAGCAGCTAAATGAGCCTTAGCAGAGCCTTAGCAGGGCCTTTGATCGACGCCGGTTCCCCCTCATCACATTCAAGTACCCTGGTCCGAGCTTAGTCTCGAACTTCCTGAAGCCTCATCTCCTACCCCGGCCAAACAACGTCTCTAGTCGGCAGATGCTATGCACGGCGCTTGAACAATGAACCTCTCCGGCGCTTACACGACCTTTCCCTATTGCGAGATATGTCCTTGATTCATCTCGTCTGTTCGAAAGCATTTTAACATACCCTGGTCACTTGCTGGCCATTCGATACTGGTCTTTGGTCCTATGATCGCTTTCTAGCGAGGCATTTGACTTGTCTTAACAAGATCTATTCAACCCTAGACAACTCAATACGCTCTCCCTCGACCGTCGATCTCACGGTTCTACACACACCTCCCAGTTCGGATGGATGCCCTGGAACGTGCTTCAGAGAAGGAGTGTTGTCATATGTAGGAGGATCTTAAGGAAGCATGGAAGCAACCGCAAGGAATACAGGATTTTTGCCTGTCATCAAATGCTCAGATTGTGGCGAGGATATTGAGATGGCTGCTATGAGCAACCATCAATGCGCAACCTCCAAAAGCTCAGCATCTGGTAGATATACGGAAAGCTATTCGCAAAGAAGGACGACACACTAACAGGAAACCCAGCTTCAACCAGACCGCCACCTCCGCCTCGAACAGACTCATCAAACAGCTCGAAAATCATCCGGTCGCAACGACCGTTGCTACCGAGGATTGACCCTGCCGCGGCATGTACGTGGAAGCCTCCATCTCCCTGGGTTCAGTATTGACAGTATTCACAGTTCGACCCCCAGTTTTCCAAGGCGAACTCACCCCTGCCAGCAGCCAACATAGCTCCATGGTGTCTCCTGTCAGCGCATCGTCCGGATCCAGGTCTCCGTGGCCACCCAGTCGCAAAGGTTCGGTTCCAGGGCCGCGGCGACCTCCATCACCAGAGTTGACAAATCTTGACTGCGCCTTTCCTCCCTTCCCTCTGCCATCGAGGGCACCAACGACCCGACGGCGCGACAAAAGCGCCACTCTAGGCAGCGACACGCAGCGCTCTAGATCCCGAAATGCACCCAGGCTGCCGCGTCAGGACAGTAGGCCAGCCCCCCTTACAAGAGCAGGGTCATCACAGAACCTGGCCGAGAACAGGAGCTACAAGCAAAAAGATATGAAGTCTCGCCCGACCAGCCCTTCAACCAGCAGCAGTCACTCAACGAGCAACAAGAGTGTCGACAGCGCACCCGAGGTACAGGGCCCCAAGGCTCCTGAGGAGCAACCCTCTGCAAAATCGCCTCTGGAAGTTGAGCCAGTCGCCGGGACGACATCGTCGCCTCAGCTGTCGAGATCGTACACGGAACCGCAACATCAGCAAGATGCCCGGGCCGATCACACACTGAGTGCATTCGATTTCGGTGGCACGGCGAACGCTAGCGCTGTATCGACCGAAACTACTCTCGCACATTTACCTCTAGAGGCGAAATCCAGGGTAGAGACTGAGCCAGCGTACAAGTCGAAAAGACCCCCACCACTCGTACACGATCAGTTTCCGTCTTTTACCAAGCTCAGGTCTCCTACTACACCTCAACCTTCGTCAGCCGGCGTTTTGTCGAAAGGGTTTGGACGACTCTTTGGACGCCGTCGGTCTCAATCTGTGACTTCCCGACGTGAAGTCGTCCGACAGGCTTTGAGCGACGAACCTGACGTCTACGAAAATCAGTTTGCAAACCAAGGTTTTCCGAGCGCACGGAGTGATCAATCCTTCCTCATTGCAGAACCATCTCCTCTTCCTCCTCCACGTACGACATCACCCACCCCTTTGGCGAGCCATGAAGAATCTCTGAAAGCGCTTGAGGGGATAGCACCTGCTCCGAACCCCACTCCAATCATGTTGGTTGAGCCGACCGGCGGAGAAGAGCCGTTTCAGTCTCCGCTAGCATTTCCGCGAGAAGTCGAACCACCAGAAGCCTCTGACCCGATCACAACCGTTCCTGAGCCCGAACATAAAGCGAGCGAGGCCATCGAGTCTATCCAACGCACTTCCATCGATTCGGCATCTTCTTATGCTTCGGTCGGGTTCTCTGAGCGTGCAACGAGTTCAAGATCCAGCTCCCCCCATACAGAGTCCTTAGCGGTGAAATCATTCGACTCATCAGTATCCAATCTACTACAGCACTTGGACGCGGAAATGCCGGCGCCATTGAGACCGGGACGCGCCCAGACGTGTCCCGATTCGCCGACTGATCCTCTTTTTCAGCAAGGGCATCTATCACCAATCCCAGATCTAAGGCGTGGCGCGAATGAAGTAGTCCATGCTCTTCAGTCAGCCCCCGTCGGGCCACCAATCAGCGCGACTCCAACCCAAGAGCCGAAAACAGCTCTGCCCCCGAAGAGCAAAGGCGCGACGCCGAACAAGGGTGTCTGTCGTGGATGTTCGCAGGTGATTCTCGTGACACAGAAATCGGTGTCGAGCGCAGACGGTCGGCTGACGGGTCGGTATCACAAAGAATGCTTCGTGTGCCAAACGTGCCAGAGCATTTTTCCCACGGCAGAATTCTACGTGCATAATGACCAACCTTATTGCGCGTATCATTACCATGAATTGGAGAACTCATTATGCGCTACCTGTGGGAAGGGAATTGAAGGTCTGTACATGGAGACAGCCAATGTAGCGGGCCGCGGCAAAGAAAAACATCATGCGGAGTGCTTGAAATGCACGACTTGCAAGATCCGCCTCGACCACGATTACTTTGAGCTGTCGGGAAATGTGTACTGCGAACGAGACGCGTTTCGAATGGCGAGCATGCCCAAATCCAGGGACAACGCTCCGAGTCGACCCAGTCCCTTGATCCGAGAGTATATCAGCAGTGGAGATCATGGGCTTCTACGGGGCAGGAATTTCCCGGAGCGAAGAACCACCAGACTAATGACTATGACCTAGTTTCACGACAGCGCTTGATATTGGAAGCATGGTGAGGTATTGTTGCAGCGGAGCTACAGGAGGTTTGTTTCTTCCGGTTTGGTCGGACAGGCGCCGGCAGAGCCGTGGGAGAGACGACGTTGTCAACGTTTACGCCGTCCTGAAGTTTGGGCCTTGGCTGAACAAGGATTGAGCCAGCAGAGTCCTTGGATTCGGTCGACATCAAGCTCAGGCTGTGCTTCTTGACTTAGGCCAGACCTATTTATTGTATCAACTAGGTTCGTCAGACTTGGTCCACTGGACCAACCTATACACCTAATGTATATTCCCAATCAGGGTTGCCATTGTACGCGACGTGAGCCGTGTTGGATCTCTAGACTTGATAATCATGGGACGCTTGCAGATGACAGCGTATGAGACCCACGTAGCAGCGAGGCACATTCATGTGTTGTGTTCCCCAGTCAAGCGAGCGGTCGGGCCAATGCGAATCGACTGCTACGATATCTCTTTGTGCAACTAGGTCGCAGCGATCACCGTGTGGCATGCAAGCGACGAGAGGCAGGATCGGGATCGTAGCCGTTGGGCGGCTGCCATTTTGTGAGACTATGGACCAGGATGCCAGTTTGCAACGGGGCTGAAGATGCGTCGTATGGTCCAGGGAGGAGCAAATACACCATTCATAAGAGAGATGTACCGGATATCAAGACCTGATTCGGAGCGACGCGGGATGGGTTTGAGGCCGGAATGTGATGGAGCACAGGACGCTTGAAAGATGCGGATTGAATTCGGACCGTGAGGCGAACACATTGGTTGGCTTTGCAGCATGGTCTCATGCAGCTGCTGGCCAGATGGCAGATAGACGTCCAGCTGGTCTACAGAGTACATCTGTCATGTACACGAGAAAAGAAATGCGCCGTGCAGGTGCAGGCAGGATGGAGCACAAGGCAGCGCAGTGCGCAGTTTGCTGGCCAAACGAGGGGCACAGCTCAGGGCTCAGGCTTGGTGGGCGTCTTGTCTTATCGATTAGCACAGTGGAGTCGCCTGCGCAGCTTCTTCCAGTCGTTCAACTACACGTTCAACTACACATCAAGTTTGGCATTTATGTTAGCAAATTGGTACGTGAGGTATGGAGATCTCGAGATACGGAGAACGGATACTCTGTACTCCATACTCCGTCCCTTTCCTACCGACTTGTGCGTTGTTTGTTGCCTGCTCAATTCAAGCCCCAGGGGTCCATTGAAAGGTGCGCACTGGGCCAATGACAGAATACGGCTGCGGAAATATTCGGCCGCCATGGAGAGATTGTCTGGAGTCTTCTACACCGCCAGAGCGAGTTGATTAGCTACGCCGCGTCTGTGTCTGTGTGTCTGTGTCTGTCTGGGCGAGTCAGTCTTGGTCAGGGCCCGGTTTGCGCGTGAGAGGAATTGCCAGGACGGCTGCAGCGGGGCTGAAGAATAAACAACGTGAACAGGATAGCAAGAGGCAGGAGGCAGGATCAGGAGTAACGCGTTGTCGTTATGCCGGTGGACCCAGGTACGGAGCACGGTGTGCGGTGTGCGGTAGACGGAGTACCTACGGATACCTCTGGAGCCACGGTATAGGAGGCTTTCGTGGTTGATGGACCAACAGGCTGGATTTCCGTTTTGTACTGGGAGTGTTGAGGGCCTCGGGCGGTGTGGACGGCAGCCTGGGCTCATGCCTGAAGCAGCTAGTCAGCTGCAGAAACAGTCCCCACAAGTCGCTGGCAGGTACCCGTAATGGCCACAGATGGCCAATTGCAGGCTGTTGATCCAGTGCCGAGAGACTTGGCTCCCTGATCAAGAATAGCCGAGCAGTACTAGACTCACTAGACCTGAACTAAGCTACAAACAGTCATGACTCAGGTTTGCTCCACCAACCCGTCCCTTCTCCACGCCCTGATCGACGAAAACATGCTAATCACCTCGCTCAACATCTCATAAAGCTCTGCAGTTTCCGCTCTCACACTTCTCACAGTCTCTACCTCAAGCGTTCAAACCACAATCAAGAGTTCCAACCTTTGCTCGCAATCCAAGCCAGATCACTGCCCGGCCGTGATCTTTCCTCCCCCCCCATCTATACAGCTGGATCACTTCCGAGTGATCCGTCACCACCGTCAAGACGTTTTCCAATCAGCTGAACTCGTATGTACCCCCGGTACCACCGTCTTTCTGCCCCTCTCCTTAAAACCCCCCCTCCCTGGTCACCATGAACCCGCCCAATAACTGGTACCTGCATTGATCTATCCCCTGGTCATGTACGAGTACATCAACAATGTACCAGGCGTGTACCCGCGCATCGTGGCCGGCAGTCGGCCTCGATTTTGAATGCAGTCGACCGCCGTCTGGTGCATGGTGCATTCTGCCTTCCATTGCCGTTGCTTGATGCTTGATTTCGTCCCTGCTGGCCTCGATCACAACCACTTTTGGCTGTCCGGCAACATGATATCTGACATATCGATTCTGTTCAGGTCGCACCACCCGTTCAACTGTAGCCGCTGCTCTGCCCGTGCAGGAGGAGCTGCAGATTACGCCAAAACCAGATAAATTGGCCGCTTATTAGAACCGCTCTCGCTCAATTTCTCAAAGTCAATCTTTTGGCCAATCTTCAGTAGTCGACAACATGGCTCCTCACGCAGAAACCGGCTCCACGAACGGGTATAGTGCTCCCGAGTCAGCTCCATCGCACCAGGAGCTCTTCACCGTCAGCTCTCCCAACGTGGTCTACACCGACGACCACATCAAGAGCAAATATGTCTACCACACCACCGCCGTCACCAAAGCGGCCGAGGGCAAGTTTACGGCCGTGCCCAAGGAAACCGTGTACGACTTCAAGGTCGATCGCAAAGTTCCCAAGGTCGGTATGATGTTGGTGGGCTGGGGCGGCAACAACGGCTCCACGGTCACGGCTGGCATCATTGCCAATCGGCGTAAGCTCGTCTGGGACACTCGCGAAGGTCCTCGTGCCGCCAACTACTACGGCTCCGTGGTCATGGGATCGACCATCAAACTGGGCACCGACGCCGAAACCAGCGAGGAAGTCAATGTTCCTTTCCACGATGTTTTGCCCATGGTTCATCCCAACGACATTGTCATCGGTGGTTGGGACATCAGCAGCCTGAACATTGCCGCGTCCATGGACCGTGCCCAGGTGCTGGAACCCACCTTGAAGGCCCAGGTGTACAAGGAGATGGCACTCATGAAGCCTCTGCCCAGCATCTACTACCCTGACTTCATCGCCGCGAATCAGGAAGATCGTGCAGACAACGTCATCCCAGGTAGCAAGGCGAGCACGGCTCACGTGGAACAGCTGAGAAAAGACATCAGGTATGACTTTGGGTGTAACGGACGACATGCAGTGTGACGCGGCTGACCAATTGATCCAGGACCTTCAAGGCCCAGAACAATCTCGACAAGGTCATTGTGCTTTGGACCGCCAACACCGAGCGCTATGCCGACATCATCCCGGGGGTCAACGACACTGCCGAGAACTTGCTCAAGGCCATTGAACAAGGACACGAGGAAGTGTCGCCATCGACCGTCTTCGCCGTGGCCTGTATTCTTGAAAACACCCCGTTCATCAACGGCTCTCCCCAGAATACCTTCGTCCCCGGTGCGATCGACCTGGCTGAGAAGCACGGTTCGTTCATCGGCGGCGACGACTTTAAGTCGGGTCAGACCAAGATGAAGTCGGCCTTGGTGGATTTCCTGATCAACGCCGGCATCAAGTTGACCTCGATTGCCAGCTACAACCATCTCGGCAACAACGACGGTAAGAACTTGAGCTCGCAGAAGCAATTCCGCTCCAAGGAGATCTCCAAGTCCAATGTGGTCGACGACATGGTTGCCGCCAACACGGTGCTGTACGAGAAGGACGAGCATCCCGACCACACCGTCGTCATCAAGTACATGCCGGCGGTTGGAGACAACAAGCGTGCCTTGGACGAATACTATGCCGAAATCTTCATGGGCGGTCACCAGACCATCAGCATCTTCAATGTCTGCGAAGATTCGCTGCTGGCCTCACCACTGATCATCGATCTCGTGCTTCTGGCCGAGATCATGACCCGTATTCAGTGGAAGACGGAATCAGCTGCCGAGTATAAGGGGTTCCACAGTGTGCTCAGTGTTCTCAGTTACATGTTGAAGGTAAGAAAAGCAATACCCCGACTCCGCATATCCTAAAGCCCATTGTCGCACACCATAGATCGTCGTCGTCGTCGTCGTTCTCCTTCTCCTTCTCCTTCTCCTCCTTCTCCTTCTCCTCCTCCTTCTCCTTCTCCTTCTCCTTCTCCTTCTCCTTCTCCTTCTCCT